TTGGGTTGTAATCAAAGCGCCACTGACCCGAGCGCAGGTTTGGCACAATTTCCGGACGGGGAAAGAACAGACCCAGCTTCATTGGGTCGGAGTCGGCCTTTTGGCCCATGGGCGGGGTCTCCAGGGTGACTTTGTCGAAGTTGGCCCAAGAAGTAGACGGCTTCTCGCCGAGTTTCTCGTTAACCGCATCACGGACCAGCTCGCGAGCCAGTCCACCGTTCTTGTAGCAAAGCATGAACATGTACAGGCCCGCAGTGGTAGGGTGGTTGAAGAAATGAGTTGCCGGATCAGGCTTGTAGCTGGGCGTGGACATGAGGAAGGTGGTCGAAGTGCCCAGAGATACCATAGCATCGGAGGCTCGTAGGGGCAGAGCAAGAATGGTGGCAGGGTTGTCACCGGTGGCAGGGATAATCGTACAGTCGGGGCTGAAGCCGTAGCGTTCAACGTAGTACCGATCAATTGGGCCGAGATGAATGCCTCCATCTTCCGGGACATCACCCAGCTTGCGCTTCAGGTCATCGACTCCAGATGAGCCGGCGCAGAGCTGAAGGAGCTTCTCATCGTAGGCACCCTTCTTGATGTTCCAAAGGTTCATACCGCAGACATCAGAGATGTCCATCGGTGCAATGTGACCCAAGAATAGGGACGCAATGAACGAGGATACCAGCGAGATCCGCGACGTCTTCTTGTAAACATCAGGGTACTTCCTCTGGAAACGCATGATCTGCGGGCCTGTAAATCTCTACACAGAATCAGCAATTGCCAGACCCCTCTACACTCATGTAGGCTATTGTGGAATGGACACTCACATGGTGTGCCTTGCTTCCTGTGGCAAACGCCAGCTCGCTCTGGCCACCGAGAGCGGCATCAAACTCATCACACTCCTTCTGAGTGCTCGAGTCCTGCCAGTTAGGACTGAACGGGTGCGAGAACGCCCCGTCCAGCTGCTCCTCAAGTGTCTTGCTTGCATCCAATTCCTTCAACAGCTTCTCCGCATTTTCTCCCCAGTACACACTTCCATGTTGCTGTCCCGCACCACTGATACCCTTGATCTGGCTGAAGTCCATGCCCTGTTTACGCAGCCCTTCTAGGACGCCATCCAGGGCCTGCAGCCACAGGGCAACGGGGGCGAAGACCTCATGTTCGGCTTCGTTGGTGAGCACACCCTTCTTGATGGGAAAGCCGTGGGAGTCGGCGTCGAAGTCAAATTTGGAGACATAGACGACCTTGAGGTCGGAATTGACGACGAGACCCTTGAGTTGTTGGGTTGAGAGGTCGAAGCCGATGTATAGAGGACCTTGCATGGTGAGTGCGGCCCGGGGGGTGATGACGTATGGGTGGAAGTGGGATGGCGATTCACGGAAGGGAGGGAGGAAGAGAAAAGATGGAGTGGAGAGGTGTCAATTGAAATAGGATAGTCTAAAACAATCAAACTCTAGAAATCAGGTATGATTTTACGAGAAGCTAATGAGCAGAGAGAGGGGTGAGAAAGAGAACAATGGCAAAAGCAATGAAGTCAACACACCGATGGATGATTTATCCCTTGAGCTCCCGCCAGCCTGGCAGCTGGTCGGCAAAATCCGACCAACAGGAAGGCAATTGGCATGTCGGCGTGCCAGAGAGCAGATCCCATGACTGATCATGCCCGACCTCGTCTTTTTTACCGATGTGGGCGCTGCTTACTGAGTGATTCTCATTCTTGTGGTGCTTTTTGGTACGCGTGGGGTTCACGATAAGAAGATATTGAATTAACCTGCAACCCCCACCGCCGCCGGGAATTTACCCGGTTAATTACTAGTGAGAGGGAGGGAGGCCACTTTGGACACAATAAATCGTGCTGAATGACCGCCATCGTGGGTCTAGATCCTAAGAATCAGCCCAAAAGTCCCTTCTGCAGACTTTTTCTGGGATCTTTTACAGGGAAAAGTTAGACTAGTGCTGGACTACGACCAACTGGCTAAGACCTGCGGCTAAAGTGAAGATCCCGCGGATCGCCTCATGGGGTCGAGTTCAGTGCGCTCTGGTACATTCATTCAGACCCGATAGATACACAGTCATCGTAGAAAATACAATCCCTTCTATTTTGACCCCAAGATCTCACTCCTTCTTTCCCGCTCTACGTCCACCTGAGATCGCCTATCAATCATCTATTCTATCCAACTGGCTCGACGGCAGCAGACGGGATGTTGGATGTCTCCCCCACTATCCATCCTCGGGTATCATCGAATTGGGGGTTCAAAACGCTAGTGAACGACTGACACATAGATCTGACGGATCTGATAATGCCAACCCATGTTACCATAAGACCAGAATATGACCCTCAGCGGGTTTTGCGGGGTTCATGTTCATGGTCATGGCCATGGTCATGCTCATCCTCTTCGCCATCCTCCGGCTCAGGACGCGCACGGGAAGTGACATCCGCAGGGATGAACTCCTCCGTGAAAGTCAACTCCTCGTGCTCCAAGGGGATAAACCGAACCTTGAGACGCTTGACTCCACGCACGCCTTCTCCGACCGCAGTGCGAATGGACTCCTCGACCTGCCGGGTCCGGCTGACAGACCACGCGCCCGGCACAGCGATCTCGACATCCATCAGATAATTTTGTCCCGACTTCATGCCCTGCACATCACGGACCTTGATGGCATCGCCACCTTCCAGTTTCGCCAGCATCTTAGCCGCGGCTTTCTGTACCGATTCCTTGATGTCGTCGTCAACGTTCGTATCGGCGAGCTCCAACAACGAGGTCTTGGTGTTTCCCCATCCGGCCTTGATGACCATCAGCGAAATCAACAGTCCACCCACAGGGTCCAGCCAGGATGCGTCCTGGAAGAGATAGGTTCCGCCAATTGTAAAGAGAGCGACAATACTGGTCAGGGAGTCGATACGGTGGTGGATGGCGTTGGAGGCTAGTACTGACGACTTGCGTTCCGTCGCGACTTTCATGGCTGTCGGGGAAAGGCGCAGTCAGCATTCGCAGTTGGTGTTAGGGCAGAGATTCCTCAAGGTACTCACTAGCATGATATAACCACTCCTTCACCACGATGGACCCCGCAGCAAGCCATGCGGCATGAATGCTCGGGCCCATTGCCTCAACGCCATGGCTATGCGAGTGACCATGTCCCAGGGCGCCTACATGCGCGATCGCTTCCGCGGCCTGGGGATAGAACTGGTCCAGCAGAACTTGGCCGGAATTGAGGCCCATGAACACACCTCCGCAGAGCAACAACCCGCTAACCCCTAATGCTCCGATGCTTTCGATCTTGCCGTAACCATTAGGAAATCGCTCGCTCGGCGGCTTGAGCGACCAGGCGACCGTGCCTAATGTCAGGAAATCGGAAACTAGATCGGTAAGGGCGTGGTAGGCGTCGGCGATGAGGGCTTGGGAATGGAACACGTAGCCGCCGATGAACTTCCCGATGGCCATGGCGAGGTTAGCGAGCAGGCCAAGTCGCGTAATTCGCACACCGGCATCATGTTTATCGGTAGAAGTAAGGTAAACGTTTCCGTGATGGTGATGATGGTGGTGGTGGCCATGGTGGCCACCGTGGTCTCTGGATTGGGTGGTCATTGGAGGTAGGGTGACGGAGGTAGCGGAGGTGGCTGCGGCGATGGAAGGGACTAGAGTCGGACGAGTGACGGGACAGAGCAAAGCATTGGAGGAGGAGACAACCGAAGAATGAGAGGAGACACTAGGGTTCTTATGGCGCAGACGCGAGAGTGAGGACGAGGACGAGACTCGCAGCTGAAAAGCCCTGGGGAGAAGAACAATGCCGGATCGTCTCCCAAAGGCACAGGCCGGCCGTGATAGCGGAGGATGGGCCCTGCACCACAAGGGCTGCGTCAGCATCCTCGTAGTGGCTTGTCTAATCGACCAGGTTCTGCTGCAATTATATTATTTTGGGTTGCAAATACACGGAGAGGAGTCCGGACTGAAACAGCAGCTCCATGGTGGTGCAGTGGATTGTTTGAAGAGAAGAGGAGTAGCCGGAAAGCCTGATTGTCATTGCCAGGCCCTCCGTCATGGCTTGTCGGTCGAATCCCCGGCTGAGGCGAAGCCGACATGCGCTGACGATTTCGGCCCCGGAGTCTGATCCACTGATCGCTTCCTCGATAACAATCTTCCCCCAATTCCGGCGGCTATGATTAGCAGACCCTGCAATTCTCGCTGACAGACGAACTGCACACACGAGACCAATAACCTCCCAGGTAATGCAATCTTGTTCAAGCTGGACTTTTCTGTCTGATCGAGAGCGCCGTCTCCCTCCGTGACCTTTTCGCTCTCTCTGCCGATCCCTTCCTTCTTTCCCCCTAAGAAGCAACGCAATTCTTGCTTGGCAACTCCTCCAGCTGCGTCACCAGATGCTTGTCATGATCCAGAGCCCCTCTCCGAACCGGAGATGAATATCTGCGTCTGAAGCATCCATAGATTCTCGGTTGGTGGAATTCTAGTGCCGAACGAAGAAGAGGCGGCGTCTTGGCGGGGATCAATCTTTATCAGAAGCTCCGTGACGGACGCTGACTTGCCGATTAGTTAGATTGCGTGCTTGTTAAGCTTATTAGTCCGCAGTATTCCACTAAAAGAGGTTCAGCGTATCAAAACAGTAGTTCGCAGAGTAGACCGATCTTAGTCCAGTGCCAACTTTATGATGGTTGATAACTAGGACACACCCGTTGTTGTTAGGTTGGCTTGAGCCAGATCTCGGACTCGAGCTGTATGCTGAGCCTTGATTGATTTGCAAATGATATGGCTGTTATTGCACTGCCTGCAAGCCATTTCTTTGATGATACCCTCTGACTGGACACGATCTCGTGACTTGATAGTCATCAGAGCATCACTCACTATTTAGCTTTGCTCAGCCTTGCTGGCTGATGCCAAGTAGCTGTCGTAGAAGACGAGGCTGCCATAGGAGCAGATAAATTGTAGATAGAATCAGAAATGAGATCCAAATCCCTCTTCAATCAACAATAATATAGGAACACTGCTAATCTTGTCAACGCGATGGCCCATCGCGAGCGACGTTTCCCCACGTTCCTGCGCCGTCTCCTTGGAGAAACAACCCAAAACACCTCGATCCCTCCTCCAGACTTATTCAAGACATTATCCTTCGAGTTGAATGACGCGAGTCCCACTCAAGGAAGCAAGAACGATATTCCAACAATCGGAGAATGTGCCGTCCATCTCGAACTGCTCGAAGTGTTCCGTAACCTGCGTATCCAGATCGTCCAGTCCAAGGAGTTAGATCGCGTATTCCGTCTCGATTCAAATCGCTCATGGATATCGAAACATCGTAGAGAAACACAGAGGGCGGAAAAGTGGCACTGTTTCGTGTCGCTTGCTGTTGAAAAATTCCAGGTCTGGATCCGTGCTGCGGAGAAGCAGCTTGAGGGTGATGGAAACAATGGAACGCTTATACTTCCCCCTGTTGGTAAGTTTCATTGTCGACCATAATGGGCGTATTCAGTTACTGAAACTGTCAGATATACTCATGGTCTGGCACGCATTCTTGCTCAATCCATCCAATTACAAGGAATTCTGTACACGCCATCAGCTTGATTGGATTCAGGAATTGCCTTTTCCCTGGCCTGTCATCGTAAGTTAACACAAGGATTTGACTGTGATACTAGCATGCTAAGCAACTACTGCTATGCAGCACGGCTGTATCGACCCAACCAACTGGTCATTGACCCTCCCCAGTCCGAACAAACAATGGCTCGAATCTACAGCAAAGATAACAACAGACCCTCTTGTCAGTCTCACAGATACTCTTAGCAATATCCAGTCTACACCAAACCAAACAAACCAAAGAACCATCCCATCAATATCCCCAGAAAACGAAGCCCTCCTGCACAACGTTCTCCGCCAAACAGACTTCATCGACCATATGCACGACTGTCTCTGGATTCTCTATCCCGATGCCGAAGAGATACTAGAGAGCGCTCGAAAACGCTACAACAACTTCGTTGAGTTATTCCGTCTCCATCCCGGCGTTATGCTCGTCCCGACGTTGGATATAGATCTAGTCTGGCATACGCATCTGTGTAGTGCGGCGCGGTACAGGAATTCCATGATGAAAAGGGTGGGGCGGTTCATCAATCACGACGATAAGTTGGGGAAGCGTACGTTGTATGATGGATTTGAGAGGACGAAAGAACTGTATGAGGAGCTGGAGAGTCGTGGGGCAGCTTAGCTGTGAAGGGTTGTTCTTGTTGCCGTGTTATGGTATGAATTATGTGGGATGATCACAGAAGCAATAGAATGGGATCGGATGGTAGTCTGAAACGATTGTACTACTTTAGTATCCTCTTATTGAAGTGGATTCTGGAGCTTGGAAGAAGTAAATGATCAACACGTGCGATGGCCTGCACACGTCGGTTGACAATGTCAATTATTATAGGATAAATCTCGATATTTTAGTAGCTTGTCCAAGCCCGCAGACATAAACATAGTCCTCAATCCTAGGCCCATGGATCGTGATTGCTGGAAGATCAGTCGGCAATATTGCGAAGGATTCCCAAAGCCCATACGCTTGATCAACCATTCTCATCGGAGCCCTTGGGTCCACGGTCAGCATTCTCGATTCTCTAGCGATGTTGCGTATGCATTTTCTTGATTCCGTTATCCTGGATATTACCTTCCATCTCAAAACGAGCCATGTACTGTGAGGTCTCATAAACCTCAACGTGGTTGGTATGAAGTCAAGTATCAGGATAAAAAGCTTGAGTGAGGGTTAGGATCAATGACGACTTCTCTTCCTCGCTAACTTTGATATCGACTGAAGGGAGGAAGAGGTGCAGTTGCCAGCAAGGGCAAATTATATAAGCACGCATGCTGTGTAGGCATCCATCAGCTTTGAGAAAATAAATAGTCTCATTGCCTGAGACTCGCAGCCATGTTTGTTGCTTGCCAGAGTGGTTGTTAGGTTGTTACTACTGCATCTAATAGTAGCTTTCATGCTCGTGACTTAGCCAGTCCTCCGCTATGGTCTTCATCATCTTCACCAACCACCAAGGAATCTCTATCTTTAGAACAATGAGTGGCCCTAAAACTTATCACTTAGCACACGGCAGGAAGATAAACTAAGACTGTGCCGATCATGAGATCTGTTGTTGGATACATTGACTGAAAGGAATAGAGCCATGTTCTTTGGCACCCCGGGCAATGTTGCGCGCCAAACCAACGCAATGAAGCGAGACCTTAGAATTTCGGACTAAAGCGCAACATCTCCCGTGGCCAGTAAATATTCCAACATCACCAACGCAAGCGGTTCCAAGCGGGTGGAAGATGTCTGGGTCCTCGCTGTGATGGCGGATGGGGTGCCTGGGGCTGGCCAATGCCAACCCGTCATTCTAGCGCCAGCTGTGCGTGCTTCGTCTCTTTGGCGTCTCTCCCCTCTCCCCTCTTCATGGCGGCAACCACTCGATATCACATCTCCTCTCACGCTATCTTCTCTGGCGCAGCTTCCATGTAATGTCATTGCTCATCACACTTGGCGTCTGTCAGGTTGGCCAAGACCAACCCATGGCTTATACTAACCGCTGCACTTTTCCAGCACGACACGCTGGAATCTCAGCACAGCTGATCTGTTGGGATTAGGGTAACTACGCAGGACTTATTGGCTAACAATGTCTCATGGGGTGATAGGAAGTCGCAAAATTCGTGGTGTCTCCCGAAAACCATGGCGTCGAAAGCTGCTTCATTGATAGGTCCCAGTTACCTGCTGCCTCCCACCATGCAATATAAATATTCTGAAGTCGACACGATCCAGAACCTGCTCCTCTGCCACTTCATATTTAAGCTTAAAAAAACAATCTTCAGCCTGGTGCACATATTTTGGTATATACATCGTGCTCATAAGTCGTCATAATGATAGACCTCCTGGAAGTGAAAAGACGCTACGAAGCCGTGCTGGCAGTTGAAGATAGCAGAGACAAAATCCTCCAGGTACATCTTCTACACAGCATAAAGCATGATCAGTTTATTGACTTTTTGCTTGACAGAATCTATTTGCCCAAGTTGAAAGCCTGCAGAAGGCTCTCCAAAATACACTTGGTGATGGCAAATTCCAAGAACTGAAGAAATACAAGACAGAGTACGACGATTTGCGACTTGATCAGGTACTTCTTCCCTATTTAGCGTCTAGCTTCCATAGGCTTATACGGCTCCGCAGGCCAAGTTGAGTTTTGTTTCTGTGCTTGTCGATGGTGACTGCATGAATGTAAGTCAAGCGTCCTCTGTTGTCTCGTACGCCTACTGACGACTAAGTTCAACGATGCTCTCATCCGACAAGGCTACAACGGCGGGCGCAAGGCTGCCATGCTTCTTCGAAAGTCTGTCGAGCGTCACATTCGTGATATCGACCCTCAGGCCAGTCCGAACATCCAATACCGAATTCGAGTGTACGCCAACGTTCCAGGTCTGATGAAAACGTACCGGGAAGCACACATCCTGCGTTCGAATGAAGCGCTAGATCCATTCATCCGGGGGTTCAATATGGAGAACAGCTTGTGTGATTTCATCGATGCGGGAAACGGCAAGGAGTGTTCAGATGTCAAGATACGGTGTACGTTGCCCTCTTCACCAGAGCAGACATAGCATGTGCTAACCATCACCATAGCAATGTTCGAACAAGACATTCTAGACGTCCACTGCCGTCGCATCGTCTTTTGTGGCTCCACCGACAATGGCTACGCACGCATCCTCGGCTCCCACCAGGGGTCCAACCGCATCTCGCTCGTCCAGGGAGCACCCTTTGCATGGGAAATGGAGCAGCTTGCGAGCGAGTTCCAAACCACATCCTTTCCCGAGGTCTTCCGATCCACGAAGCTCCCCTCCCGAGCATCATCCTTCAGCGCATTCAAAACCGCATCCGCCAACTCCTCACCCAGCAGCTCCCCGACCAGCCTCAGCACGCCCTCAACGCCTAAACGCAACTATGCCACAATCGCCAAGTCGAATCTCCAGGCGACATCTCCCACCCGAACAAACAGATCCAAGCGGTCCAAAATCTCAGTAATAACATTCGATATCTCCCCCTCATACGACACCCACATTCAATTCAACAGTGTCCAGCTCAACAGCAAGAGCCAGCGAGTCGATCCGCCACCCCGGGCCAGCAGCAAAGACAATTACGAAAGACTACGAAGGTCAAAGTACTGCAGTAGATATCATATTCTGGGAGAGTGTCCCCTTGGCGATGAGTGCGGGCACAGACACGGACGCCGACTGGGATCTAGGGATGTTCATGACCTTTGGTGTGTTACGCGAACGTGCGTCTGTCCGAATGATATCTGGTGTACGGATCCCAAGTGTATCTGTGGACATCAGTGTCCGTGGGAAAATCAGCAAGGACATTGCAGTGGAGATTGCAAGTTTCCCGAGTCTATGCATGGGGTTGATAAGTCGGTTGCAGTGATTTTGTAGTAGCTTATTTGGTCAATGATAGTCTGTTATTCCCGTGAACCATTATATACACCATCATCAGATCATTATAAGTTCTAATATATCCCTCCAGTATTTGGATTTATAACGACGCTCTAGCCTGACGGTCGCTTCACACTATCAGAACAGTCACACACACACGAACTTGCATAATTTCATTTTACAAAATATAGACCAGTCTAGTCACAACACATAGACCTGTAATAAAATAAAAAAGGGAAGAGAAACCCACTAAGCAAACAAGAACTTCGCCGCATGCTCCACATGATCATCCGAGAACGTAGCCATAGTATAATAACTGTGATCATAATCAGGCTGATACCGAATCGTCACGCCCTCCACGCCGGCCTCCTTGGCAGCTTTCTCAAAGTTCTCAGGAAGAAGCTGGCCCTGCTTGTAAAAGTTGTCTCCGGTGCCCTGCACACAAACACACAGACAAATCATTAGTACACATCCCAGTAACCAACCTAAAAGGGGTCAAAATAAAAGGGGGTGTGAGTGAACATACAACATCAATCAAAACATCCAACCTCCCACCCTTCCACTTCTTCACCAATTCCGTAGCATCGTGCTCCTTCCACTTCTCCTGCTGATCCTCCCCAAAGTATCCCGAGAAGGCCTTTTGCCCCCACGGGCAGTTAATCGGGTTGGTGATGGGTGCGAACGCAGACACGGACTTGTATTTGCCGGGGTTGCGGAGGAACTACATACACCATTATTAGCCAAGAAAAAAAAAACCCCCTCCTTGAAGTAACCCAAAGACCAAATCATAGATAATATCAATAAGATCTTGCAAGGGTAGTATGAACGTACCAAAGTCAAAGCCCCATGTCCACCCATACTATGACCCGTAATACTCACCCGCTCACTATCCAGCTGCGGGAACGCGGCAAACACCGTAGCGGGCAATTCCTCTGTGATGTACGTGTACATGTTGTATCCGTTGTCGTAGGGCGGCTTGGTCGCGTCGACATAGAAGCCCGCACCGGTGCCGAAGTCGTAGCTGTCGGCTTCGCCGGGGATGTTGAGGCCGCCTATATTTTCCCCCATCCATTATTAGCATATCCATTATTAGATTTACTACGATATTAGGGTAGATAATGCAGTTTGGTTATGGAATAAAGTAGGGAATGTGGGGGGTGGGGACATACGAGGACTCGTATCGGGATACAGCACGGCAATGCCTTTCTTGCTCGCACCGTGCTGGAAGAAGCCCTTCTCTGAGCAGTTCTCGGCGGTGCAGGTCAAACCCGAGAGATAGATGAGGACGGGGACCTTGGAGGAGGGGTTCTGGAAGGCTTGAGGGGGCAGGTAGAGGTTGAAGCCCATTTCACATTTGGTGGAGGTGGCGGCGTGGGTGAGCTTGAGGAGCTTGCCGCCGAAGGAGGCGATGGTGGCTTTTGTTGTGACGGACATGGTGTATACCTTTTCTTTGGGGGGATAGTTGGGATGGAGAGAGTGTGTGATAGTAGTTTAGGGGAAGGTGGATGGTTTATATCAACAATGATGAGGGGAAGAAATCGGATGAGGGGAAAATGAGGGGCGGTGGATCCTCAAACTCCGGAAATTTTTGCCGTTTGAAGTTATCGGCACTATCCCGGATTTATCATCGAGACAATCTAGATGGTAGATGGATGAATAGATAGGATTGATGAAGTGTATTCAATGCGGAACTAAACTAACTACCCTGCCATGCTATGCCATAGGTATCATAACCCCTTCCCAAAAAGAGAATAACGCCAATGCTTATCCATCTCCAATGATTACGCCAAAAACACCGCGGGGATCCCGTAGATCACCGGCGCCGCACCATTCAAGTACCTCAACACACAAGCCTGCCGGGACTGGCAAACCGCATCATCCAAAGCCACTGCCTGCTCACGTCCCCCGACAAGGCCCCACATCTCCAGCGTGCTCTTGGCAAACCGGTCAATGTCCTTGTCCGTCACATCCCAGAGAGTGGCCACCAATGCCGGACTCCCCGCATGCAAGTAGTTCATCGGCGTGCCGTACGGCTCGTACTCGCCGGCTTCCGTCAGAGCACCGCTGCTGCAGCCCATCAGGAATGTGATTGCGCACCGGTCAAGACGCTTGATTGTCCGCGCCCGGCAGTACTGCGCGCCACTGCCGTGTCCGAAGTACAGGAACACGTCGTTCGACTCTAACCCAGTCTTGAACTCCTCCTCTGTAGGCTCCCGGTTGGCCACTCCGCTCCACCCCTCCAGCTTCAACAGGTCCTTCTCGAAGGTACCCTGCGTGGTTTGCAGATCACCAGTGGGGTTAAGGAAATAGGTGCCATTCTTGCGGCTAATCGCAAAGCCAGCCTTGTTCTCCGCCCCTTCGTCGCGGAATCGCACGATTCGGTCCCGAAGACATTCCAAGGAGGGCACCCGGCACACGGGGAATCCCTGGAGACACGGAAGAGACTCCCACGGGAACATATGCAAGGATTTGTCCAACACCAGAACAGTACGGTTCGGCGAGGGGTTGCCTTGCTCCTTCCGGACGTGCTCGTGGTACCCTCTCAGAGCGTCAAGGGTTTCCACCACCATCATGTCGAAGTCAATCTCATCGTACGCATTACGCTCCCCCTGGAATTGCAAGATATCGACCACAAAGTAGAGAAGGTCCATCAACGTCTCTTCGGGGTCTTCTTGGTCATCCAAGTCCTTGACACCAATGAACAGTTCAAGCACATTTGGATGAAGTGTCAACCGCGGACTTGCTGCTCGCCCGCCCTTGCGGCGTGAGGGTAGGTGCTTGTCGAGGATGTTATGGAATGCATCTGCGAACCGCGCAAGTGAACGAGTCTCATGAGGGACCGGAGAGAATATTCCGCGGAATCCACCGAACCAGACATTTTCAATATGTTGCAAAAGAGCTTCCATCCGACGGTCCAGTGCTTCCCGGTTTTTCCACCAGTCCTTCTTCATCTGCCGGTCGGTTTGGTGCTTAGCTGCATGCGCACTTTCGTTGGCCAGCCGGATAAGCTCCTGCATATCTCCCTTGCCATCCTCGAACGTGTATTGCTCCTCCTCGTCCTCTGAACTGCCACGCTTGAGAGGTAAACGCAACAAGAACGGCGAACGACCCTTTTGCAACCGCGACACCACAAATTCAGTACGGTCACTGCTTAAGGACAGAGAAAGGACGTTCCAGTTTTCCGGAAGAATGTCAACATATTCTTCAGTAAATCGTGAGCAGAGATCCTCTTCCGGTACCACTGCAGACTCGGCAGTCGGCCAAAGCAGGGGGTCGCAGTAATCTGCGAGTTGTTTGTCAAGAGCGATGGCAGCGTGCTCCCGTGTAAAAGCACCAATGCGGCCAACCTCGTTCACATTTGCTGGTGACTGAGAGAGCGAAACAAGGTTATCAAGTGCCGTGACATGAGTCAACATAGAGATACGGCTCATCAAGCGAGAGGCGGCATGGCTGTCAAGGGTCGATCCGAGGGTCGTAGCAAGCGGGAAGATGGTGTTCAGACTCTCGCTCGCTTTGGCGAGCATCACAGAGAAGTCCTCTGTCGGCTTAGGCGTCTTGGAGCGAGTTCCTCTCGTAGCCGTCTTTGTTGGCGCTCGTGTCCTGCGAGTGGTAGTCATTCTACCAGTGCTGATCTGGCTCGCCGTCTTACTTGGTGACTGGAGCGACGGTAGGGAAATAGTCGATTCAGGGAGAACACAGTACACTGCATGAGTGGCGAAATTCCGGATGGCATCGGCGAGTAGATGCTCACTTTCTCCAATGTGCAGGGAGATCTGACTGTCCCTAGAAGTGGCAAACTTGCGCGCATCTTCCAGCAAGCTGGATGCCTTTTCAAAGTCCCGTAGTGAACGCAAGCATGCTGCTTGCTGCCGAAGAATGTCGCTCCGCAAATGAAGAAGTGACGTCGAATCTGTATCCGTCGATTCGGAGCTGGGGCTTGACACCTTGGGTGCGCTTGTAGTTCCTGCACGAGTTCGGCGGGTCGTCGTCGGCGCCCGCTGCCTCGTCTTCCTAGCAGTACCTTGGACCTGTAGCTTTTTCATCTTCTCATTAAGGTCTGCTACACCCGAGAGAACGTCCAATGGCTCAGAAGCGCCACATTCAGCCATGAGCCTGTCGGCTTCGAGGAGAGCACGGTGTTCATCGCGGTAACGACCCTGTGCTCTATGGAGGGAAGCAAGACCGATCTGAAGCGAAACAAGCTCGATACTGTTGTCGAGCTGCTTGGACAATGACTCGGCAGCCGAAAGAAGCTCCTGGCCTTCCTTCATATGCCCACCATATATCCAGTGCGAGCCAAGCTGCGCTTGTGAAGCGATCAAGCGGACGTTGGCGTTTAATGTCTTGTTGATCTTCAGCGCTTGCTCGCCGTAGTAGATGGCGTCCTGGAATAAACCGTGATGGGCGGAAAGGCTCGACAAGTTCAACAGAGCCATGTGATGCGAACCTATATGAGGCCAAAAAGGGGCACCTTGGGAGTACACAGCAAGGGTTGCGTTCGCCTGTGAGACCTCGAGTTTTGCCATTCCTTCAACCACAGTTTCCAGCTCAGAGTTTTCGTTTGATTGAGCGATCTTGTCTTGTTTTCTCTGGGCGAGCTTTTCGATCTTCGCCCAAATCCTGCAATTTAGCCTGACAGACAATTTGCCAAAAAACAGAGCATCATTGATTGAGCCCTGAGCAAAAGAGAGCCGTGAGCTCATGAAAGCCGCGTCGGCCACCAATCTCTCCCACATAAGCTTCGACAATACCGAGCAAGCATTCAGATCTTCTTTCTTCTGGTTGTTCTCATACATCGTTCGGGCTGCTGAAAGAGTACTTGCTGCTTTCTGAATGTCACCAACTTCCAGAAGATATCCCACCCGAGCTAGCTTGTGGGACAGCAATGCCAGGCAAGAGACGTCGCGTTGACTGAAATATTGGTCCGCTCGGCTCAGTAATTCTTCTGCCTTTGTACAGTATCCAAGGCGGCTGTACTGGAGTGCCAGCCGTGAAAGAACGATGATCGCTTCGGAGAAGTCGCTAGATCCTTTTAGCTCCGTCACGCGCAAGACCAGTTCAAGCGTGGAAAGTTGCAATTTCCATAGTCCGTGGATCTCAGTATAGTCGACGATAGCTTTCATCTGAAGCAAGAAGTGGTCAACGTCTCCAACGCTTGCAACTACCGAGTCCCAGCCATTGCATTCCCGCATCATCAGGTTCCACCAAGTTAGCACACTCTCCAAATCCTTTGGCTGGAGAGTGCCTTCGTGAAGTCCTAGCGTGAGTTGGACGGAATTTCGTATATGCCCTGCAAGAGGGGAGAGGTCTGAATCGTCGCCAAGTTCTTCCATGTCAAGATTGCTTGAGCCAGCCTCAATGACTTTCTGTAGTATGTCAGAATCCAGAGAGCCCGGGTATTCAAGCGAAAAGCGCAAGGCCGTGAGCACCACCCGCAAGCGCCGGATTGGATGGGTTTCTGGAGAGTATAGTTCGAGAAGTTTGGTCAGGAGCAGACCGAATGTAGACCGGAAGGAGTTATCGAGTGTAGAAGCGGAGGCCAAGTCGGTCATGATACCTAGCTGCCATTCGAGAAGATGCCCGCGCTGAAGATTGGTCAGATCGTCATCGTCGAAGACGCCATATGTTTTTGCCGACTTGCTCCTCAGGTTCATCTTCAGAAACGCATAGAGAACACGGCCAAGCATGAAACCACCGCTCTTAGGATCCTGACACATCCGATGAGGGAAGCACCCTTCTGTGATAGACAGCACTTGGTCGAGAGTCCCAGTCAGTAAATGTTCCTCAATCGACTGCTGGAAAGCTTGCTCAGCCTCACGGGCAACATTAGCCTCTAAATAGAGATGCGCGAGTTTCTCGTATTTGAGAGGCGTGAAACCCGCAACCTTCTGAGCCGGCGAGCAATCTGACAGGAGCGTCGCAGACTGCTTCAGCAAAGGCACAAGCTCCCGAACTCCTTTGCCAGACTCCCTTTCCTTGATGTACCGAGACCAAAAGAGATTTGACAGCTTCACGAAGCAATCACCAATGTTTTCGGTAATTGAATCGGACGCTTCTGCCGCTGACTCCATTGTCATCAGTAGGCGTTGGCTGTCTATCAATGTTGACTGCATTTCCTCCCAGGGCGGTCTCTGTGACAAGACAGATAGCCTTCCAATGGCAATGACAGAATCGATGGCTGCAAGGGCGATATTCCGAACCGCAGCAACACGTTTCTGGAATGGTTCTATTTCCTTCCCTTCATCTTCGGCAGGTTTGCGTCCAACGTAGCGTCGCAGAAACCTGACAAAACCGTTCAAGTATCCGTAGATTCGATAAGAAATTTCGTCATCATCCTTTTTCGGGCTTTTCTCCCTTGAAGCAATGTCTCCGAAAAGGCCCATAGCAAGCTTCTTCAGTTTGGCGGCTTCAACCAATAATTCGTCAAGATCGTTGGCGCTACCTTTGAGTGGCATACATAGGACATTGGTGGCTTCCTTGATTGCCTTTGCCAGTCCAGAATAATACTTTGTGGCCTGCTTCAAAGCTTGAAGATGCAATGATGCAATCTTACAACGTACGGTCGCGAGAGAAAGACACTGTCCGTCAGAGAGAGGAGTCAGAGTTTCCGTGTACAATTGTAAGGCTTCGTCGAAGCATCCCGCTTCCTGAGCGAGCTGGCCCAAAATGGTCGCAATTTTTGCCACGGAGATATTATCGTTCATGCTAGGCGAGGAGCGTTTTTGCACGCTGGTAAAAGTCGATTGCAGTCGAACAATGGCCTTGTAGGTGGAAGCGAAATCAGATTTTGTAATTCCTTTGCTCTGATGAGCATAGTTAGCAACGTATCGTGCCAAGGGATCCCACATCTCCTTAGCATCATCGCAGACATGGCCCGAGATCTTCCAGGACATGCAACGGATCTCGAGTGATAGTAGTTGAAGAGTTAATGATGTGGTCGGCTTTAGTCGGTTCGTTGTAGTCTGCTGTGAGCTGGAGCATAGGGATAGCACTGTATTAGACAATAGTTGAAGCTGCATGGCGGCTTTATCCTTGGTGAGAGCGCCTGCTTCTAACGCAGCGAGAGTCACATTTGCCGGGCTGCTCGGGTCCGATAATTGCAGGGATGGTGTCGCGTTCTGAATCGTTGCGGCCTTCTTTTCAGTAGAAATAAGTCGAAGCGCATTCGACTGGTAAGACACGATAAGACCATACAGAGAGCCCGCATGGCTAATATTAGAAAAGGTCAAAAGGTCAGACATCCGTTCCTTGGTTGTTTCGCCTTCCTGTTCTACCGGGCTCCCTTTCCGGCTTGAGCCTTTACTTCCACCACTGGCTTTGCCATCGAGGTATTGCTGGATCCTTCGTTTCAATGCTCTGAGTTCCTTGTAGGCCAAGTCGCCCAGACCCAATGAGAGAAACCTCCCTGCTAGAATGCATGCACCTTGTTCGAGTTGTACGTTCAGTGTCCCTTTCTCCTGATCACTTTTCAACGTCCTCAAGCATGACAGAGACATAGCCGCGCACTCTGCCACTGCTAATATCCCATTGTCTGTTTTTGTTGTTGCACTCTGTAGGGACATTTTCGACTTTCTGGGGGATTTCGCGACACGGGTGGGAGAGGGCGATTCGCGTGGGGTACTAGTCGTGGAGGATCGAGTGTCATCGCGTTTCGTCGATTGAAACTTCACTGCTTCTGAAAGTGTTTTTAAAGTCGAGTTAAAGACCTCCGTAGCGAGGACAAGCTTCTCCTGGTTCGATAGACGCGCCGCATCCTGATCAACCACTGTGCTCAAAGCCGCTTCTGCCGCAGAGACCGTCGTCCGAGATCCTCTAGTTGTTTTTGTTCGACTGGTAGTGGACGATGCCTTCGTCGTCCGGCCTACCCGCTTCACTGTCGCATTTTCGATATCTGGGGACGCTTTCGACGAACCGCGGAGTAATGTTTGGAGGGATGAGACGGTGCCATTAGAACATGTGGAGGTTGAGCGGACGGCCTGCTTCACCGATTCTACAGGTGAACCGGGGAGTAGCGTCGAGACCGTCATGGTTGGCGGAGTTTGAAGGTAGACAGTGCTGCGGTCACTGACAATTGAAGGTCGTGGGGGTTCGTTCAAGCCATGCCTTCGATGTGATCATGACAGCCGGGCGGGAGCCAAGCAAAGGCGCGTTGTCGCAGCAACCGCTCCGGGACTAATCCCAATATAGACTAGTGGATCTTGACACCGAACCTCCGATTGCCTCAGGCCGAACTGCGGCAGATAATTGTGTGCCACAGCAAGTGTACAGACACCCCAGTGAGGCAGCTTTGAGAGCATCTCGACGTCGCAATTCGACACAGTCCCCAGGACGGACCTCTTCATCATGAATTCAGCACGACTTTCCCTCCGGCATCTGGCCCAAGCGGTCCCAGCCCTCCGACCTGCCGGCGCTTTTCACATCCCAACAACTCAATTACAGTATCGGCTACAGTCCACTTCTTCCAGATCGATACCCAGATTCGCTCAAACGTCAATATGGACATCCATGATCCCCAAGTTCATCCGGAACCGCGGCGCTAAAGAAACCAAGCCGTATAAGCCGAAATCCAAGGAATGGAACCCCGCAAGTTTCTACATCATCATTTTCATCCTGATCGGATCTCAGGCCATCCGGATGATCGCATTGAAGAATGACTATGCGGCGTATACGCGATCGACAGATGCGAAGATTAGGCTCCTCCGGGAGGTGATAGAAAAGGTGAACAATGGGGAGAAGGTCGATGTGGAGAAATTGTTGGGCACGGGAGATGAGGCGAAGGAAAGAGAATGGGAGGAAGGTTGGTGCTTGCTCGCTCTTACTTTACCGTTCTACCATACTTGGAGATCTGCTTTTACTGACATGGGGCTCTTCTTTGATATAGTTCTCCGTGAGATCGAAGCGGAAGATTCATTATGGCATCGCAAGGCGGCCGCATCGGAAGCTCAGCAAGAGCAGGTTGAGGAGCCAGAACAATCGATAATGAAGTCAATTATTAAAGAGCCTGCTGTACCTGCTGAGGGACCCCGGGATCAAGGTCTACCTGCCGATAGCCCGTCTAAGAAGAAGCTCAATTTCTTCTAAGCAGATGTGCGTCTATTGATGGTTAGCATCGCCACAATGAGGTTGCACCCAATGCTACTATCAAGATGCTATTCCGGATGATGAGGATGAACTGTGCATATACGCCCAAGCGAGTCTCCATAGGTAGTTACTGCCGGAGATACAAAAACTGTTCAGAATATGGTCCTCATTCATTTCTTGATCCGAAGTACCGCAGAGGAACCAACAACCTCTAACAGCATACTGGATAGACATAGTCCTCGTCTGCTTGAGCGTGGCCATCATCTGATTTGACTTTGCACAAATACGTCTTGCTCCCTCTCCTACTCTTCAATTGATACCCACATAGCATTCAAATGTATCCCAAATTATGTATTATTCGTGGGAAGCATTCTGGACAGGTCATACGTCTGTAATATAAGCCATTATACAATGAAAAGTCGATAACAATCTTGACCACAATCTCACGAAATTAAGCAGAAACGCACAATGTGGGGGCGATGTAGGAATCCTGCAGTAGTATAAAAGACAAAACATTGAATGGACCATGTACTAACGACATTCATTAATTAATAGTGCTGGTACAGCAGCATATAGCGTCCTTGTTCTGGATATCTGGATCAATATCTGCAAGAATATATATTAAACCAGGGATTGCCCGGAACAGCTTGAATCAGGCTTGAAATGAAACGGATCACAACTGTTCATCCTGAACTTCTATCTGCTTTTGGTACATGTGCAAATGGAAATCGCGTCTGTGTAGTACATAGAAACGGAGGTCACAGGGAAGTCTTTGCCCCAAGCCAGAAATCTAAGAACCAAGGAAAACAAGTTGGGTAGTATGACAAAAGAAGATATTTCCATTTAAACAAAAGAAACAAAAGGATACAGAAACCGATTCGTCGCTATGAAAACATGAAGATGCTTATCTATTGTTTGGACTGCTGAAGGAATTTAGGCCAACGGTCTGCCGAGGGGATCGGAACGCGGCCAATGTTCTGATCCAGATCCAGGATCAGTTTGAGAGCGTTCCTGGATCTGAGGTACGGCAGAGGAGCCTTGGCGGTCTGCAGGCCGACGCCAGGTTCGATTTGTCCAGCCGGGGTAACTTCGGGTTGAGACCCGGGCATGGGAAGCATCTTCTGCAGGATCTCATAGGCGGCAAGTGTGAAACCGAACTGTGGGGATGAACGAATGATACGAGCTGGGCCTCCCTTGAAGAAAGCCTTGAATCCTTCGTCCCTCCAAACAGTGGCCGCGCAGTGACGCAGTCCGGTGTACTTAATCTCACCCTTGCGAGCTTCGACCTGCAGACGGGTCTTGATCACGTCACACGGGGTAGTAAGGTAAGCTGCGGGCATACCGGCAATAGCACCTGCGGTGAGCAATTGCACGACGCCGAGCTTGTGCGTGGGCGACTCGCCGAAAAAGTCGGACTTGAGGTGCGCATAGGTAGGGAAGTAGATGGCGGAGAACGGGACTGGTAGGTGATTCATTAGAAGGGCACTAGCAACTAGATAATGGGGCGCAAATCACTTACCATCACGAAGCAGACAGGCACTCGCTCCCTTGTACAGACCCATCAAACCCAGGTTCTTGACGATCCAGAGCGCAGAGCGGCGAGGAGCACCCTCAACAGACTTTGCGATCTCACCCTGGACTTGGAGACGAATCTTGACAATCTCCAGAGGGTTGGTGAAGATCTGAAAGACTTGCAGTTAGCATTTTGAGCCTCTTCAAGGAAGCTGGATTTCTGTCAGAATAACTTACAACTTGACAAGCTCCTGCAGTACCACCGGCCAAGATCTCGTGACCAGTCCAGATCTTTCCATTCTCCTTGTTGGTGAAGTGCCCACGCACAAGGTCGTTCACAGTGAGCTTGATAGCCTTCTCGGGGGCGACACCAATCAATTGAGGGATGACACCAGAGTACAAGCCGGTAAAACCCTCGTTGCGGATCACTTTCCTGAAGCAATCCAGCGAGTTGTTGTACAGTCTCTCTCCGACGCGAGTTGAGCGCTGGTTCTGCATACGGGTCTTCACAAGATCAATGGGGTACACCATGAAGGCTCCGAAAGCACCTGCAAGACTGCCCAGGGCGAAATGGTGGACGGATTCCAACACACTGTACAGCACCGACTTGGACTTCTCAGCAACCTGGTGCGCCTTATCCGACGCAGCCTGTCCAGCAACTGCGAGGGGCATGCGCCACGATGCGTCAATGACCTTGGCGAAATCCTTCTGCGAAAGTCTCCCAGAGGGAGCATCCAATCCAGCGAAGTGGAAAAGGATGTCGGCCTCCATAGGAGTGAAAAGGGAGAACCGGGTAACACGAGCAGCAGCATTCAAGAAATCCGCACGCGTGATCTTGCCATCGTCGCTGTGCTGGGCCGCCTCACGCACAATAACATCAATGATATCCATCTCACGCATAATGTTCTGGAAAGCACGGACGGTGGCATAGGAGATCTTGGTACCGGCAGAGATGTTGCACAGACTGGGAAGGTTTTCCAAGACATAGTCGGACAGCTTGTGCTTCGAGGTCTCGAGAATGATGCGCTGGAAGTCTTCGGGCTCGATGTAGCCATCACCGTCCTTGTCGAAAGCGTGGAAAGCTTGCCTAATACGTTCTCCCTGCAAGCCGCGAAGCATCTGAGAGAATTGAGGGTATGTCATGTCGTGTCGGTGCTTGGTCTTTCCGGTGTAGAGGGAAGCCCATTCTGAGTTCCAATCGAATGGAATGCTTTCGCTGCTCTTGCTCAGATTGCACACTTCCTTGAAAGTATCCCATTTCACGGTGCCCGTCCCTTCCGTGTCGAACAATCTAAAAGCGATCTCGTATTCTGCGTCGGGTTTGTCCAGGAGGTTCTCGAAAGTTGCCCAGTCGGCAAGGCTGACTTTGCCAGATCTGCGTCTGTCGGCGACCATAAAGAGAACGCCATAGTGCTCGCGTTTGATTTTATGCTATTGTCAAGAGAGTACCGACATGCATTAGCCAAGCAGGAACCCTTGCGAATCGTATGACACATACAGCACAATCCGGGGGATGAACGGCAAGGATCAGGGTGACTCACGTAGTCTTCATACTTGGGAGCAATAGCATTCACGAAATCTTCCTGGCTCATGTAGAGCTCTCCCGTCTCCTCATCTTTGCGTGCATGGCGCAGGAAATTGCTTTTGATCTGCTGCGATGGCTGGGGCTCCTGGGAGGTGCCCACCAAGGATTCCTTGACTGCGTCCTTCACACTAGTCATGGTGAAAAATACAGCAATCTATGAACAAACGCCAAAGATGACAGATGCAATTCCAAGGAAACCCAACGGAGCGACAAAAAGAACGGAAAGGAAACCACGCAATTCAAGCAAGCGAGGGGAGGACCGGGAATAAGAAGGGGTTGGGGATAAGAGGAGGGAGTGGAGCAGGGGGATAAAGACAAAAATAACGGGGGAGCGAGAGCGCTTTGCGCCTGAGCGATAATCGATCGATCAATAATAATATTTTAATTCCCGGGGGTGGGCAGAGTGAATCATACACTGACAGCTGGGAGCTGCGTAGAAAAAAAAATGGGGCCCAGCAGTCAAGAAAGGCAAAGATCCTGACTTTTACAAGATTTTAATTAGCTATTTGTGGTTTTAACTAATTTTTTCGTTTTGCTTTTTTTATTTTTTCCAATTTTGTTACCTTTTTTCCACATTCATCAGCACAAGCCTCACCTGGACAATCGGATAAAAAGTGTCTTTTTCAAATTTGTTTTTTTTTTTTCTATTTGGCTACTGACCTTGGGGCTGAGGGCGAATCAACCAGCAACATGGGGCGATCTCACCGCCCCTGGCTGGCATGCATGTTGTTATCTAATTAACCGCTCCGGTGAGGCCTTTTCCTTATGCTTATGGCCTTATGCATCGGAGTTGGCCCCGAACCCTGGTCAAGCGCGGCTTCCTTTCTTATTTAACTCCGCACGCAAGACCCTCACTCCCCTCACAAGGCAACTCATATACATGCCTTCATGGCTGATAATTTGCCAGATTGAATACATATCTATCATGAGGTACCATTTTTCTATGAATCAAACTTTTTTAAAGAAAATTCTCCTGTCCGAAACCTAGTTCTCCCGAAACAATGGAAAGCCACGCTGACCCAAGGGACACACCCTCGATCCACGCCCCCTCACGGATCACGGATTTCGCCATGGACAACCAACTTCTCTCGGCGTGCCACGGTAACTCCGGAACTTTGGCCACCTTCGATTATATGATAACCAACCACTGGGCCCCCTTTAGGCCAGACAACCAGGATCTGAAGCACTCCCCCAACTTCCCTCCCAAGAGTAGCGAGCCCGTTATCTAACGGAGTAGGGTGGTCAAGATGCATCTCAATTCTTCAGTGAGAGTAGCGAGCCCATAGCAACTTGGGATATGCGACCCCTCTATCGGAGTTCATCTGCCACCAAGACGCGGCCTGCGACCCGATCTCGGAACGCCATCAACGTACAGCTGAGGGGTTCAGACCGGATTTGGGTTTCCAGGTGAACAGCAGCCGCACATCAGACGAGTGATACTGTGTAGTAATGCAAGGCTTCCGGGCTTCACATGACATCGCCGTCTGACACACAGAATTGGAGTCTTTCTCCCCGTCTCGGGCCGATATGTTTGGCTCACCCGCGAATGAGATGAGCTGCTTCCACGAGAAGCGTCTCCGGCTCGGTGGGGACCCGGGACAAGCAGGAGAAACTAGGTAAACTAGGAGTTGATAGTCTATTCATCTTACCTAAGGATTAGACCTTCCCCATACTCATGGGCGTGTCTATCCCCCAACTAAACGAGCCCAAACCTGGAGAACCCCGGGGAGGCTTGTTTCCACTGTGGCTCAGCAAAATCGTCAAGGCGTACGGGGAGCCGCAGGTCCTGTGCGCCTGAAAGGCACGCGAATTGAACAACATTCGTAGACGAAACCCGGAGAGGAAGGTTGTACCGAAATATCCCTCGGGAGAAGAACACCTAAGCATGGCCTTTAGCCTAAGGCACCAAGGGGGGAAAAGGCACGGGACCAAAATTTCTCCGAGAGTAAACACGGCGCCACTCCACCTGGCATTTCCAGGTCTCGGCCTCGGCCTTGCTCCGACCTGTGCAGTTCTTCTCCGAATTGCTGTCCTCACGCGATCAGGAGGGAACTTTCCCCAAGACTGGAATGAGTAGCTGAGCAACAAGTTTCACCGAGAACTAGACTGAGGTAGGAGTATCATGTCATTCAATATACTCATTAAGCAGCTACTTTTACTAGTTCTCAACTCCCTGCTATATTCAATACACACCGAGCCCTGTTTTAGTCCCACATGTTCAACTATCATAAGTTGTTTGTTTCTCCAACTTACCGTCCATAGTAGACTACTAGTAACTAGTATCTACAAACAAAAACAAACATATTCAATGCAGACATAGTGCGATTACTATCCGTAGTAACATGCACAATATATGCCCTCACTTTCCCAACAAATGCTAACCCATACATATTATTGGATTATTATCAACGCCTATGTACATCTAGCTATCAATAATCTTCAATCATATCAGCTACACTCATTGATCATTCATCGCCATCCAAAGTAAGTATTCGTACAACAAAGGGGAAAGTACGAAAGAATTAATTAGTCAACATCCTGACATTGGTTCTTCGCGTCCCGATACTTCCTCGAAGCTCCCAAAAGGTAGTGTGAGAAGTAATAAACATGATAAGCATCAATTATCCCGTCTCAGAAGGGTTTCATTGTCCACCGGCACACAGGATTAATATGTACTACTGCTAGTTAATATGTAGCACTTGTTGGCTTCGTTTCTTTTCTGGATAGACGGGCACCTGTGTAACTGGTTCTACCCATTTGCTCACCTCTACGCAAATGTATCAAGAAGGTTGGCCGGTAAATGCTGGCTCACAGGTGTTATCTACTTCGGTCAGCCTCAAAGGCTTGAAATAGAGCCTGCCCGTACGATACGGTTGATGGGAAAGACACTGTGCCTGTGTACAGACGCGATCCAAATGTATGTTGATTAACGATGACTATGTACTCTCCACCAAAGAATATTGATCCAGTACGAATGACGATATGGATATCGTGGCCCCAAGTTCCCAAGACTTTATACCGGTAAGCTAGGCACCTCTGGCGGCCTAGGGTTTCTCTATACGCAACAACCTGAAGAGTACTCTTTCCACAGGAAGAAGATACAACATGACGGTGTTATATCTAAATGCCGTCAGCGTCACACATGCACCGACGACAGCATCTAGGATGAAATGATTGGCCGTCGCAACGATAGTGAGTGCCATGAGCATGGGCCAGATGGGCGCCACAGCTCGAAGGTACCAATGCGGGCTGAACTTCAGCAGGCAGAGTGCAATGAACATCGAGTTTCCAAAATGAAGTGAGGGCATCGCTGCAATTGTAAGTTGGAATTTGTTCTGCGTCCAAGCTGAGCCGCCTGTATTGCTGTGCAGAACGTCGATGAAGCCGTACTCTTCTGGCAGCAGGCGAGGTGGCATGCACCTCCACAAGGTAAGGATGGTGAAGGCAATGACATTCTCGAACGCCAGCGTACGCCTGATTGCCTGATATTTGTCTCGTTGGAGGAAGGTATAGCAGCAGACGATGAATATCACGCCGAGGACAATGTGTGAATAGTATACCCGAGCCAGGAATCCCATGAGCCATGGCTTCTGCTCAAGCACATACCTTTGTACAGACAGCTCGACATCGAGGTGAAGGAAGTGCTCGAATGAGAGGATGGAAAGGGCATGACGCTCGGCAGTGTCGAAGATAGTCTCATGGCCACTAATCATTCTAGCGGAAAACGCCCGTAAACCTTGATAGATCTGCCCACCTAGTCAGTTATGCGTGGTACTATAGGAAGTGTGCCTTGGGCATCGAGATGTGTCTCACCCAATATGTGAGTAGCCAGTACCATATTTCCAACAAGAAGGGGAACTTGGCTAGGATCCGTGATTGTATGGTTCGGCGGTTTCGGATTGTGCGCTCATCAGTGTCCTCCTCGTTTGGTTTTATGTCTACTGGAGGGGCTTCCAGCAGTGGTGACTCGACGTCCGGCGTAACGAGGAGCTTAGCGTTCTTGCGCCGATTGATGAGTGATCCTGCGGTGAAGGCGGCAACAATCGCTACAAGAGGACGGGAATATCAGTATGCTTCTTCGGATGATGCGGAATTGCAAGTAGCAGGGACATAACTTACCCGCAGGCTCTAGAATGTTCTTCACTGCGCCCATTTGAGATGCTCAATGTATGGAAACCAGGCTTAGGTCATGTACACCGGTCGTCGAGGTTACCCTGCACTGCAGGCGGAAGCTTCGCATACGCTAGAACTTATCGATGGGCCCAGCAAATGGAATTGATGTTGTTTCCTCGAGCCCAACGCCAGAGGATCTACCTTGTCTGAAGTCTTGCAAAAAGATCCCGGAAGCCAGTCGGAGAAAAAGGAGAAGGGAGCCAAGGTGACAACGAAGGACTGAGTTCAAAGGGTTGTCGTCATCCTCCGTGGTTGCCATACTTCCGTGGATACCTGGCGCCTGGTGGGGTTTGGCGTGTTTGCATGGCCGATGTGGAAGAGCCCTGGCAAAAGGAAAAAAAAAACAGGGCGGCAGGCAGGTGAGTTTGACTAGTCTGCTGGGTTAGGCAGACCCATCACCTTTGTCCAGCAACCATGAACGCTCTAACGATTTCTAAGAAGTTATGGAGAAACTGCCTATGGACCACACCGAAGTAGGTCACACGCGGTATTACCTCCTTTGAGAGCCACTCTGGTCTGGGCCCGAACTTAGCGGCGGTTCATCAGGATCCATCGTATCCGATGGAACCGGTGGCCGAATCGGGCTGCCACTGTTCTGCTACATTTCAGCCACCATGGCGGGTAAGGCTGGAGTTCAAACGTTGCAGAAGTTCGTATCCAAATTAGCTACAGGTACGGAGTAGACTGAGTGAGATGGTGATCCTAGTAGTACGGGCAGTGACGCCTAGAGAGCCAAGTGTTTTCGGTCCCGCTTTATTGGTTCCTACCACGCACTAATTCCTTCGACCAAAAGCTTCGCCGATCTTCAATACATGAACGACTCTTTTCCTCATCAATGTTTTATTCCTTTCTCAGCGTTTTGCCGTTTTTCGAAAAGATAACTAAGGGGACTTGCAGTTGATGCGATTTGTGGGGTACAGTGAGAGTTAGCTCATCCTATTTTTGTTTGTCGATCGAAGCCATCTTAGCGTAAGTGACTCGCACCCGCGATATATCTCGTATCTGTATCTGAGCCCCTTTCTGTACAACACCACTCATAGGATTTTGCTCTCATCATGATGCTAGGATGCGACATACATTGGTATTAAAACGGAACTTGCGAATTAGCCTCACAACACATCCAGTAGTAATGTAGACCTGTTACTGCATACAAACTATATGCAGTTGTCATGGGCCTTTAACCAGTCCTAGAGTTCCAGGTAGCATCTCTTGGTGGAACCAACAGGAGCATTACAAAGAACCAGGACTCTATGAATATATTCAATTAAATATTTTCGCTCGATCAATGCCCCATTATCGTAACAATACTCCTAGAATATCTTGAAGCAAAGCCCAAATTTAAGCTACTGCCAGATGAAACTCTCGCTGGTAGCTCTCGTGAAACAAGGGTTTGGCCGTAGTCCCTGAAGTCCCCACCAGATATAGACCCATCTTCAAGGCTTCTGTTGATAAGATTAGTAGGGGATGACTCTGCCATAAGATATCAGGAGCGTGGGTATACTGTCATTATCTGGCCCATCATATATAGTAGTTCAATAACATGACTTTGACATTAGTATATTCGTCAGATGTGCTAAGTTAGCACCACGTGTACTACTCTTTTCTATGTGTAGATTTCCCATCACATGTGATGAGTTTGTGCGAGCACTCAAGTATCTGAAAGTACATCTGGACTTTTGTGCAAGGAACCAACTCAATGAAGGCTCTGAACAGTGCTACAGACATATTTCCGGATTATCTCCACCTCTCCACCATATTGCAAGCACGAGCGTCAAGTTGAAGGTCAGCTGATCATGAAAGCACTGGACTCCCAAAAATTTCAGTATGACATACGGCTCATATTCGGATTGTGCGAGATTGTCTAATAGGCTGTAAGCTGAGGTTCAATGCAAAGCCATTTTAAGCTTATCAGCAGATGGGCGAATGGCATGCTGGTGGACCTTGCTGCCTTGCTGTTCGGTGGATAAGTCCGGGCTCAAAGCTTGCTGTTACCGTATCAAAATTAGACAGGAAAAAGAAAGCCTTGGTCTTACTATTCCTCGATGCAAAGAATTTGTAGGTAAATTGATATATCTATACGCATAAAAGATGACGACCAGCTCGCTGGAAAGAAACAGGGACGGGCTCTCGGTGGGGCACCGAGCGGCTAAATATACCAAGCCTTGGAGCGCTACCAAAGAGATTCGTCATTTCTCCCTCGCCAAGTTTCGGCCATGGCGAAGTGTCCTCCACATCACTCAACGTCCCCATTGTTAGTGTTGAAAACCTGAACCCTTTACAGCACCCTTTTGCGACCATCATCATGCAATTTATTGACTGTCGATCATGCCTATTCCTGGATATCTTCCAGGGCTGTCACAGTGATCAACGAGGGCCATGACCCACCATATTGAGAAGATGTTGGACTGATTGGGCTGCAAGTACACCGAGATGCAGACTGCTGACGGCAGAAAGGAAAGACAGGCCCGTGAACCAAAGCACTCCTCCCGCGTCGAAAGGGGACTAGAAGTGCTAGCCAGTAGCCAGATTTCCTGCTGCAAATGCAGTGGATCGTAAGGCGAGGTTGGTGGCCTTTTCATGGGCTGCGAAGCGGATCGCATCACCAGTCAACCCCCTCTTCTCCAAGTGGGCGCTCCACCCGGAACACGTACCAATAGGCCCCGGTGCAATAAATTAATCCCAAACGGGCCAAGTTGCCCACCCCCGAAACTGGCTATTTTTCTAAAATGGTTTTGGCGCCGGGGCTCGTCGCCTTCGAGCACCACGACCCGGTTCGTTTCTTATCTCATTCCTCATCGACTCTCTTTCCGCCCAGCCCGAATCCTCGCGCAACCAGCCGCATCGTCGGAAAAGAGGACCCTGAATACGACTTTCCTTCTATCACACCGTGTCGACGAGTCAATCAGCTGGGATATACGTCGATGGGCAACCCTGAAGTGACCTTTCTGTGGCCCCCTCATTCCCGAGCGCCTCACTCCTGAACACTTCCTCCAGCCATGTCGAATCGCGGTTGATTGCGGTGACTGGTTTTTGATACCAGCCATATCCTTCCGGTGATCTATGCTAGGCACCTTTGGCAGATGTGAAGGACCGAGGAACGATGACAACAGAGCTTACTCGCGATGCTCCTCAGATCCGGACATCAGGATGGCTTCCGCGGACCTTGCGCCGACAATACTTGATCCCGTTGGCCTGCCTCATGTTCTTCATGCTGTTGGTGACTGAGTTCCTTCGACAACTGGGCAACAATGAAGGTAGCCTCAGTCTCTTTACCTCGACTGACCAACTCACCGACACCCGAAAATTCGCCTACACCTACGTCCCCACGATCCTGAGTATGATCATCGCAGTCTTATGGTCCCTCGTTGAATACGACGCTCTTCGGCTCGAACCGTACTTCCAACTATCAAGACCCCAGGGGGCTCCGGCTGATGTGCTTCTTCTCAATTATGAATTCGGTCACTATACAACCGCGCCATTTTTTGCTATGAGGAACCGCCATTGGATTGCGGTCTGCATCTCAATCCTGAGTATCCTCCTGCAATTGGTATTCCCGTCGTTGCAAAGTAGTCTGTTCAACATGGATGATGCTACCGTCTACAAGAATCAACACCTTCAAACATGGCCGACTATCGTGAACCTCGAAGAACAAGGATTATTGGTGGATAACAGCAACCAGAACACGTCCAGCTTTCGAGACCATCGGGATTTGTCTTATACTCAGCCGGAATCGAGCAAGTATGCCATGGCACCTGTCTCTATACCTTTGGATATTCAATACGACACGAAATTGTGGGAACTCACGCAATCCATCTATTGGGCAGAGTTGTCCTGTACTGAGATCGACGTGGACGATGCCGTAACCATTGATGTATCCTCCAATACTTCTTCATTCGGTGTCGGGTCGCCCACTAGACAACCCTTGATTTGGAACCTCAACGACGTGTCAACAACCGATAATTGCACGCTGGAACTTAGCGAGGAAATCACTATACCGCCGACCAACTCATCTGTACAGATCTCACACTGGCAGCCGAACGTATCCACGACTAGTATTACCAAGCAATGTGCTTCCTTCGACTTAATTGGACTGACGGTAGACGTCAGTCTCAACAAAACCAGTGAACTTGATCGCCAGAAATCTGACTATTCGAGCTCTGATTACACCCATCAGGTCAGTGGATTTGGCTGCAAGATTGTCTATCAGACCTCGGAAGCTGGCATCTCAGTGCAAGTAAACGGTTCGCTTTCAGTCGTTGATCTGCATCCGAATTCGACTACAGAGGTGTCGCGAGCTTCTCTCAATACTACGCATTTCAAAGGCATAATCCTGCAAGAGGTGGTCTCCACCAACGGCACTTCCTCGTTCAATAAGAAGCCTGTGAGACCATCAACACTTCATCGCGATATCATCTCGAAGCTGGAAACTAGCGTACAAGGTGCTTTTGTACCTTTGATGAACAGGATTTTCGATGTCACCAGCCAGTCACACTATGTGCAAGCTTCTCATGTGACACATCAGATGGCCATCATAGTGGGCCCGGTGCAGTCCTTCGTGTCCGAGGCAATCCTCCTGTTCGGAGTGGTAGTGGTCTTGTACTTGGCATACACCTACCCCAACCGCCCAAATATGCTTCGAAGTGACCCTGCTTCTATCGCATCCATGTGTGGTATCATGGCTGATGTCATTGATGCTTCTTGCCTCTCTCACTTGAACCTGGATCAATTGTCAACCAGACAGCTGAGGACGATCCTCAAAAACTATACTTGCCGCTGGCAGCAAGCTTCTGAGCCTCCCCGTATTTGCATTGAGCCATCTGCTGGTGAGTCTCCCCGCACTAATCGTAGGGCCTCATAAAGCAGAAATATTGACTTCTGTTTAGTTCCTCGCTCTCAAAGACAGATCTTCCAAGGCAAACCCGATCCAAGACCTCATTTCCTCCTGATACCAATCTTTGCCCTTGAAATCTTCCTTTTCATAGCGGTATTTGCTGGTATTGTGACGATATTCGTGCTGTGTGCCCGGGATGGGGCATTTCATTCCTTGACCTACCTTGATTCAGACAGTCTGGCAGCATTGTTCCAGTTCATTCCGTCCGCACTTGCTTCCATTATCAGGGCATTATGCCTCTCGATATACCGCTACCTGAGCGTTCTGGAACCATGGTCTGTTCTTCAAGCGGGAGGCGCCTCTGCTGCGTCTTCCCTACTGCTTGAGTACGGATCACTGAATCCTCTCGCTTCGCTTTTTAAGTGGTTCAGTTACCGCCACTTCTTGCTGGGACTCGTAGGAGTGGCGTGTTTGTTCAACACCGCAATGAGCATATTGGCCAGCGGGCTTTTTCGGCACGAGCTTGGCCCGACGAGGGTTGATACTAATATGAAGTCTAATTACAGCTATGCGTCAATCGCCATAAGACAACCTTCGCCAATAGGCCCCGAACTTGACACTATTAAGAGCAGCATCTACAGTGGAACCTCGGTGCTCTCTTGGACTACATCCAGCTACTCTTTTCTCCCTGCATGGACGGATACATCTTCTGAATGGCTCGTTGGGGGCACCATACGGGGCGTTGGTGCCGATTTAGCATGCAAGCAGCTTTCGATCGCCGACAGCTATTCCGAGGACCCGATAACAAATGTAGCCAGTTGGAAATACTCACCTTTCAACGAATCAGATACGGTGTGCCAAATAGACACGATCCAAGACACTGAGGCTAGCCAGGACAGCCTGACGGTTCGCTTCTTCGCTTCACCAACGTCTGCAGAATCAAGTGGCTGTCATAAGCCCGCTGTCGTTGTGGTTGCCTACCCTAGCGGAAGTAGCTACTTACAAACTACATCCGATACCGCAGTTGCGTTGTATTGTGAATCCCTATTCCTCATGCAGAATTTCTCCGTTGGATTTAATTCGGATGGGTACATACAATACTATGCTCCTCTCAATGGCACATTTGTCAGAGATGATGCAATTGTGCGCAATGGTACAACAAACCTCGCCAACTACAACCTCAGGCTATCGAGCCCTTTGAGTTTTACCTACAACGGCTCGCATCAAGAGACAAACAATGCAAGCAGCACTGATTGGTTTGGCGCCCTCACGGCAAGTCTGTACCGCATTTTGGACACCAACACAAGTGTCGTTACTGCAAGTGTTTTAGAATCCGCCTCCCGCAATGTCTACCGGACAATCTTTGCAACTGATCTATCGCTTAAACGGGACTCTTACTTCCAGCTTCAAGATTCTCCTGCTCGAATCAGCGACGGTATTATCTACAACATGTCCTGGGCGGTGGTCCCATCGTTTGCATCATTTATGTATGTCCTAATCATAGTGGTTTTCGATGGGTGCGTTGTCGCCTCGGTTTTCCTTACCAGGAGAGGTCGTTTTAAATTTCCTCGCATCCCACGGTCTATCGGCTCCATCATCCCTTGGGTCATCCATGGACAGGTTCTGAACGATTTCAAGGGAACATACGCTTGGAGTGAAGGCTACCGAGAAAAACACTTTGTCGATATGGACAAACGATACAAACTAAATCGACAAGAAACGCCCGATGGGCAATGGAAGTACGTCTTGGATGAAGACAATTCTCGCCGCAACAGCGGATCTTCTACCATCGAGTTACAGGAGATTAGTCCGGCGCCGAAAAATCGGTTCCGAACCCTTTTGCGAAGGGTGACTTCTGATGACAACAGAGATCAAAACGGATGATGACCCTCATGGCTTGATTGATCTCATTACCTCCGACATCTTAACGGCTTCTTTTGCCCGAATTTCGACACGCATTCGCTTACTGGCAAGGTAGGCGTCAATGACAGGCACTGGCTCAGGAATAGCTCCCCAGATCGCTATCGAATTGGCAAAGGGGTCTCAATCCGATTTACGAAACCGTTGACCTTGGTACGCGCAAGAGGTTCTAAACTAGGCGTCCGGATCTTAAGACGGCCCCGACCTTGCTCTAGAGCCACTCCGCATTGATGCCCCGATTTCCCCAAAGTCCTGCCATCGCCATCATGGAATCCGGAAATGGGAAGAACCAGGCTCGCTTGAAACCTTGACTTAAGCTCTGAGAGCTATTCTCGAGCCACAGTCACTCGTATTTGCTGATTAGCAAGATCGTCGACACATTGCAAGCTGGCATCTTGCACTTCCCATCTGGAATAGCGCAAAAAGTCCTTCGGATACGAACGATGAGGACCAATGATTCAGTCGTGGGGTGTGATATCGGTGTGCCCATATGCAAGTGCCGTCAATGTCCCACACGCTCGCCCATGTGTGCTCCGAAGCCCACGGCAAACAGTTATCTCATTCGGCAGTTCAAACTCTGCAGAATGCTTGTCCACTCTATAGTGAGGGGAGCTTGCAATCGTCGAGTGCGGGAAATTGTGAAGATGCCGGGTGGTCGACGAGGGGGGATGGCGACCGGCAGCCAATGGCTAGTGTTCATCACATTCTAAGCGCCGAGCAGCTGCACGATCAGGCACAAGTCACCCCTTCATCACACCTAGTCTCGAGGTCCCTGCTGAGCGACAACGAATCATTGCGTATGGATGGGAGCAAAGCGTCACCTCCTGACCCAAAGTTCTTAAAATAGGTTGCCATCCATCGCCAGGTCAACCCCTCGCCTTCGCCCTCCCCACCACCAGGGTTTCTTCCCAGCAATGAAGGTCGAACAACTATATAGCCGCCCAGCTAGCCCGGGGCTTAAGGGTTCTTCCTCTTTTTTTGACACACAATTTGTTTTGGGCTTTGCTGGGTTTTTGTTTTCGTTCTATTTTCATCCTTGAGTAGTTCGTTTGGCTGGTCCAGGCGACTATCTGTTTTCAACTTCTTGTTTGGCACGTCATCGAGTAATAATAGTATCATTTACACGCCTGCCTTCTCGGAAACACTCTGTTGATCAAAGTGTTCTTCCTTGATAATCTTGTGCTGCTGCTCCCTGCGCCTGTTCTCTACTTTATTCTTCCACCCAAAGAACAAGACATCCTTTTGCATTCAATCATCTTTCCAACCCATCAGTGTCAGTCAATATGATCGCTCGCAACGCAAGGCCGAAGCTTTCACTGTGCACCTCTGCTGCGCAAAGTACTTCTCGTCAGCCGTTGTCCCTCAAGTCTCCTAGCGCGATCCCGCGTACTCCGATTTCCCCTGCCAGCCCGAGTGCAAAGCGGTTCTCGTCTTTTCAAGTCCCAAGCTATGCCTACAGCAACTCGTGCTCGTCCAAGAGTATTCTCAAGAAACATTCGGGCGCTTCGAGCCATGCAGAAAAGCGGATTAAGTTCAAAGGCACTCCCACTGTCCACTGTGTCACGCCCATCGAGAATCCCGAGGAGTACTATGGCACTTACACCAAGTTGTCGCGCGAGGAGCGACGTTGGATGGTTCGTGAATGAAGACGAGGCTGATGTCGCTACAACCAACACTACGGCGAAAGGCAGATCAGTGGGGATGCTGGGCCAGAAATCCGAAGAGCCTTCTGACGCGCCACGGTTTCTGCGCCCTCCCCGTTCCGACTCGGTTCTGATACAGCCGATCCGGTATCTGGAGCGCAACGACAGCTCAGGGTAGGTCTGACGGCGCGAAACATCGAATGACCTGGAGCGCAGCCGAAACACTGGGATGGATGCATCTGGTGGAATGAGGATAGACTCAGCGTGTATATGATACCTGTTATGTTCATGATGTGATGATACGGTCCGGCGTTATGTACTTAGTATAGGGCCTATCTTGGGCTAAACCCAACGACGATCGTTATGGCTCCATTGCATTCAGTGCTTGCAGTAGATTAGTAGACCTGCTCATGCTGTATTCTCAGCGGTGATCCTAGCCACTTTAGACCGACCGTAGCGATTTATAGTAACAGTGGCGGCGGCCCCGGGTTTCGATGGCCCGTGCGAGGAGAATCCCGATACGATAGTCTTTAGTTTTCCCGCCGACAAGCCATACCCAGAAAGCTTGCCTCAGCCTTTCTTCGCTTGTCTTTCAAATCCTCTCCAATGTTGAGCAGAGTTTCCACCTCAGCATTACGCAAAGGCTTGTGTACTGCTCCGAGGTGGAGTCTTCTACCTCGAAGCCGCCGCGGCCTGCTCACACTTGCCATCGAAACTTCCTGGTGCGTCTAGTCCGCCCGGACTTACTTTCCGCGACAGCATAGCTAATCGTTCTGATCTATCTAGCGACGACACATCGGTAGCTATCGTCGAGAAGGAATCCAATGCCGTTCAAATCCATTTCCTCGATAAGGTGACATGCGACACCAGCGCATACCAGGGCATCCACCCGGTCGTGGCTCTCGAATCCCATCAAGAGAATATCGCAAGTCTCGTCCATAAAGCACTCGCTCACCTGCCCGTCGCGAAGCACGAAAAGCAACAAACGATCAATGTATCGAGTGATTCCCAATTGCGCAGGAAACCCGACTTCGTATGCTCCACTAGGGGACCAGGGTTCCGCTCGAACCTCTTTGTCGGGCTAGATACAGGAAAGGCGCTTTCCGTCGCATGGCAGGTGCCGTTCGTTGGAGTCCATCATATGCAGGCTCATCTGTTGACTCCTCGTCTTGTATCCTGTATGAACCGTGGCAAGGGCCAAGATAACAGCCAGGATGTCGCGGCGTCGCAGCAGCAGCAGCCCATCACTCCCGAGTTTCCCTTCCTCTCTATCCTCATCTCTGGCGGCCATACAATGCTAGTCAAGTCCTCCTCCATAACCGACCACGAAATCATGGCTTCGACGGTGGACCGAGCCCTCGGAGAAGCTCTAGACAAGGCCGCCCGCGAAATCATTCCTCCTTTTCTCCTTCAGACGTCAAAGAGCACCATGTACGGGAAATTGCTAGAAGAGTTCGCCTTCCCGAACGGCAAAGCCGACTACGCCGACTACCAAGCTCCCAAATCTCGCCACGACGAACTTATCCCACGAGAAAACCCCTGGGGCTGGTCGTTCACAGAGCCGTGGGCCCACAGCCGTCAACTGCAATACAGCTTCTGCTTCATAGGCAGTACGCTGGCGAGGATATTTTCCGCTCGCGAAGCAGCCGGTCAAACTATAAGTCATGAGGAGAGGATAGCACTCGCTCGGGAGGCAATGCGGACTAGCTTTGAGCATCTCGCGTCGCGCACTATCATGGCGCTGGAAAGCCTTGCGAAACAAGGGCCTGAGAAGGAGGTTAAGACCCTCGTTGTTAGTGGTGGCGTTGCGGCGAACCAGTACCTTATGACTGTGTTGCGCTCGTGGCTGGATGCCCGCGGGTTCGGGCACGTTGGGCTTGTTGCTCCTCCGCCATACTTGTGTACGGATAATGCTGCTATGATTGCTTGGGCGGGTATGGAGATGTTTGAGGCGGGCTGGCGCACGAATCTTACCTCTCGGGCTATTAGAAAGTGGTCGCTTGATCCACGGGAGGGGGATGGTGGTGTGTTAGGGCCTTTCGGGTGGGAGAGAGCTGAGGATCATTTTGTACAATAGACGGTAGGATGTTGTTTAGCGGCACTTCACTCTTTCGAGTGTGTATTTTTATGAGCTGTATATAGATCACAACCAATGTATCACCACTACTACTGGGCTTTACTCGCAACTGACTACAATTCAAAAACTCTGTATAATCATGTACATTTCATTCCATGTCATATGAACTAGTATTCGCAAGCCAAGCGGAAGGTGCTACCTTACCACAGACAGATATGATACAAGTCCTGGTTTGCTCAAGACAGCACCAGTTGTCCGTGACGAGACTGTTATCCCAATCCCCGTTTCCAGAGGTGACAGCTTATCAGCCTATCACCAGGAGAAAAGAGCTCATCTCCACATCCATCCACCAGCAGCGACAAGCATTTCGGGTTCTTTAAATCTCCTGACCCTCGCCTGAAGTTTCCAGCATCGGTCGACTTTGTAAAGTTTCTTCAACCTCCAATTTCCGTCAACCACCTGCAACAGTGCCACCCTGCTGCAGCGCCGTTACTTGCTTCCGAAGCTCGAGGAAGAAGTCTTTCCCGTTTGCCATTTGGTTGGCTGTATGTTTGTCATGCGCGTTAGGTTATTGTTCGTTTGTTTTGTGCTGTCGTTTCCTGGGGGGTAGTCACGTACGCTTTGCGCCCCAGGGTCCGCTCGCACGGTTGTTCACGTCCTTTCCTTGTGGTTTGTAGTGGTAAGGCCTCGGTTCTGAAGAGGAGATGGGAGTTAGCAATAGGCAATCGTAGATATTGGTTTCGGATGAGCAGTAGCGGTATGCGCACCTCCCGGTCCTAGAGCCCAGCGCAAGCTGTGTCTTAGCTGGTGTCATTCCTCGCACAGAAGTTGGTCTAAACGCACCTTTTCTCAGAGCTCCCTTCGACTCCGCGGCATTGAAGCCTCGCACGGGGACATGCTGCTCCTGCTGCGGCCCGGAAGCGAACTGGTCACGCGAATCTCCCCAATTATTCTGTCCCCCCCGAGACCCACCATGCGCGCTCATAGTGCGGGCGTTGGATTGTCTTTGCGCCGAATGGCGGTTCTGGTCGTATGAGCGACCTCCGCGCCATCTAGAATGCATACCCACGGGTGGGTTGTTGTTAGTCTAGAGATCCGGGGAGAGGAAAGTAATTCAGTCAGGAAAAAGGTGGGTGATTCACTTACCGCTCCTCACCGGGACCACTCATCCTGTAACTATCTAACCAGTAGACGGTAAACAGAACAACAAAGTGGGCTTGTGAATGGGAGAGCTCTTGGAGGTAATCAAGAGGGGAACTGAACTGACAGACAAGAAGGTCGGCGGGAAGCAGCGCGAATGTGGAGAGCGGCTTGGGACTCTCCGCCTTTGGGGGCCCGACGGCCAGCCAAGCGGGTTGCTTTGCTTATCATAAGCCAGCATCTGGTCAACTTCCCGCCCTCTCGCGGCCTGCGCGTCTTATCCCCTCTCTGTTGTCTCCCACATTCACTGTCGAGTACTGTCTTTTCCGACCTTGGCGGCTTGGAGGAGTCATGCTCTATTTATTTCCGATCGTTTGAACTTCGTTTCCTATCTGCTTTACGGCGCGACGTGCGTTTGTCTGGAATCCCAGAACGTGCGGCTGAGCGGCATCGCTCGGTGTCGCTCTATCACCAACTCCTTTCTAGCCGACTTTCTATCCGTCTCTGTTCGCGCTTATTCCCGCCTTATTTCAAGCTATGGCGCCCCTCTCATGGCCTAAGAGCCACCGCTCGCCCAGCAGACCCTCTCGATCCCAGACTAGAGTGACCTTGAAACCTCCCTCAAGCTCCGACTCATCGGCAACCAACGAAGGCCCTCCCCTCAAGAAGCGAAAGTATGTCCCTGGCGGACCGGGTGGTGGTGGGAGATACATCGAGCTGGAGGTGAAGGATACGCCGAAACCCAAGCCCACACCAGCAGTCAGACGTAATTCTTCCAACTCTCGTGGTCGCAATGGCCCAGTTTCAGTTCCAGAGTCAGCACCACAACCTCAGCCTGTACAACTTCCTCCGCCGCCGCCACCTCCTGTTCCGACGACACCTCCCTCCGCGCGTCTAAGAAGAGAGAAGAGTCAGAACCGGGGCCGTTTTGGGTCGTCGACGGCGGCTGCCCTTGCTCTACAACAAGGGGATGGTTACAAGCCGCGAGAGGAGCGTGGTTGGGAGGAGTTCCACCCGGATCTAGATATCGAGACGAAGTTTGCGGTTTTCGATGCAGAGGAAGTGGATCGCCCCCCTCCCACAGCCTCGATTGCTCATATTCTGTCGCCGAACGGCCTTGAGATGACGAATGAGAAGGATCCAATAGCTGAGCTGATTCGCGCGCATACGAATGGCTCGTCACCGACCCCTATCAAGCGCCGACCAGGCCGCCCTCCTCGTCGACCGGAAGCCATCCTTAACGCCTTGGGCATTACACATCAACAGAAGAATGTTCCACCCCCAGGCCCGAATCCACGCGAGAGGCTAACGCTGCCGAAGCCCTCGTTCCGCATACGCGACCCGTTCACGTTCTATGACCAACCCGGAGTAGGTCAGCAGAACTATGTTGATCGCACTATGGCGAGTGTAGGGTATCAAGAAAGCGACCTATTCCTCCGTCATGACCGTCGTTTGATCCGCATGACAGAGGGCGCTCAGGAAGATGATCTGGATTCGGCGAACCCGGTCACTTCAGAAGGAGAGGTCAATGCTGCCGTTGGCCGGGTGGAATATGATATGGATGAGCAAGATGAGAAGTGGCTGGAGGAATATAATGCGAAGCGAAGAGAAGATCAGCTGGAGCCAATCAAGCCGGCGGTCTTTGAGATCACCATGACCAAAATCGAGAAGGAGTGGCACATCCTAGAGAAGCGTATACCGAAGCCTAATCCCAAGCCTCCTCAGACGCAACGTCCTCGTTCGAGCTCTGCAGCGGCGGTAAATGGCGAGACAGCGCCGGGTGAGGAACAAGACAGCAAATGTGCTATCTGCGACGATGGTGACTGCGAAAACTCCAATGCAATTGTCTTCTGCGACGGTTGCGATTTGGCAGTACATCAGGAATGCTACGGGGTGCCGTTCATCCCTGAGGGACAATGGCTGTGTCGCAAGTGTCAGCTGATTGGAAGAGGGTCTGTCAACTGCATCTTCTGTCCAAATACCGAAGGTGCCTTCAAGCAGACTACCTCCTCGAAGTGGTCTCATCTCCTGTGTGCGATATGGATCCCGGAGGTCTCTATTGGTAATCCTTCTCTTATGGAACCGATCACAGACGTGGAGAAGGTACCTCGCAGTCGCTGGAAGCTTCACTGCTACATTTGTCGCCAGAGAATGGGTGCCTCGATACAATGCAGTAACAAGAACTGCTTCGTTGCGTTCCATGTTACATGCGCACGGAGGGCTCAGCTTTATTTGAAGATGAAGTCTGGCCATGGAACTCCGGCAGTCATGGACTCCCATCTACTCAAAGCGTTTTGTGACAAGCATGTTCCACCGGAATGGCGCAGAGAGCATGGAACAGATGTTGCCACGGCCGAGGCAATAGAGTACTACAGGACTACAATGCAAGGCCGCCGATGGGGAGACAGCCAGGCGGCAGCGCTTTCCTTGGAACCTACACACCCTCTTGGCTGCGACCACGGGGATGAGGACGGATATCGCACACATACACCACGCATTACTCTGACTGTTGGCGGCAATAAGCGAAAGCGACCGACTGTACCCAAGACTATCTGGAAGCTACCTTCCGGGGCCCCTGTGATCCCTCAGGTCGTGCTGAACTCGGTTGTGGCCTCGCTGCAGCGCTTCGGGGTTCGACAAAGAAAGCAGTATGCTGAGGATGCATGCAAATACTGGACGCTGAAACGAGAAGCCAGGCGGGGAGCCGCACTTCTGAAACGTTTGCAACTCCAGCTGGAAACCTTTTCGTCCATGGAGATGACAAGGAGAGACTATGTTGCTATGGGAGTCCCTGGGAGCAAGAGGTTACAACGGCGTATTGAATTTGGTGAGAGACTATATCATGATTTGGATCGATTGAGGATGCTGTGTGATGAGGTGAAAAACCGCGAGAGAGAAAAGTTAAAGGACGTGGAGACGCTTAAGACTATTGTCGACACTGTCTACTTTCCCATTTTCCCTCTGCTCTGGCCGATTTTCGAGAAAGCTCAAGGGTAAGCATGTTTCATCTACTTTCCCTCACGTGGTCTAACAACGCGGCAGGCTTGATGGCAAAGGTATCTTTCGACAAGGCCTGGCGTCTATTCGAAGCAAGTTGCAAGAACGCTTTTATCCTTCGGTTGCTACCTTTTCCGCCGACTTGGCCCATGTCTTCACCACGGAGATCGGAGTCCAGCCGGCTGGAGATACGGCTGAGCTTCAGATGCAGATTAGTGGTCGTGCTCCGGAACTTAGCCTAGAGCAACGCGAGAAAAGGAAGCTTGCCAAGCGGATAATCAAAGCTATTCAGCCTTCGCTAGAAGATGCTATCAGAAAGGAGAGCGAATTGAACCGCAAGCCGTTCGAACAAGAGCTCAAGGAGCTCGATCTCATGCTGGAGAATAGTGTCATGTCCAGACGGGGCTCCGAAGTCGATGCGCCAGAACAAGCCAACGATGAACAAGCGTCGACAGTACCAAATGGTACAGAGCAGAAGGTTGAGGAAATGGCTGTATTGGCTAAATCCGAGCCTGAAGATACTGCTGGTGTTGCCGACGTGCTTGGGAAAACAGATGCACCTGTCGAGCCTAGTGCGGTCGAGTCCCAACCTGCAGAGGCATCTACTGAGCCTCAAGTACAGCAGGACACGAACATGGAGGATGCTCCCGCTGATATGCAGGACACAGAGCCTCCAAGTGCAGATGTGGCGCCCACAGTTGTACAGCCTACAATTGAAGATCAACCACCTGTTCCTGATCAAAATGGAAATATGGAGAAAGAGTGTGTTGAGCCATCCAAGCCACCAGTGGAGACCCAAAAAGGGCCGTTGACGCCCCCACCCAGCTTCAAGGGTGATCAGCAATATCCGTTGGCGCAAGGAGGCATCCAGTGGTATATGCAACCATTCGACCCCATTGGTACCACCATCCACGAGGAGCGGTGGACCGGGCGAGATGTGATGCGAGGGATGAGCGAGGAGCTCAGTGAGCTAGACGAGGAGGAGCTAAAAGATCTGGTCGAGGATGAAGAGCTGGAAGGACAGATGATCAATGGATCGAATGAAGCAGCAAATGGAGGCGATGCACCAACACAACAGAATGTCAAGGTACATCGGACTCGACGACGCTGGCGCGGATTCAGGTAGTTAGACGTACAGATGGCGGAGATATCATCGGTTTTGAGCGAACATTCCTTACACACCTACACATCATTTCTTTCTCTGCGTTTCCCAGATTTCCCCTTTCTGTATGTTTGCTTTTTTTTTTTTTTTTTTTTTTTTTTTTTTCCTTTTTTTCACCTCGTCTCCCTACTACTGCTGCTGTTGCTGCTGAGGGAACAAACATAGGCTGGCCAGGCGTTGGTTAGGTTAAACACTGGGAATTTGGTGGATTAGAACAGCAGCCATTCTCAGATAATGAACTTTTACAGAATGTAATCATTGTCCATTCGCATTCAATTAACATTCTCCTGAGGAGATAGTAACTACTCCATATTGCATGGTGTGGACGGTATTGAATGGCTGGTATGGAGGACGGCCTTGGCACGACGGCAGAGCCGCGGGCGGTCCAGAATGGCTTATGGAAGACTCGCCGCGCTCGACTTTCTTTCCCGGTTTCTCCCCCTTCTTTCATCATCACCACCGATTTCCATCTCCTCCTCCATCCATCCTTTTTGCCTTCCTTCCTTATCCCCTTTCTTCTCCTCTTCTTTCTAATCTCTCGGACATCAGAGCCATCTTAGCTTCCTGGCTTTCTGATATCCGCGTCGGATAGCTATCGGGTTCGGTTGTTGAATTTTTCTGCCTCTCACCAGCACTTTCCTCGGTCTGCGTCGCGCGCGCGCCTTCCCATCCCTTTCCAACACACTTAGCTTTCTCATTTCGTCTTTTCGGTTTCCGTCATTATGGCTACAGAGTACGATAACGAGAACGGTCGCTACGACGGTATGTCAACCGGTTATCTTGCCTCGCCAGCCCAGCTGATTTCCCCGGTAACATCATCACAACAATGCTGACTCGCTGCTCAGACGAGCCCCGTTTCGCTCGCGACCGCAGCGCATCTCCTCGCGATGAGCCTCGTGCTGATCGCACCCGTAGCCGTTCTCCCAACGGTCGCGTCGATGACCGGTATGTTTACGTGCAGATCTGGCTAGCTAGCTAGCCATCCCCCAGACGTCAGCCAGACTGACTGGAGCTCCTCATAACTAGCGCCCCCATTGATCCCCGCAAGTCTCTCGATGACGAAGAGGGTGCTATCAACACTGGATCCAACCTGTTCGTCACTGGTATCCACCCCCGTCTGACCGAGTCGGATATTTCGCGTCTGTTCGAGAAGTACGGTGATGTCGAAAACTGCTCGATCATGGTCGACCCCCACACCAAGGAGTCTCGTGGATTCGGCTTCGTCAAGATGGTCACTGCCGAGCAGGCCGATGCCGCTAAGGAGGGTCTCCAGGGCGAGGTCATCGAAGGTCGCACCCTGAGCATCGAGAAGGCTCGTCGTAGCCGTCCCAGAACCCCGACCCCCGGAAAGTACTTCGGTCCTCCCAAGCGTGGTTAGTTATCCAGACTCCCTCTGTATATTGATATGTGGCTTACGCATGTCCAATCTCGTCAGATTTCCGTGGAGGTCACCGTGGCGGCCGTGGCGATCGCTATGACGATCGTCGTGGTCCTTATGGTGGTAGCTGGCGCCGTGGCGACGACTACCGCTATGGCCGTTATGACTCCTACAGCGACCGCCGCGACTATGGTCGTGACTACCGTGACTACGGTGGCCGTCGTGACTACCGTGATGACTATGGATACCGCGGTGGTGGCAGCAGCGGTGGCATTGATCGCTATGCTTCCGGTGGCCGCGAGGACCGTTACAGCCGCGAGGACCGTCGTGACGATCGCCGTGAAGAGCGTCGTGGCGGCAGCGGTGGTGGCTACTATGACCGCGATGCTAACCCGCCCAGCTACGGCTCCGCAGCTCCCACTCGTGATGCCTACGCCGGCGGCGGTGGCAGCAGCGGTGGTGGCGGCGGCGGCGGCCGTTCCTATGATCCCCGTGATGACCGTTACAGCACTAGGTAGGTGAAGTTTTGACTGATCTGGACGATCGGAACAGGACCCAGAGCACGTAACCTCGTCCAGTGATGGGTCCGTTTAGCCTCCGCGCTTCTTTCAATTTTTCCCCCTACGCCTTTTGTTTTCTGTGACATTCCCTTACTTACCCTATTTCCTGGAATGGTTTTTTAATTCCCAATACCCCCATTCGAATGGAATTGCGCTCAACGGGCTACGGTGGGGCGTCATCTGTTGTCTTGTCGAAAATGGAGAGAAGAAGTCTTCATCGCATTCACATGTCATCCGGCGAAACCGACATGTCACCGTTTATGCGACCAGTCGATCTTCGAAAGAGAAAAGAAAAACCAAGGGAAAAAAGAATAAGAAAAAAGAAAAGGAGAATCCTATGTGGTGTCGTCGACACTCCTCACACGCTGATGTTTTCTTTTGTTAAATTCGCTCGCAACACCGGAATATTTGGCGGCATGGGAAAGAACAAGAACTTTAACGTTGTAATTCCTCGGATTGTCAGATGGGTTTCAGCACACTGCTACATTTCACTCTTCAACCCTTCCGGAAACTTGGTCGTTATCTCGCTAGTCAGCTGTTCGCCTTTGTTTGCGTCTTTGCGTCTTATACAACTCATCTTAACGTAACGACTTTCGATTGTATTCGGCCAGAAGCTTCATAAATCTGCTCAGCCTGCAGAGGCTATTGCTTACGCCCTGGATCCCGCTCTCTGCACCCGGCGGTCTGGAGGGGGGTCGACCAGTGTCGCGCGGCACCAGTTCGCCATAAGCGTTTGCGTTGTAGTATCGCCAGGGGAAGAGTCCAATTCTCGCAATAGAGCCAATTTGATGGCAGCAGCAAACAAGTGGACCCTGTAATTCCGGGCGTCGGTACATTTTCCCCCGGTGCAATCGATAATCCGGCCATATGGAAGGGGCGTGATTGAGGTAGGTTCGATCGGTCTGAGACTGATTGGAAACAAGAATATCAGAATGCTATGCTCTGATTGACCTAGGTTGAAAGCAGGGGACATCTACATGTGTCTCTTGTTATTTTTTTTTTCTTTATTCTTTCCTCTTCGTTTTTCCACCATCATCTCATAATGGCTAACTGCAGGGCAGCATCCTTGATATCTGTTTGTTACATAGATATCTTCGTCGCATTTGGGATCCGGGAATGAATTCGTTTTTTTAGATTGGTTCTCGCTGTACTCCTATGTAGCATTCCGTACCTTACATGGAGAATTTAGGACCCTCTGGTTGGGGCGTAGATAGAACGTAGGCGTAGAAGCAAAAATCTTATCTGGTGTCTAGTATCTAGGCAACATGCAGCACACAATGACTGCCTGGCCATGAGAAAATCCGTGCCTAATAATCCCAAGACAACAGATATCTAGCCACCAAACCAATTCTTCATACATATCCATCCAAATCATAACTTCATGACCGCATTATCTCCATCCAATATAGACATAGAGCCGAAGATAAACTCATTCACTGCCCTAAGGAGTAGAAACCCATAGCGAGCAAGTAACCTCTCCATATGCCAAAGCTACCCAAGACCAACCATTCTATTTCATCTGTGTGGGGGGTGCGTCTCCGACTGAACGACTAGACTAGAGCGGATCAGCATTCATCTCCTTGTTACTCCTATGCAGATGGAGATGAACCTTGAAAGTATCAGCGTCACGTACAGAAGGTACATGCTGATGTACGTATGCATCCAGTCTTATTCCACCATGCTTTGGATAATTTCTGGGCCCGATGATTGTCTCATGTGTAGCGCACAACACACATTGCCATTCAGCACCAATAAGTAGTCGATAAAGCAAGAACGTCTACTCCGGAGTCTTCGAAACACCCTGCTGTTCGACCTCGTTGCTCTTCTGGATGAGGTATTCGCCGAGGACGCGGAGGGGGTTGGGTGGCCTATTCAATTCACATCATAGACACTGTCAGCTTGCTTCCTTACGATGGCACTTCGTTTGAATAGAATACAGTGAGAATAAATAGTGGTGTACGCACTGCTCCTTCGCAACGACCGTCATCCCATCGAGAAGATGAGGCACTATCTTCTCATTCATGTATCTTCTTATCGGGGCGCCGCCGGGACGGACTTGAGTGGTGGCGGAGGGGGTTGCAGCGGCGGAGTCGGCACCGGGGGTGTTTGCAGCTGAGTCGGAAGCCATGATTTTATCTTTGTCGGGATTAAGGGATGGATGTGGTTGTGACGGTGGTTGTTGGTTCTGGGGAGGGAAGGGAGATGTAGTAGAAGTAGTTTGCGGTGGAGGATTAGGTTGAGGCTGAGGTTGTTGAGATGTTGTTGCCTGCTGTAGGAGGGGATGTATGAGTGAATGCTCAAAAGCGGTCAAAAAGTGAGAATAAAAAGAATAGCAGAGATCAATTGGAGTGAATTGGTTTGGTTAATGGGGGGCAAATTTAAGAATTCAAGAGTAAAACAAAAGCGGAGCAAGTTGCACTGCTCCGCCTGTGGGGATCGCGACGGAGAGTGTACTGTGTGCTGTGCAGGAGTGGTTCCTGGCAGTTCTGGGACGTCTCTTACCGCGCTGTCGTCGGCCATGGTTTATATTTGAGTGAACTTTAATATTCTTGTAGCTATGATATGATATTTGAGGGATCTGGGATTATCTTCGATGGAACTGGCCGGCTTACTGCATGCGCTTCATCTTGTGCTTCGCAGCATCAAGCATCAGTGCAAACAGTGCAAATTATACATTGTGCTTGTCCATATCGGGATATATAGGTCAGGTGACTTCGTGTCTTTCCGCGTCACGTTCTTTTCCTGTAGCGAGAAGCAAATGGAGATATTATCATTGCATACTATGTGTTAGTGCTGCTGCTCTGGTTGCAGCATGTCCCTGCTGGACTACTGGGACACCCTTCGTCCTTCTGCAAAGCGCAGAAAAACTACCAGGGAAGAGCCTGACACCGGCGATGAGAAAGACACTCCCGACTCATCTGATAGTCCGCTGATAAAGCCCTCTGAAACACCGCTGCCGGTGCGACTAGATTACAATCCAACCCCTGCTGAAGCCGGGAATGAAGGTGCTGGAGATGACTCTGAAATCCCTTCAAACAGCCAAACCGAACTCGAGTCCTCCCTGCCTGCCATACAGGCGGACAATCGCGCAATCGAGGAATATGAAGCTTCGCGCGCAGTCGATGAGAATGAACCGGACCTCCAGCAGAGACTGAGGGATGGTACATGGCGGAAGGGTCGAAGTTCCATCTACGTGGATGCGTTCAATCTGGCACTGGAAACTGTACTGGATGAGGAGGCGCATTTGTTCGATGAGGCAGAGATGGAGGTGTTTAGGAAGTGGCGAGAATTGGACTATGAGTCTCAGTATCTGTGTGTTGTCCGACTTATTCGTATATGTATACATGCTAATAGGCTAGATACGTGCGTCTATTCCTTCGCAAGACCTCTGCCTGGCATCGAGTCAACCGGCTAGGCTACTACTCGGATATTGCAGACATGCCCCGAGTGGTAGCTGAACTGCGCCGCGCTCGCAAGCTCCCATCATTGGCATCTGCAGATGGAAATTCCGCAGATGACACCGTCCCCGTCGATACGGGCTTTGTTTTGGGCCAAGGTGGCGAATTCAAGTTCGCCGAGGAGATGGATCAGATAACCACCCTGGAAGAAGCGTCCTCGCTCTTACTACTCGACGAGTTGAAAACGCTCGCGAAAGACGCCAAAGTAACAGGGAAGAGTAAGAAGGAGCTCATAACTGCCCTGCATCGGTCAAGTCAGAAACAGACAGGCCTCGACTGGAATAGTAAATCCAACGGCAACAACAGAGAGGACCACTTCATCCAAAAAATCCTCGACTACACCGGCGACTGCATCCGACTAGCATCCGGCCCTCGTGCCCTATTCGAACGAGTCCATCTAGTCTTCTACCGGTCCACCGAATGGACCGAGAAATCACTCACCACCATCATCCTAGCCAAGATCTCCCGCAGAAACTTCCCCGAGTACGTAGTCTGTCGAACCAACTCCATCTTTCCCTCACGGGAGACCCTCCTAGAATTTGAATCCGCCTTGCGCACTCAATACCTAATCGACAACCTCCTCGAGTTCAACGGCACTCCCACCGTCGAACTCTTAACACAGGTCAAAGACCTCGCATATAAAGTCTACCCCCGGTGGAGAACTCTCCTCCATCAGGAACAACAGAAAGAAGACACCATCTACGACTACAACGAAGGCGCCTACCTCCGCCGATTCTCCCCAGCATGGGTCTACACGCGCATCATCCACAAGGGCCTCCACCCCCTAGGCCGCTTCAAAGAGCACGAAGAAGAGCACCGCCTCCTGTCTGAACTCCTAGCCCAGCGTCTCTTCCACGCTGCCCGTCGCGGCGCGTGGTACCAGCGCAAAGCACTTCTCGAAGAACACTACCTCTGGGCTCTGAAACCCTCCGAAGGACGCACCGAAGAAGCTCAACGCAAACACTGGCGCCGCATCGCCCTTCAAACCTGCGAAACGGGTCTCCAGGACCCAGATTGCCATCTCATCTACCACTATGACCTCCAGAAACGGATTACCAAGCTCGAAAAAGCCCTCAAGGTCGTCAAGCGCGAACAGCACGACTTCGGGCACGTCCGACTAGCCAAACCCGCGGAGCGCACGATCGAAGGGATCCAGATTGAGCGTGACGAGCCAACCCAACCCTCAACCCCAAACGACACCACCCCTACCACCACTGCCACTGCCACATCCAAACGCGACCGCCCAACCATCTGGCTCGATCCCCGCGACGGCGGCGAATGCCGCGTCGAAAGCATGTGTCTCAGCTGGTACAGAGACCGTGGCTGGAAAGGCTACCACTCCGAAGGAGGCATTATCCGAACACTGGTAACTTTTCTCCTACCCTCCCCCCACTTCCCCCTCCCCAACCCCATAACCTAACAAGTAAAACAGTTCACCTACCTCTTCTACGACATCCTCTACACCTACATCCCCAACGTATTCCAAACACCCTTCCAAACCAGCCCGCTAGACCTACATACCGACGCCTTCTACCCGACCCGTCTCTCACTGATAAACCATCGTCTTGTGGAGATCACCAACGGCGAGTCGGAGCGTCTCATCCGCGCTGTCCATGCGGAGCAATCCCCGCGCCAAACGTGCGCGATTGGGCTGGATTGGTCGTTTGAGTTGGATGATTTGGTCCAGATCGTCAGGTGTTTTAGGGGCGAGGCGCTAGCGGCTGTTTGTAGGGTGATGGCGCAGGAATATCAGGCAAGGGGAGGTGGGGTCCCGGATTTGCTGGTTTGGAGGGTATTTAAACAGGAGAATGGTGGTGGGGAGGGCGTTGACGGAGGGGAGGAGGGTAAGAGTGATGCTGATGCTGAGGGGAAAGAAGGGTACGGAGAAGTAATGTTTGTGGAGGTCAAGTCGGCGAACGATCGGTTGAGTGATTCGCAGAGATTGTGGATTCATGTTTTGGCGTCTGCTGGGGTGAGGGTAGAGGTTTGTAATGTTGTTGCTAAAGAGGTTAGACGTTCGTGAGATGTACGTAAATAGCGTTGCGCTTATACTACATATATAATATAGAAGATGGAAAGATAGATCTACAGTTAACATCTACGATGATAGAAAGAAAGAAAGATAGTGTGGTCATAATTTTATTTCATGACTATCGCGAATCAACCCTTCCAGATCGACCCAATCAACCACGACGACAGCCACTTCACCACAACAACTTCTACCCCAGCACAAGAAGTGCACGCGCTTAAGCAACGAGGGTGGAAGCAGTGGCGGACTCGTAACGCCAGGTGGGGGGGAGGACACCGACGGACTTGTAGTAACGAGACAGACGGTGGATACGAGACTCGATGAGAATCAGGCGGAACTTGCTGTCCTTGTCCTTGCGGTTACGCTCAAGGTGCTTGCGGACGGCGACGGCCTAATACCAGTTTTGTTAGTATTCTATCTACCATCGTGTTTTCAGATAAATGGGGAACGGCATACCTTCTTGATGAGGTGGTACAGGTCCTCGGGGAGCTCGGGGGCAAGGCCTGTTTAAAAGATCACTCTGTCAGCCTGTGGTTTGACCAAGCAGAGGCATACGGGATCACGCAAAAGAAACTTCCAACATCCAACTGCATTTCTGCGAGTTGGTGTTGAAGTTTTGCTTCTGGTGCCCTCCAGTTTTATGGACATGTTGTGGGTGTGCGGTGTAGAGATGGTGGGAGGCAGAGAGCGCCGGGATTGCTGCGATTGCGATTGGCTGTAGGTTTGCGAGTGTTCATGTCGATACGGAGTCGAGAACGATTCCGGGTATGTTTCAACCTCGTTCTCTTTCTTCTTCTTCACTTCCGTGCAGAATATATCGTATCGTTGTCCATCAATCAAACCCGTAATCTGGCTGAAATCGAATCGCCGGATATATTCCGATCCGGGTCCTAGCTGCTGCTCTGCTCGCGCCTATTCCATTTTCCGCAGCCATTTTCACATCCACAACATGCTCATATAACTGGTGCGACTGGTGAAAGGGAACATGTCGGTGATGTCGTACCGTTGGACTTCAAGATACGGAGGATCTTGTTACCTATTCATCCACATATTAGTATCCTTCCCATCCCCGCGATTTGAGAATTGAGAGGGGAATCTTACCAGTGACAGTCTTGACCTGGGCAACACCGTGGCTGTCACGGAGGACAACACCGATCTGGGAGGGGGTAGCACCCTTCTTGGCGAGCTTGCAGATCTGCTCAACAACCTGCTCGGTGGAAGCCTTGAACCAGCTCGGGGGAGTGCGAGAGTAGGGGAGAGCGGAGGACGAAATGCCCTTTCCCTTAGAGTGAAGGCGACCCATTTTGATTGATTGGTGGTGTTGACGGGGTGGTTGTCGAACGGGTTGTGAGTGAGCTGGTCGAGTATCGAAAAGTTCGAAGGAGGAGAGGTTATTTTTCGTGTGTGGATTTTGCGATCGTGGGTCACGTGGGTTCCAGATTTGCTGGATTGTGTGGATAAGGTCATGTGATGTGGGAGCGGTTCGCTTATTTTTTCTTCCTGCACCTTTTTAAGCTCCGTTTTGACTTCCTTTGCGTCTCTGGTTTTTGTTTCTTGTGGTATGCCAGCGAGCTACTTCAGAGTTTATGGTGCTCTGTTATTTCTCATTTCACTATATGATGTTCGACTAATACTACAGCTATGTTGCTGGCAGATTTGGCTATAAGGTTGGTTTTTACTCCCTATTTTTTCCCCTCTGCTTTACAGGATGAAACACACCATATTTTTTTATTTTTCTGGTACCTCTTATGTCAGAGGTAGGCTTCGGTCTATCTCGATGATCTAAATGGACTTCTGATATCCATTCATTCCTCGAAATGTTATGTCATGGGAGTTGAAATGCATTGTGCTGACTCGCATCAAGATAGGTTTGCCAAATATCGACTTGAGGATAACATGGTATCGGAAGATGGGTTTTATAGCGCATATAGCAATGAATGTGTCTACTGTTCAACTGATCTTAAAATCTATTTTCCTGCCTGGGTAGATCGTGGAGTCGCTTGACACCATATCGTAGCTGTTTTCAAAGGATGCAAAGGACGGGCTATACGTCGTCTTGTGCATGTAATCGACGGGATATATGACCATGTTCTTTCACACAATACAGTTGTGTTGCAGCTTATACTGCGATTTCATCGGCAATGCATTCTATACAATGAGCCATTATCACGATCGCAAAGGACTTCGTAACGAACCATGCAGCCCCGTGGAGTTGCAAAGCCCATCATCAATCGTCCAACAGACACAGTCATCGTAGCTGCACATCTCCATCGATGTCAAGCAAATGCAAGCAGTATCACACCGCAACGAGGCATGGCTATCTGTCCAAGACATCCTCGTGCATCCGCTTCAGCATCACAATTCTCTCCCCACTTGCTGTTATCAGGCTCGTTCTTGCATTTCCAGCGAGTCCCGCGCGACATCGTAGGAAATTCAAAGACATAGTCTGATTTGTCGATCGATATTTCAAATCAACTTACATGGACGCGCAGTGTGCAGGACGGACGAACCATGGTCTGCTCTGCGACGTGCATCGAGTGTTGCTGCGAACATCCTGTAGATAGATAGATGATCATGACGCGATTTGTCTGTCTATCTAGCTGTCTGCCTCGTGCAGCAACTCCGAAACAACAGTAGACCCGCGTAAGCGTAAGCCCTAGGCCAACTAGCTACACGGTAATATTTGTGTGTGCATCTGTATGCGTCGCATTTGAAGCCAAGGGGGCCATTCGATTGGGCATGTAAACCCGCGTTGTGGATTGGCGATGTGTCAGTATTGCAGCAGCAGTAGCTGTGGGCTGTGGACATCAGCCGTTGGTAGTGGTAATTGAGTCACTGACAGGCTTCACTCAGCCCAGCCTGATGTGACCGCTATTTGTGGAGCATAAAAGTAGGCAAGTGGGTATCAGCAACACGTTGGTATTCGAAACGAGGAGAATAAGATCGAATCGTACTTTGTTTGTACGATCGAAGCGGTCATCTTCCGTGTTGTGCGAGATCAGTAACACTCTGTACACCGTAAGTAAACTGGAGAAAGGGCAAGTCTAGACCAGGGACGATAAACTCGGAAGCGATCAAGTAATCGGGACAAGCGAGTCCAGGTCCATGATTCGACCACTCCACGAGCTGTGCGTTGACGTCTGATCTCAGGGATCGCCAAATCAGACGGTCGAGTGCGACCGACACCAGGCACGGCGCGGAGAGGGGCAAGTGCGAGGGCAAGCTGAGCCCCGTATGTATCACCATTCAGCACAGAGAGACCCTATAGCACAAGACGGAGAGGTGAGATCGTGGGTACTGTGAACGAGCGTCGGTCTCCACGCGTTGTGACCGGTCAGCTGGCGATGAGCCTATGATCGCCCCCGTCACCGTCACTGCTGGATGGCAGCGACTGATTGGCTTGCCTCCTTCATCCACAACTGATGGCGCAGTTGCACGGGCTGGATATTTTCGAATGGGATCTGAGATGGATCGCCAGGATATGCTGGGAAGGCAAGAGTGAGAATTGCCTCTTACGGCATCCGAGTACCGATGTGCCTTGTCTTGTCTTGCCTTCATCGCATGATCTGGTGGGATTTCACGGTCGCTGCTGTTCTACCAGCTGATTTGCCCCGCTGGTAAAGCTGACCGTATACAAAAGGTACACCAGTCAGGATTCGAGAGTGGACAAGATAGCACAGACATCACAGATAGCTGAAAGGATCTCTATCCAACGGGCGACCAGTTGGATGATTGATTCCCCTCAAATTTCTTGCTCATTCGTCTCCTCTCAACTGGCTTGGCGGCGAGCATTTGTTCTGACAGCCCTATGAGCTGTGATGCAGGTAGTCCCGGCATACTATTGGATTCCTTCAGAGGAACTAGTATCTGAATGCAATAAGCAAATAGGAGAATTTGAATTGATTGTCTGCGTAGGGAGGACAAAGGGATGATGTTTTCTTGCGTGCATCTCGTCTTGTTTGTTGCTTATTGCTTGTCTGTCAATACTAGTGGCTGATCGCCTCGTTAGTACACCACCCTATCAAAGTCATTAGGGGGGTTAGGGACTAACTATCAGAATATTCCGTAGTATGTACTTTAGTTGTTTCACTAGCGATGCATTGCTTTTCCTGCTACTACACAAATGTGAAGGTACTCTTTTGGTCCAAAAGAAATCCTGGATTATACTCCATAAGTTGTAATAGCTGCCACACCTGCATGGCCCTGCCAACTAGTCTACAATGGACCAGTAATCCCTGATGCAAGTCCACCAAGGCAGCGACATATTTCGAGTTGAATTTGAATTCAAGAGCAGAAACCCAAAGGGGAAAAGTCTAATCAGGAACCCGCATAGAAGGACACGAAGGATACTTTGGATGGAAAGTTCTACGACGGAGCTTCGACGCGAGGCGTCTATGGCGTCTGGAAAGGCATCTGGATACTTCCCGAGCAAGTTTGGTTGAGCTATAACTTAGTATCGGTTTAGTTAACATCTCGTATTGCGGGATGCGCGGGAGCAATGCCGAAGACGGGATGGAGCCATAACTGGAGATTGACAGTTTCATCAGTCTACAAACGTACAAACTTAGTAGCTATTCTAGACTCGGGTAGAGGTCCAAAAAGCCAAGCGAAACAGACTGTCGCAAAAGGCCCCATCCAAGTGGGAAGTTGAACAAAAAACTTTGTAATGCAGCAAAGTTTAGTAACCTGGACTAGAAGCCGCGAAGAGAATGTGGCAAATGTTTATTCCCATTATTGCCAGAACCATTTATAGAAGTTCTCCACGTGTGGTTACGTCTGTCATGTCGTGGTGTCAACAGACTATGGAGTAAGCCAGCTCGCTGACTATCTATCTCTTTGGTCGGTGTTTGGGATACATGAATTTAGAGCCTGGATTGTTGCAACCAGAGGCTGGGCGATCAATGGGATTGTGGGAAGAAGCGGAATCGAAATCGGCATCGAAAAAATCTAGCACCCGCCCGTAGATGTCCACTGAAGATTGAAGATCGGTATATACCCAGTCCTCCATCGAACAGCTGGCTTGCTCTCTGTCCACGTTACCCAATGAGGAAAATAAGCATGCCCCCCTCTCAAAAAGCTTGGTCTACGGCTTTCGCTACCCAGTTTCCAAAGTTACCAAGGTTTTCCTAGAGGAAAATGATAGCTAACTACTACCGAAGTCGATCAGTCCGGATATGCAAAACCCACTTCTATCAGCCAGATTAAGACTAGAGGAACGTCAATCCATACTGGATCACGCAAAAGCTCCTGGCAAGTAAGAAGGGGAGACTAAACTAGTATCCCAGGCTTCGGGTGCCGGAGTGGATGCCCTAAATTTAGCCGGTCGAGGGAACGTCCTTCGGTAGGCTTCAACTACCGTGGATGCTTGACAAACAAAAAGGTTGATGTCGATCACACCCGCGGCAAATTCCCGCGCAACGGGATATCTACACTATCTACTTAGCGACGAGGGTTTGTTGGGGATGATGGACATGGCACTAACTAGACCCGATATGCGGCTACGGCAAACTGGATGCAGGTCCGTGTGGCAGGCAGTTCGAGGATGTAACCTGGATGGCGATGGGCACAAGTCCTCGCAGCGGCCGCGGCACGATGTAGTAGTATTGCTGGAGTAAATTGATGGTCCATGCGCCCGCCGCCACTGGGGCATCGATCTAGATTACACGGTATGTGGAGGGGTTGTTGCAATTGATGCCCGTGCCGATGACGATGGAAGTGCGACGGAGGCGTCGTTATCAAGTTGTACTCCTCCTGTGCTTACGTGCTGGGTTACAAAGGTACTTTACTTGGCTGATGATTGTGTTCAGGAGTGGATCTATTTGTTCCTGAAGTCAGTGGCACCCTTTTCTGTACACAGTCAGGGGCACAAAGGGGAGATCTGCTTTATTCTGAGTCACACCAGGTATCAGATGGCTCAAGATTGAGAGACTAGGGGGTAAAGGAGAAAAAAACAAACCCAGATAACTGCAATATAGCACAGAGTAAATCCTGGGAGTTATGTAACGTGACCATAAAAAGACCATTCAACTCCCATGGAACCACTTTCGAGTCAGAACCCGGCTATGGGGAGTTTAGAGTCTTGTGGCAGGTCGACCCTCACCCAGGGGCAAGGGTTACTGCAGACTACGATGGATACAGGCAGTAATCGTCGCGACACTCGTGCGAAGCCGGTCGAACTCAAAACGACCAGGATGAGTCTTCTAGTGGCTGGGAAGATTGCTGGTTCGGGTATGGTGGAGGTTGATCGTAGTGCCTTCAACCCCTGCCCGCATACGAAGCCCGCCGACGCACTAAGCAGGAGGCAGTCGCTGTAAGGTACGCGGATGGTTGCTGAGTTTTTTTGACTGCAGGCTGCTGGTTAGTCCAAGAAATCCTAAATTTTACCTTCCGAGGGGATTGTGGGAAATAAAACTTGACATTGGCCAATGATCAGCCTGCAGGAGGGGCGATGTGATGTGCTCCATAACTATACGAGATATGAGAATTTTTGTAGAGCAACTCCTGCCCGAAAATGGGGACACAGACAGATCCCCAATATTGCAGCGAAGTACTAAATAAATAATGGGATTGTTATTATGCCCTAATCCACCACACGCAGGAAGAGGCTGCGGATAACTTGTCACTAACGTTTAGGATGACTTCCTTCCCCTCCTCAAAAAAAGATAGCCTAGACTAGTGAGTTTCATACCCCGAGAGGAATCAATGGCTCACTATCTCATCACTAAGAGAATTTATGGAAGCCTCCCCCGAGAGATCCATGGATAGCTCGGTGGGTCTCCCCTTCTCTAGCAGTAACTAAGTAGCCGACTCCGTTTTAGAAGCAGTATCTAAACGAAAATGCCCAGCAAAAAACCTACGGAGCAGGTCCAGTCGGTACTTGAGGGCCAATCAGCAAGACGAAAGTACTCCGATCCATGCGGATGCAGGCATCGCCAATTTACCCAAAGGCGTTAGAAGGAAGCCAGTGTCAACCCAAGTCAACCAACGTCCGCGGCGACGGCATCTGATTCCCCGCTCCTCGTCTTTGCCCTACCACCGTCTCCCAGGCCTCTCGTTCGTTCGTTTCCTTCCTCTCCTGATTCCACCTGGTCCCCGATGCTACTCACTAGCTCGCTTTCTCTTTTATTTTATTATTTTATTTTATTTTATTATTATCATTTTCTTTGCTGCCTCTCCTCTGCGCCTCCCAGTCAATTGGAACCCCGACGGAGCTTGGGACTCGCTCCTTCTGTCTCTCTTTGCCCAGAACGGGCGTTGTCGCACGAAGCCAGTCAAATGAATTGCAGCGACTCCACCAAGTCCATCAATGCCCCCTGGTGCCAAACCTTACCGTAGTCTCTCTCTCACTCTCTCTCTCTCTGTCTCTCTCGCCGTTCCGAGCCATGGAGGGGAATCCCACCATCTGCCGTCAGAACCCAATGAGCGGCGTCCCAGGCCATGGCGACGCTGCGTTGCTCTTGTGGTGAACGGGCCTCCTATCAATCCATAGCCATTGCCCCAACCAATCCTCTAGTGGTACCCAGACGGTACCATCTTTGTGGTCGTCGGTACATCATCCATTGCCCTAGCTCGTAGTTAGTATATCTGATCAGCCTTCCCACCCCCCCATGTCCGTCCGCGCCCACCTGTCTCTTGCTCCCCTCTCTTCCTACTAGTATCATGCGATAAATTGCAAGGCTGTCTGTTCGATTGATATCAATCGTTCCACGGCCGTGAGCCTCTTGCGCGGGGTAACCACGCCCGGGCACAGTCACTAGTATTATTGATAATCCCGCCACTCGTTTGCCCCCGAGGACAGGACATGACCCTCTCCGGGCCTCTATCGCATCCGTCGCGCATTCACGAAGATTTCTGAGAGCCGTCAAAGGCTGACACCATGGCCAACGAAACATTGTCTGGATACTGTCCGACTCCTTTCCTCCAGGAGTCATTGTTCCCATCGAAAGGTGGATGTACGCTATCCCTTGCTAGTGTGGGCCCAATTGCCGATGACAAAACTGATCGTGTGCTTCGTCGCAGTCATTGATGGACGGTTTTGTGAGGAGCTTACTACAGAGTATGGCAAAGTTTCTTGCTGTCTGCCCTGTCCATTGGCAGAATGGACCTATGGCGAAAGTATGTCTGCCACACGCATCCTCAATTGTCCGAAAAGCCCTAGCTAACAAGGACGTTGTCGCAACTAGAATTGATCTCTCAAACCAAGGTCGCTAGTTGGCTTGGTGTCGCTACATTGCCCCTGTGCATCTTTCTCCTGGTATCATTCGCCGTGCTGCCCCCGAAATGGACGCATCGTCATTATCTGAGCATTTGCTTCACCCTGGGAATCTGCTGTATGGAGGTGGGTCGATTGCAATCGTGAATCAACTGGCTTGTATTCTGACTCAACCCCAGATCGCCTTCATCATCCCGCTAGGAGTCAAGCCAGAGCAATGCTACAACCAAATCACCCCCAATGACATGCATACCGACCTGTCATGTGCCTGGACCGGAGCCCTCCTCCTCTTCGGGGGCTGGGTATGCGTCACATTTAGTATGCCTCTATAACATCCACCACCAGTACCAACAACGACTAACCAGCCACTGCAGGCTTCATCCGCACACTCGCCTTCCACCTCCAAGTCTGCTGGGAAATCATGCTCGGTCCGAAATTCATGTGGACAGCACTCATCCTAGGCTGGGGTATCCCGGCCGTCGGCCTGACCGAGATGCTAATCCTCACCGGGGTATCCTACCGCTTCGGCACCGTCTGCCACATCAACGTCCACGACAGCAACAAGGACTACTGGGCGCCTGTCGTCGCCTTCGGCGGAGCATCCCTCTTCCTCCAATTCGCCACCCTCGTCTACTGCATCTACGTCTACGTCAAATCCCTCTACGACGAGGAAACCTCCACCACCAGCTCCGGTCTCCCCTCCTACTCCGCCAGCGTCCGCACCGTCACTGCCCGTCAAGCCTACCGCCGCATCCGCCGTGTCCTACAACTCCAATGGCGCGGCGTCGCCCTAGTCCTCGTCATCCTCACCAACGTCATCTTCTTCGCCGTCGTCTTCATCAAAATGGATAACCATCTTACCAGCACCGTCGCTAATATGAAACTCGCCACCCCCTGGCTCACCTGTCTCGTCGAAACTCAAGGCAACATCCAGAAATGCGCCAGTGAAGCTGAAGCCATCGTCCCGAACAAAGCTACCCTCCTCGCTGTCCTTATTCTTCTCGCGACGGTCGGCTTCTGGAACTTCGTCCTCTACGCCCGTCCCTCTATCTTCGCCGGCTGGGCCGAGTTCTTCAAGGCCCGCGTTACTCCGCCTCATGAGTTCGTCTCCGTTGATGCGCGCAGGACGCCAGATCCTCGCGCCTACGAGATGATCTCGGGCTCCAGTCTACCTCCGTATAAGACCCCTGAACCGGTTGTGCGGTCCCCGAGTCCCGCACGGACGATGGGCGCCCGTAGTCCGGAGGCGACGGGAGGACAGCACTATGGTCGTGAGGCTCGCTATGTACGGCCTTCGATGAGTTTCTCGTCCCCGAGACCGCCTAGTGCGACGCAGGGTGGCCCGGAGCGCGAATGGGATCCAGAGTCTACGTTTGCTAAGAGCCATTCACAGAAGGGGTCCATATGATGCAGTGGGATTGGCGTTTTGTGAAAGGGTTCTTTTGTTACCATGGGGCGCATGGAAGAGCTGCTCTATCTTATTATTGTGTGATATGATGTGAAACTACTAACTGTTTACGGCTGGATTTGAGATTTTTATATACCCTGATGCATTTATGTTTGTATGTATACAATACCACACCATAACTAGAAGAAAAGAAGAGAAAAATCATTACACCTACATCAATACTCCAAATCAATCCAAGTTCTATGAATCTTACAGTGAGTGGGAAATTAATCCTCCATTCCTTCAATACCACCACAGTAGTACAAGATACTAAACACCCCCGGTCCACCCCCAAACCTTAACTTCCCCCAACGGTCTGGCAGTCAGCATAATGAAAGGATCCTTCGGCTAATTGCTACTAACCAACTTAGCAATTTAGTTACATCATGAACCCCCGCAGGGCTTATTCTAATGCTGATTCCTGTCAGCAACAAGCGGAGATGGCACCACCACTAACCGCCACCCACTATGTTCTGTTCTTTTCTTTTCTCCGGTCTAGAATCTCTTGGCCTCTTTTCCCCTCTTTTTTTTTCCAGGCAGGTAGTATTGCTCGGTGACATGACTGGACTATCTTCTCTGCTTTAGTTCTGTCTGTTCACTAACCCTTGCTTTGCATATGCATGCTTTTCTTTTCACTTGATCAATGGATCACCGAGGCTTAGAGTATCTGTTTCTTGTTGTAGGGTGCTGGCACGGACATGAACGTTAGAATTGGAATTGGGTTTTATGAAAGCCGAGGCAGGATGTCCAAGCACACTATAGATTGATGTCCTCGGAGTTTGCAAAATTGATGGCACGGCAGTCCGGCATCGGATGGATGGATGGGATGGATGGAGGGATAGTTACTACACCCTGGTATATACTAAACCGATTAGGTAGTCATCCCCGTGCTAGGTGCCTACAGGGGGTCTATTATCTGTCTTTTTGGGGGGTTCTACTTTTCGTATTCACTTATCTCTTTCAATATTTAGTTGGCAAAGTATTCTGTGGAACGTAGATTGATTTCAGTCCTTTAGTTTCGAGTGGCTATAATGTATCCCACTACCACCGGCATGATTATCGCATGTATCTTTTATAAATTAGGAGAAATACTAGTAAACGGACATACGTGCTTACTGTTTACCTACCTACCTATACCTTACTTAATAACGCTCGATATAGTATTTCCCTCGCGGGGAATTGGGCCAGACTATTCTCTATTCTACTACTACTAACTAGGCGGAGTACTCCGTTCCAGCCGAGCAGAAGGGTAGTAACGGATGAGAGATCCTTCCCTGACGCACAGACCTAGTGTATATTAAAGCCGAGGAGCAGAACTACCACGAGGCATTTTAGTAGTGATCCATGGGAGTATTTTGATCTAGTTGAGGGCTGGTTGTGGCGTGAGTAGTGCTTGTCTGTCATTTTACTATCGTAGGATGTTTCTAGTGCGAGTAATTGGGCATATGAGTAATTTAATTTTTGAATATAACCCGTATATGAATTACTCTCGCTCGCTCGCTCGCCCGCCCTGTGAGTGTGTATGATGGGGAGAGGGATGCTAGTACTATGTGTATACCTCACTGATTGATAACTGCTCGCCCGTTCCTATATCAACATGTGGGGTCAACGGCGGGTAACTACTAAGTAAATAATTACCCAGTTGTCTGCTAGAACTAGGCTAAACCATCGGGGACCAGAGTGATCATCACTCGGGGTTCAATCTACTAGGAAATCGATCGTCCTCGGCTTCTGTCTGTCTGCATGCATGCATGGGGAATGTATGTGCCGAGGAACACTTACTAGTGTTAGCAGAATATGTGATTGGGTTCGGCAAGTAGTTCATTCCAGGCTTATTGCATGATGGGAAATAATATTGGGGGTGGGTTCTAAACGGTAATAGATAGAGCAATAGGTGACGAGTGATTTGAAGGTTACTTAGTTATAGGTTAATAACTGTAGCTGAACAATGTACTCGCCAAGGGTAAGTATATATACCTTAGTAGCTAGTACTCCGGGGTATATAGAAGGCTAATTTATCAACCTACCTGGTAATCTAATTTATCGACACATACTAATCACTTTATACCCGGTTATATGATTCAAACCATAGCAATTATATAATCAGACTGACACTCTATTGATATTTGACACTAGTATCCTCTCATCTCACGATTTCAGGACAAGCCATCAAACTATCTAATACATTCTCGAACCAACCAACCAAAACCGCAGCTCAAGCATCACGGTGACGGTCAATCCATATACTCAAGCAACCAGTTGCAGAAACAAGCACCTGGACTCATCGACCGTGACCTTAGGCGTTCTGCAACACCTCAGTAACATCGGACGGACCTGTGCCCATCGAATATGGAAAGCTGCTCTCCTTTGTAGAAACAATCAATCTTCTCCAGCTTATCATTAAAATCAATGTTATAAAGATTTCCCAGTCCAGGAGCATTTATAATTTTTGTTTGAGGGGCGACGAAGATACTCTCACATTTCCATCTTGTCTATGTTAGCTTCATTGCAAGATTATTAATTATTCGAAACTTACTCCGTCAGACAGCATCGCACACCATCAGGAATTCTGATAGACAAAACCTGGTCCGTCCTTCTTAAGATTAGACATGTTTATTTTATTCTTAGCGGGTTATATATCTCGCAAGGTTGACTTACAGGTCGGGCTGGAACTGGTCGAGACAATAGCAGACATAATCCGCGGGGATTTAGACACTGTCTCCCTCGTAAAGTATATGTCTTTGTAAAGAGTAACCTGTATATACCATCAGTAATGAGTATACTAAATTTGTGTGGCATGGGGTTAATACCATTGGGGTATCTGGATATCTGCCAAGGTACATGGCAGCGAAAGTACTAGAGAAACAAAAGCGTGAGCAAGTCAGACCATCTTGGCTGGTAGTTGTATAGCCACGGCTTATTCAGGTCAAGTACCGAAGTGGTAGAGACTGCAATAAAATTGAGTTAGCTTTGATGGGTGAATAACTACCTACTTATACAATAAATCCTAGACGATGAAATTTACTGTATCTACATGGATATGAACAAACATGTTCTAATATCCAATCATTGAAATATCTTTGCACGTTGTGTAACCTGCCTTCTATCCCTTGTCACTTCAGCTTCGTCCCCGAATTTCTGTCTAGCACAGATAGCCAGTCATCGAAAGCCTATGAAATACTATCTGACATGCCTTGTACATACTCTTTGCCACTTCAGCTTCGCCACAAATACCTGTCTAGCATGCTTCTTTTCACGGTAGATGTAAACTAGATACTTTTAGATGAACTCGAGGTTGTGATAGTGATGATGACGGTGACAGTGATGTGATGGTTTACGACAAACTCGTAAACGTGTGGTATGCGAATGTATCGAATGATTTACGGTGGTATTCAAGTACCTCCAAAGCATCTACCTGAAGCATGTCAAGATCCAAGTTCATTCGCTATGGTACATCGTAACCCCTGCAGTACTAGAGAGCGCATCTCAACCACCACTGTTTCACTCCCCCTTCTCCATAACTTAACTTCCAGTACAGATTGTTGCATCGCCTGCCCCAGGCATCGTTGGCCTTGATCAATTACGCGTCATGAAGTGGCAATGAAAGAGAACAAAGGAGATAGATGATATAAAGAAAAAATGGGATATGTGTATAGACCGTCCATCCTACATTACCATGCGTTGACGTCGAAGTTTTCCTGCACAAGTTAGCAAGTCTGAGCCAGGTTTCTGAATCAGGATGGGAGAATATCACCTCGGAGAAGTAGGTTGTAACCACAGTCCGGTCCGAGAACTTCCTGCCCGCAAGCGCCTTCAGAGCATTCGTTGTCGATTCCACCGTGTCAAACTTGACGAAAATCTTGCCCACACCCGGCGACTGTCGGCTGCCGCCTGTCGGACGGGGTACCTTCAGCTCAACTACAGTGCCGTACTTGGAGCATTCGTCGCGTACGTCATCGCAGATTTCTGTTCTGTTAGTCAATAGGCTCCTACTCATGCATACAGGCAAACTTACCGTCATAATCCTCAGGGTCCATCAACTCCTCCGGTGTCACCATGTTGAGCAACTGCAGGACGCGGCTGGTCTCCAGGTCCTGGGATGTCGTCTTGGCGAACATCGACATCGCATTGACGCCCATGTCAAGGCCTGCAGCCTGGGTCATTCCAATACTGGCGCGCACAACCTTGAGGTGCCTGTCGCCCAGCTCCATTCCATTGAGGCCTTCCACCGCGATGGTTGTTGCCGAAGGATCGGCATACTCGCAGAACGCAATGCCCTATTCATGTCAGTACACTTCCAGGAGTCATTTGATAGGAACCTACCCTAGACTCCTCCGTAGAACTGTCCTTCACCAAAACAAACGACTTAAGTTCTCCGAACGACTTCAGAAGCATTGTTACCGGCTCTTCGGGGATGTAGTGGGGAATGTTGGACACGCAGATCTTGTTGGGAGAGTCAGGAACCTCGTTCAGCAGCACGCCTTCCTGGTATTCCTGCTCTGCTCCACCAGGGACAATGTAATCCTTGGGTCGCCGAACTTCCAAGCCCTGAGCGGCACCATTAGCGGCACCGTTGCCAGCAGCTTCGTGTTCCTCCATCACTATTCCGTCGAAAGCAAGTGCAACCGTAGCGTCATTGGGCGACTTGAATTCGAGCAGGGCGAAAGTATGGTCTTGGGCCACCTGGGCCGAGATACAAGGATCCACACTCTGGATAACATTGAGACCGTTGAGTTGGACGTTGAAGAAGGCCAAAAGGGTCTCGCCGGTGACACTTTCGGGAATGTTGTAGACAAAGAGACGCTTGGCCTGGCGAGAGTTGGAAGGCTTGAGGGTAGACGTGTCCGCGTTGCCACCGGCGGGCTGGTTCATGAACGCTTGAAGGCGGCTGGGGTCCATCGGCTGCTGTCGGGGGGCTCCAGGGAGAGGGAACATGCCTGTGAAAGATCACATTAGACTACAAAGATACCAAACGAAAAGACAATTTGTCTTACCTGACAGCTTCGCCTGCTCGGCAGTAACATTCTCATAGCCCGGAGGCTTGATATCCCACTGCGTCAAGCGACGTTTCCGATCCAATACCGACACGATATCTGTGAGGTCGGGTGTGGCCTCTCTCTTTCGAGGAGGCGACGCACTCCGTCTCCGCTCCCCTCGCTCGCCGCGTTCGCGATCTCCACGCCCTCCACGCTCTCCACGCTCTCCACGCTCACGCTCGCGGTCACCCCTGCCTTCCCGTCGGGGTCTATCCTCGAACAGATCTCTGTCTCCCCTTTCGCGGCGGGAAGGTCTATCTTCGTACTCTCTGCGTCGGCGATCACCGCGATCACCGCGGTCGCCGCGATCCCGATCCCATTCCCGGTCGTCTCTGCGGCTAGAATAACGGTCCTCGCGTTCTCTGGCGCGGTAGTCGCGGCTGGACGAATACGAATCTACCTCATATTCGCGTCGGGAGCTTCTGGAACTGTAGTGGGGGGACCTCGACCGTCTTCTTTCTCCTCTCTCTGCTCTGTCGCCGCCGCGCTCGCGACGCTCTTCGCGCTATCGTTTCACTCCAGTTAGCTCCGGGCAGACACACCCTTGTTCGAATTTCACTCACGTAGTAGTCTCTAGGGCGACCAGAATCTGCGACATTTCTGTTAGCCACCCTACTCGGTAGTAAATGGTATGGTGACGATAAAGCTTACCTCTGGACGTGTACGTATCGCCGTTCATACTGAAAGCTCCGGCAATATTTCTTTGGCTCTTATTTTCCCGTTCCACGTGACGAAAGGGATGGACAGCGAATAATTGTCGGAGAGAGATCCAACACGATCAGACACTCCGAAAGGCAAGCTCGATGGCAGCGAAGGATAGAAGCAGGGTGATCGGGGAGAAAGTAAGAGCTGCGCTGGAGGGAAAACTCGCAGGTGACGATCGGCGACACTCCCGTCCGAATTGGTTAGCGCCTCCTGTCTGCGGAGTCCTGACCGCCTGCTGTGTCAGCCAATCTTCCTGGCAGAATCAACTTATCGCGATTTATCGTGCTTTCACATTCGCCTTCCTCAGCGACAAGTTGATAGATTTTCAATTCACTCGCATAATGACTGTCGGCGCCTTTTCAGAATGGCGCAAGTTGCCCGTGAGCCTCAATGAGCTCTGCATCAACACCACCCTCCGCTGTGGTCAATCTTTTCGGTAACAATAACCGCAAGTACCCTCCTCGTCTTCCCCGGACATGCAATCTAACCAAACTCCCTATCATCTACAGATGGCACAATGTCTCCGACACAGACGAATGGCGCTGCGTTCTCCACGGCCGTCTCCTCTCTCTAAAACAAGACCCAACTCACCTCTACTACCGAACCTACCGCACCACCCAAACCCCCAAACCCAAAATAAATGACGACGACACCACCCTCTCCCTCCTAACCCACTACTTCAACCTCTCCGCCAACCTCACCTCCCTCTACACCGAATGGTCCGCCCAAGACCCCAATTTCCGCAAGAAAGCCCCCCAATTCACCGGCATCCGCATCCTGCGCCAAGATGCCTGGGAAGCCCTGATCTCCTTCATCTGCAGCAGCAACAACAACATCGCGCGCATCTCGCAGATGGTCGAGAAGCTCTGCCTAAACTACGGTCCCTTCATTGCGTCCATCAATGGCCGCGCCTATCACGGTTTCCCGGCTCCAGATGCCCTCACCGCTCACGACGTGGAGGGTAAGCTGCGCGGGTTGGGGTTCGGGTACCGTGCCAAATATATCTATCAGACGGCGGTGATGGTGGCCAAGGAGCGAGAGAGCGGGTGGTTGGATTCGTTATGTAACCCAGAGTGTCCGGCTTGGGGGGTGGAAGCTGCACCGGCGGGTGAGATGAAACCCGAGGGGAGGGAAGGGTATCGCGAGGCACATGAGAAGTTGCTTGAGTTGCAGGGGGTTGGGCCGAAGGTCGCTGATTGCGTGTGCTTGATGGGGCTGGGATGGGGGGAGGCGGTTCCGGTTGATACGCATGGTTTGTTACCTCGGTTGCTCCCTTTGTCACGTCACATTTGATTGCTAATGGTCTTTGTTTTAGTCTGGCAAATCGCGCAGAGAGACTACAAGTTTGGAAAGGGCGGTAATAAGTCCCTGACGAAGGTTACTTATGATGCCGTGGGAAACCATTTCCGCAAGCTCTGGGGCAAAGAAGCGGGGTGGGCGCATAGTGTGCTGTTCACGGCTGATCTGAGGACCTTTTCGGATCGATTGGCTGCTACCACGTCGAAGAAGGTGGATGTGAAGGTAGAGAAGGATGACAAGGAGGGTGTCGAGGTGGAGACAAAGGTCATTACGGCGATTGCGGTGCCTACCAAGAGACCTATAGATGAGGAGGGGGTGAAGGCTGAAGAAGAAGATGAAACTAAAGAGAAGGAGAAGCTGATGAACACCATCGTACAAGCGTCACAGACAACGACGACAAGGAGGATGTCGAAGCGACTTCGCAAGAAATGATTTTTATACTCTGTATAATACCACCACTCTTACTTAATATCATCATAGACCATACTCCAATTCAAATCCATGCTACATGCTATATCCATCCTCTTTTACCACTGATAGCAAACCAAAACCAGAAAAGAAACCCGACTGCAGCAGAAGTGTGGACCAATCTACAATGTCTCAGTACACAGTCAAAAGTCCCAAATGAAACAACATCAACCAAGTTCCCCCAAAGGCAACAGTAAGTACTAAGTCGTATCTACAGTTGATTCCCATAATACACGTGACACCACTACCACACTGTCTCAGATACTTGCATTTACCCCTCACCACATAAAACAAACCGAACCCACCAAGGATCATCAAGCAGCCCGAACCGGATCCTTGAATTCTTGGATGGTGTTCCAAGATGCCTACTATTACTATGTACTACTACTCTTGCTTCGGATTACTCCTTTGGGCTATCCGACAGATTCGGATGTGGATATCTACGGGAGGTATGACTTTCCCGTCTGGGGAATCTAATTACTATATAAAAATGGATTACGGAGTAGGTACGGAGTAGTTGGTTAGGTTATACAGGAAGTATTTAGTTCCAGATAATTAAAGGCTAGGTAGGGCACGGTAACTATTAGGATCATCCCGCTCACCCGAAAGCAACCAGGATTACTACTTGGTCTACTGAGCAAGTACTCCGTAGGTTAAAGTGTGCAGAATCAAATTAATATCGCAACTGCTGCAGAATACAAGGTATCTACTCCGTGTCTATCTAGTAAGGCAAGTAGGCCAACAACTAAGCTACACTAAGCCAACAACCTACTCCACAAGGCCAGCGAATCAGTCCCCTTGACACAGGAAACCAAGCCAGCTAGCTTAGCCGGTCGGAACACTTTCCTGCACGCCGGGTATAATCGGTGATACTTCTTACTTGGTAGTTAAATCGTGACGATATCAACAAGAATAATTTCTACCTTGCTGTGTAGTATGGAGTACGGAAAGTAGATCAATAGGGTTGCGGTGAGAATCGGGATGGTCGGAACTGAAGAGAGAGTGTGTGTGTGTGCCTGTTCCACACCATTCCCTTGTATATCTGCAAGATGATGGGCGGAGGAGGAAGAGGGGAAAAAGTGGGCAAGGGCCGCAACGCAACCAAGGAACAAGGCGAAGATCATTCACGATAATGACGATAGATGTCTGAACTTTGAATTAAGAGCAGAAAAAGAAGAAGAGGGTCGCGGGGCAAATTGATGGTCGGTTAACCTTCCGTGACGACCATGGCGATCATTAGCAGGCCTGAAGGTGTTGCCGATATGTGTGCAGAGTTTCACGAGGAAAATCCACACCTGCTAGGATAATGAGTCGATGGAAGGGAGGTGTGGATGGATGGTCGGTTGTTTTCGATCTCCAGTTTTCGAGGGGTATGAAGCTCCAATGATGTGGTGTGATGGAGAGGGAGAGCTTAGTTCTCCGTGGTGGGAAGAGGAAAGTGAGCGACTCCATCAGGAGGCGGGAAGCTGAACGGCGGCACGTGCATCCCGATGTTGCAGCTGCCAGATGTGGAAGGTGCAGGCAACTCTGCCGAGTGTCTGACGGCGAATCAATTCCCAGGCGCAAATTTCGAGGCTCAGGGCCCTCGGCCTCTTTCTTAGCTGCTTTTCTTCTGCTGCCCACCTCTGCGCTCGAGCTTCTTCCCGTCTTCCTACTCCTAGGTTGGCTGTGTCCTTATGGGCTAGAGGGGTCATATTGTCTCGATGGCTACTCCGTACTAACCGCCAACATGTGGCTCGGGAACAGACTCATGATACAAGAAGGAAAACACATATCCACGATGTGAAAAGAAGTCATAATAGTGAGTGAGTGAGAGGTGCCTCGTTCTTGCCTCCTCCCTGGCATTAGCATTCATGCAGTTTCTGGGTACAACGGTATGGGTTCAAATCACAAAACACATTGGTATCATTCAAAATCAACAGGCTGATTCTCAAAACAGATGCGCATATATGCAACCCATTCCGGGTTGGCCTGCCTGGGACAGGCTGAATTATGTCTCAGGTCCTAGGCGGCGGTCGATGTAGCAGGTCCGCATATTTACAAGTCCCGCTGGCGTCGACTTGAAATGACTCGTTCCACTTGAATGGACGGTGATGGCGAGAATCGCGAGGCCTGAAGCAAGTATGCTTAGGTGTGGCTCATGACTGGTTGAAACGAATGTCTCAGAGACGAGCACCATTACTCATGGCATTGTCTTGCCTCTTGAGGCCTCACGGGACGCTCGCATTCGCAGCATCCTCGTTCCAGCCCCATTCTCTGAGCAACTGGTTTACACGATACTCGGTTGCCCAGCCGAGTTCCGCTTCGATTCCATGAAGCAAAGCAAGGACTGTCCGCCGTTCTCCGGGTTCCGTCAGGCACTGACCACTAACAAACAGCGGCTGGAGGGAATTGATGCGGACCGCGCCAGTTGGACAAGCCAACGCAATCCCCACAATTTCCCGGCTGTGAAATCGAATATCACTCTCGATCGAGCGATATGAATTAAGCCTATCAGCGATGGTGCTCCTTCTGCTGGTGGACTCATGTGGCTTATTTATGAGAAGGAGGATACGAGCCATATGATAATGCTGCATCGCCGAGGAGCACAGGGGTAGGCTATACCATATTTCGGACAGCGAGCCAGCGTCAAACTTCGGGTTATCCTTATTCTGAGGTAATTTGGACAGGTCAACCCGGGCACACGGCTGGAACGTCTCAGGAAGTCCATTGTACCAGGCATCGAGCTCAGCTTCCAGGCGGTACCATCGCTCCAGCAAAACCTGCTGCGAAAGGCCCAGAGGACCCGTCCCCATCGAGCCAGGGTGGTTCAACTGGACGTTATCACCAGCATTGATAAAGTTAACGATCTTTGAGAGAATCCAAACGAGACCATTCGAAACCAGATCTTCCTTTATGGGTTCTTCGCCGTCTGGATAGCCTATTGCAGTCGCATTACTGGAGCGTACAAAGCCCATGTTGTCGATTTGGAGACCCGCCTCAGTCCACAAAACCAGATCGTCCGTGTTCAACCTTGTCTGGCTCTCATTGATGACTATGAAACCCAGTTAGCACATTTAAGGGCGTTTGTTGCAGGTCATAAATGCACTCACAGGCAGCTAGGTAGTCTTGTCGTGCAAAGTTCCAGAAGGTCGCCTTTCTCGCCTTCGAGAGCCCCGGAACCTTGGTTTGTTGCAACGGTGTTCCCCCGGGGGAATGGCGCTGTTCGACTGGCATCATTCCCACCTCCGCTACATCCAACAAGGACTTCACGCCGCTCAGGTGACGATTCCACGCCGGACCTGTGGCATCTAAAAACTCATATACAGATAGTATGGCTGTGGCAGCAAGAATTTCATCTGAATGGACCCCTTTCGAGAACCGACTGTCCGAGTAACGGCGACGGCGTTTGCGAGGGTTTTCTTGGTCTTCGCACAACTCAGCAGCCTGCCACTGCCCAAACGCCTCTGGGGTACTCAGCGGCGGAGGTCCTTTATCAGGTTGCAATTCTTTCATTAGGAGTTGGATGGCCTTTTCATAATACTTGGCGCCAGACCAGGACCAATCTACGTTGTTGGAGAGATGCCTAGAATAGACACCACCGGTTGTCACCTGTGTTCCTTTAACACGACCCAGTTGCTTCGCAGCATACGCACAGGCGGCGTATTTCAACAATGGATTTCGGAGAGCTCTAACCGGCACGGACGATGCGAAATAGGTTCCTAAATCGAACAGATCCATCCTATCATCCATCTCATCAACAATGTTCAGCCGGGTGGTGGTGGTGGTTTGGTGACCTACCAAAGTCCTGGTGCCTCTGAAAAATGTCTTAGGAGATATGCAACCTCGTGGTCCGTTTCTGCGGGTGCCTCCGACTTCGAATCGCCGGACGTGGCTCGCGGCACTGGTGGCCTGGCGGTCAATGATGAGCTCCTACGCTCTGGTGCATGCTGAAGACTGGGATCCACAGGCGGAGACCGTGATTGTGAAGGATTAAGAAGAAAGTTGATATTATTATTATTGGTATTGTTGGAGGACATCGAGAGAGAGGGAGAGATCTGAGGTGCGATGACGCCGCGCATCTGGCTTGGAGTATCTGAAGATGCTGTAGATGGGACATTATTATAAGGTATGCTGTGGTCTGTTGACGGGATGGACTGTTGATCAATGCTCAAGGGAGGATAAGAAAGGCGATCGGTGGTTGCCACCGTGGAAAGGGTCTCCAAGCCATGGGTCTCGCCGTCAGCGGACGAAGTGCGCTGAGCACTCCAAGCACGCGCATGAGAGTTTGCGGCCAAAATGGCGGCTTCGGACTCTCCCAGGGCAGCTTCAAGGTCTTCCGCATAAGGATCCGAGTTATCGACGAAGATGACTACAGGGAAGACAGAGCACCTGTCAGATTAACAAGACTCACAGCGGGGATGGTTTCCTTGTCCATACCATGCTTTGGGATGTCGAGCCAGACACTGTCCTTGTCAAAGGTATTCTTATACGAGTAGAACCCCTTCAGAGTGCCACGGCCGGTAGCGGCATCGCTCAGGTCCTTGTTCATCGAGGCATTTTGCTGATGGCGGAAAACGATCCCCTCGCTGGGGCGACAAACCCTGCCGCCTTTACGACACTGTGAGCATTCGGGTTTCTGCTCGTCACCTAGGCCCAGCACCTTTTCTTAGCATCTGTAATCTCCGCCCAGCGCAGGGATGGTAAGCAAGGTTGTAGACCTACATTTGAGTTTCCGGGTACGACACGTCAGGCTGCGGTAGGTGTGGCAGAGGGCCCAACAGTCAGTGTCTTGACATGCCAGAAGCAGAAGGACAAGGTGATTGTTGCTAGGAGGTCGGGGCGGGTGTTCCCGATCTCCCAACACATATGACATGGGGAGGGAGTGATGTCTTATTGTTGGACGTACCAGCCTGTGCGGGATCGCATACCGGTTGGGACCGCTGGCAGGTGAGCTGCAGCATCCGAAAGAGCTCAGTGGGGAACCGACGATAACAACAACTCTGGGTGAGGTAAATGAGAGAGAGGTGAGCAAGTCGAGGTCAGCCAGCGAGACTGGCCCGAAAGCGCCCTAAAGTCGACTAGGCCCGACAACCGAGGCGGAGAGCGATTATCTGGGGAAAGAGAAGAGAAGGAAGGGCGCGAGAGAGACGAAGGGAGGACGAAGGAGGCTGAACGGGGGACGATCGCAAGGCAGCAAAAGAGGCGCGAAAAGGAGAGGCGCAGAAAAAAAAGAACGGCTTCAAAGCTCACTGCATCCGCTTTTTCTGCCCTTCCCTTTTTTTCTTCCTTTTCCTTTTCCTTTTCCCATCGACCAACAGAGCGGGACGGGGGAAGAGAAAAGCAAGCAAGCGGGCGAAAAAGAAAAGCGGGGGGGCTTTAGTGTCTGTCTAGTTTAGTTTCCAGCTGGAGACTCCAAATACTCTCTGCTTGGGGGAGAGAGTCTGGCCCAATTCCGTTGCCCGCAGTTTTGTTGCTCCGGTGGTCTTGCGGGGAAAATTCCCAAAAGTGCCTCATGTGATCAGTTGGCGCATACCAACTCCTTAGCTAAGAAGTATCCAGTCTCCGACTCGCTTGCTCGTTTGGATCTCTAGTGTTCCGTATTTTGTCTATTTTCCCTCAAAATCTCTGTCCCTCACGCGATCATCTTCTTCTGTGGGTTGCTTACACCGTCCTTCCCTTCCCCCCCCCGCTTTTCAATCCTCATCCTTCCTTCTTCTCGCTTAGCTACTTAACTACAGTACACGAATAACGCACTGACATGATTTACATCGTGGAGGTTAGATAGATACTCACCAAGTATCCTATGGAAAGTAGATAAGGCCCCAGAATCGAACTAGATAAACTACTACTAGCAAGTGTCTAACCCTGCACATCTCGATCATCTTTCCCGTTCCCCCACCAATCACGTTGAGTTCGGATTCCCTTGAACCAGTCCACTGTATCATATGATAGGCTTGCTATTAATACATTACATGAATAGGAAATTAAAAGTGGAGAGACAGAAAGGGACAGTAAGATACTTATTTTTACGGAGTACATGGATTAAATTTATCAGAGTTCGCTCTATTGACCCCCGGAAGAAGTAAACATATCTACTAGTGAAGAAATGGAGGAGTCTATACTCTGCATGACACCTGCAGGGCGGGGAATTATTGACTACTAAAATACCTAAAAAATGGGAGAAGTACCCGACTAAGACATTGTAAGTGTCAATGCACAAATATTGTTCATTACCGCGGACTCGCGCGGATTAACTTATGTATGTACATGTCCATCCGGTAACATGACATCCACTGCTCACATGATGAGCGGAATGAAAGGCAGGTCTCACACCGGTCTATAAGACACAGGGTGTGAGTGTATGGTACAATAGGTACTGAACAAGAGATCACACTCAACGACAACGATGACAACTATAGCATGGCAAGGACTGGACGGTGCCCGGATGTGGGTCCGGGCCAGATAGAACATGCATGCGCATATAGTGCATGCACAAGGCAGATGGGGCATGGGCAAGATTTCAAGCAGAGAATAAAATCGAAAACGGGACAAAAAGCCTCCCTCTAAGTGCGAGGAGGTCGAAAAACATCATGAATTAAGAATAAAAATGAATCGGGTATATGATGGATTGTTTCCCAAGAACGCCGTTCGAGGTATCAGATGAGACTGGAATCAACATGGTGGTAGATGGTGTGTCAAATTATATGGTCGTTCTATGCTTTTCAGCAAGGTATTGCATCCGGGGCAGGCGAAATGCCCCTCCATCCAAATCAGATGGCTGGTGCACCCGGGTTCGGTTGCTTGATGGAGTTGAAGAGGTACTCCGGAGGTAGCCTCCGCATGTTGGAAGGACGGTCCATTCCGACTCCTTGAGGAGCCCGCATGTACCCTTGACGACGGCGTTGGATCTTGTTGAAGATAATACCGGCTATGACGATCAAGAAAACACAGCCGAGAGCGCAACAGAACGAGATAAGGACGACGATACCATTGGACAGGTGCTTTCCTGATTAAAATGTTAGAATTCGATACTATAGTCAGATTATTGAGGAAGAGTGCATACCTCCACTGGTGTAGGGGTTCGAGTTCGCGAAAAACATGTGAGCAATGCTGCCCGGTTGGCCATCAGATGTGGAAGACAGCATGAAAGGTATCATCGTTGTCCCGTTGTATAGGGCCGCTGAGGCGTTTCCAAAGTCCGGGAGCTGGAGCCGACCAGTGACCAGAAGCATCTGGTCATCATTCAGGTTGCTCACACCATCGTGGTTCTTGTTAATGGGAAGAACCTCGAGCCCACGAATCTCTGTTTCGTCGTCGAACATGTTCCTCACGAAACTGAAACTAGATCCGTCATAGGCGGCAAGGAAGCTGGAGCCGTTAGTATACACGCCCGCAAGCCAGAACTTGGACACCGCGGTGTTAGCCGGGGTGAAGGCAGTGATGCTTCCAGGAATGTCAGAGGTCGAAGCCCCTTCGAAAGTCTGCCAGCTCTGTTCCTTGACCGTATAGGTCGCGACTACGGACTGGTTCCCGTCGATATTGAGATCTCCGATTGCCAACAGTTCCTTACTGTTGAGCCACTTGAGCGCCAGCACGGTTCCGTTCAGACTCGCGCCTGGTCTATTCCACTGCTGGCTTTCCGTGTCCCAGTAGCAAACGCCCGGGCAGGGCAGAGCCCCCGCGCTCTGAAATTGCCCTGCAACATAGATGTGGTTCGAGTTAGGGCGGGCAGCAATGGCATTCACCGTCACATCGTCGCCAAGGAACCGGGGTGGCTGGTACTGGGAAAACGTGTTGTTTTCCATGCTGTAAACCACCAGACCATTCAATTCCGAACCACTGACGCTTCCAGTAACATTTCCACCTGCGTAGAGGACGTTGTCCGAGATTGCCAACGCCAAGAACGTGGAGTTGCTGTCAATGCCTGCACCTAGACCACGGATGGTAGCGGCATTACCGTCAAGAATGGCGAGGTTATTGATCGCAGACCCGTTAGTCGCATTGGTAGTGAAGTGGCCACCTAGAATCGTGAGATTGTTGCTCGAGCTCGTGTCGAAAAGACCTGTGTAGGTCTGACCGCTTGTGTTGAAATCCGTCAGGAGAGGCGCCAGACTCAGCTCGTTGTCATAGAGAAGAGCTACAGCGCCGGCTGCGGCAAGACCACCGGAAGAGAGACTACCGGCAAGTATAGTTGCATTATCTGCCTCAGCAAAGGCTGACAATTGTCCAGCAAACTCGTACTGGCTGACATTGAGATTTTGGAGCCAGTTGTTGCGCGAAGGAACCCAGACGGCAAATCCAGAGACGTTGGTCGCCGGGCTGTCATCAAAGGGTAGCAATTGATCGAACCGGCCACTAACACCCACGATCGTCTCGTTGAGATCCAAAGAAACGTTGAGTTTGACAGCAAGGACATTGTTAACAGGGCCATTGACACCGGCGCCCAATGCTGACCACGTCTTCGAGTCGAAAGAATATGCTGCGACATAGCTCAGGCCATCGTTTCCACCATCGTGTGTATCAGTGAAATTTCCACCGACATAGAGGTTGTCGCCCAGCACCGCCATGCTAGTCACTTCAGAGTTCAATCCACCCTTAGGCATTGCGGTGGCATTGCCGTCTTGTTCAAAGTACATGATGTTCTCGATATTGGAGCTCGAGAAATTACCACCGACATATACGATGTTATCATGGCTGGCCAGGGCGTTAACGGAAGCTTCATCTTTGAGGGCCAAGCCAGCCTGATCAATCGCGGAAGCCGTGACATTCGTGGTGTCGCTCGACGGATTGTAGTCAAATAGGCCATTCAAGTTATCACTCGAATTGCCTGACACCGAGTTCGCCACGAACTGAACTAGCGACGCCACCACAGTGACATTGTTCCCTTGGCCGGATGTCGGGGTCAACTTGACACGGGGACGGAAAGAATCATCGCTGGCATCCACATGGCCGGTATAGATGGTGTCGTACTTTTCATACAAGTTGGTTTGGTAGATAAGCGTCTGGATAGGTTCGTCGGTATCGCTGGTAGGAGTGACTGTCACATTGACGATGCCACGAGAATCACAGGTGCTATCCTGCTCGCAACCGGGTGTGTACAGCTTAATAGAATAGTTTCCGGACAGCTTGACATCGGGTTCGAACACTACTGAAGCACTGGTTGCATTTGATTCTGTCACCTGCGTGGTCAAGTATTCGGACGAGCTCTGGCCGGACGGTGCGACAGACCACGACCCCGTGCGAGTGGACTTCGACGGATAATCGGAACCAGAACAGGTCGGTTCGTTGAAAGCATTCATGGCGTATGCATAAATGTCTGACAGCCATTAGATTTCACGTTCAGCATAAGGAAAGAGAGATGATAACTCACTGGTCTCGAACATTTCAATCCCGTTCAGACCGGCACCCTTGCCGTACCAGTCCTGGATCTCGATCTGAAATCCACTCATGCCAACACTGTTGACGAAACGGAACTCGCGATACTTCTCCGATGTGCTGTTTGAAAGGGAGCAATACTGATCACAGTGAACGTCCTTGCCGGTGTTGGGGTCGGTATACGTCAAGTTCATAATTCCATTGTCTGGAAGTCTCCTGAACAGGAACGTTTTCGTGCCGCGTCCCTCATAATGAGTGTTGTACAGTCTAAATTTGGTAGGGTAATATTCGAATCCCATCATGGCGCGCCAGTACCCTGGGGAATAATCCTCTAATAACCAAGTCTTGCCTTCGCCATCGTCGCCGCTCGTCTGACATATGATGTTACGAGGACTGATATAGCCGCTTGTCGATGATTCTGCGTCGGAAGTAATCGTAGCGTTCTCGAGGTTTATCACCTGCAGTCCTTTCTCGGATGACGTAGAGTTGCCGATGCCGTCAAAAGAACCGCCCCAAATGATATGGCCATTGCTATCTTTCATGATCGAGTTGACGGGCCCGTTCAGGCCTCCAAACGTCAAGTTCGACCAGCCTTCATCTCCGACCCAGGCCACCGCGTTCGTGATATTGTAGTATGTGAAGTTTCCTCCGACATAAACACTGTTCGTTTCCTGGTCGCAAAGTAATGCTGATACCGAGCCCGACAAACCTGGCAATGCTGTCACCTTGTTCGAGTCCGGATTGTACAGCGCAACACCTTCCGAGTCGACCCCTCCCAAGCGGGTGAAGTTGCCTCCGACGAAAATACCCGAGAATGTTCCGTCTTTCTTCGTGAAGGGGCACATCGCACGAATATGGGCGTTGGACGACTCGAGTGACGTGAGAATTCCGTTCGGGAGAGGGGTGAGAAGGGATTGCGCATTGTCATCTTCGGTCGCGGTGTCGGACTGTTCGGTGTATTGATAGAGGGAAATGGCATCGAAGTCTCCTGTAAAAGCGATTTGGCCCAATGGCGACAGATCTAACTCGGGCTCTGAGACGGATTGAAAGGTGAGTGCGTAAGCGGGGGTCGACTGGAGAATATAGCCAAGGCGGAGGACGGTCGACAAGCCAGCCGTCGCAGGCCCAAACAGTGAGGGTGCCCTCATTGTTTAGGTTCGCGACGACAGGCCAAAGAAAGGTTGAAGGCCAGGGATTGAAGAAAGGGAATTGAAATCGAAAACAAATTGTCTGAACCCGAGTAAGGCGTTTGAAAGAGATCGGGTAGAATTGAGTAAAAGAAAGACGGTGGTTTTCCTAATAGGAGGCTGAGCTACCAGCACGAGGAACACGAGAAAAGGAGTGGTCGGGCCCAGAAAACATTAATAGACGAAGGTGTAGAAGAACAAAAAAAGAAAGGAACGAAAAAGAGAGATAAGGAACGAATGTGATCTCAGGCAGAGATAGCCCGATAGTACAGGAATGGCCACAGCCAGGTGAAAATTAATTAACGAATGACTGGGAGAAGAAGTTGGATGGAGCGAACGAGTGACATGGCCGGCAGGGGCTTGTTTGTTCCCAGAAGATGCTGGTCGGTGGTAAGTACTTAGTGGTTTTTCAGGTACCATCATTTCCCGCCCGGTCATTGCCCATTTGGCTGTGTTCCGGGTTCCACCAGCTGCGCAGTCAGCAGCTCTCGATGGCTCGTTTGTGAGGGGGCCCTCGGGATGCTCATCGGCCCGGGAAGGTGAAACGCAACATTACTCGCTCGCTAGAGGATCCATTGTTGCGTATGAGCCACGGAATGGAGCTACTTTGGGAGCCAGTTTGTGTCCACCGCAAAGTGGGGGCGCCCTCAATTACGGGCTTCATTCCATTTACTTCCTGTACTATCGAGTGGTCACATCATTATTGGTATTTGCATAACCCTTCAACTCTCCGATCAGGTTGGAAAGGATGCTAATGGAATGGCTCTAGACTACCATCATCAGGGATGAGGCTGGTTTGATCATCTCCGCAGGATCATTACTTGCGCCTCCGAACCAGAGATACCTTGCAGCCGGTGGGATTACCTATTATTAGGTGATCTTCTCCATTCACCCCACCCCTAGTATTGGACGCTGTCATAACGACGGTAATGACGGGCAGCATCGGGAGACTGGGGTGAAATAAGAAGTCTAGAGGTCCTCATTTCACAGACGTCAGCTCAGGATCAATGCATTTTACCTGATTGAAATCGTCCTTACTGGCGGTGTACTATGCAGCCAGAGTCGCATGAACCGGTTACCGAAGTCTAACTCTATATGCCCACAGCAGGAGCTACATTAGGTTTATCTAACACGATACACCTACATGCAGCTACATCGTGTTTATTTTGATCTGCTCTGTACTAGACTCGAGCAATTCCTTCTCATTATCGCCCAGAGGCAGCCATCTCATACTGTCAGGTATAGAATCGCGAGTCTTGGGCACTCACCGACAGTATTCATCTCATCCTCCTAAACCATAATCAAAAGCTGCATCAGATGATATTAGCGTATAGGCCCCAGGATTTCTGCATAGTACCAGACTTCACACCCGGCACAGACAGTGCTGTGTGGGTTGGCCTTCCTTTCTCCTTGCTACGAGGATGGATTCGTGATATCCTTTCTTGTATAGAATACAAGAAATTTATATTGTGAGTTGTTGTTTGTTTTCTCGGTGCGCTTTCAAGTTGCTTTAGACCTTTAAATCAATACACGCGGGGAGCTCTCTATCAAAGATGAGGGCTAGTTCCGTCCATGTACATGCTTGCCAAGAGCAATCGTGGCCTCCAATAGTGACAAGTCAGAAGTACCGTGTCCTTACCAGCATGCAATGGATATGTAAGATTTGTAGCCCGAGGAGGTACAGAACACTGCAAGTCAGAATCAAACGTCAGTAAAGCGAAACCTTAGCGACAGGATCAATTTATGCCCTCGTTCTTCATATTGCCCTCCACATACACCAAGAGCACGCCTTACTTATTATAGAGCCACAGTACCCAGGCCACATGTACGCAGAGGTACCAGGGATATCCTAAGCTTGGTCAGGAATGCAATGTATCCAGAAGCTTCCAGAAGCCATGGGTGCTCAGATTATGAACTGGCGCGGGTTTCGGAGATGCCCAGTCATTAACAGTTACTCGCGGCACATCATCTGACGTATACATTAAAAGAACGCTAATCTGCAAGCTGTTCAATAGAAGTCTATCGATATTGTTGCATCAATCAAACCTTGAACATAGTTCTCTTGTGCGCCTAGATATACCAACTGCTCGCTCCCCACTGCGGGCACATGGTTGGTCTCGGAATTAGGGGCGGTTGACAATTAGTCTAATCATTGGTTAACATGGCGCAGTATTCTAAACTGAAGCCATATATCCGGCACTCGTTGGCTTCTAAAACATTACTCCCTATAACATGTCCGTCATAGGTTTCTGTCTTATAATTCTTTTGGCGGAGATACGCTCGCTGAATTATATTGGTGTATTCAGTTCAGTAGTAGCTGAGTACTTGTAGACATAGTACAATGGTATGGTTTGAAATGGAAGTGCGGGTCGATATATATAGATCTGAGTAGTAGTACCACGCCAAATCATACCAGTATGAACAGAATGAGCCTCAAGCATACGACAAGATGATGCCAATATCTGAAATGTGCTCTACTAAAAAGATTAACACAACAAGCGATGAACAAGATCAACTTAGTTCCATGAGTACCGCGAAGTCCCCTTGTATTGGGATGTTAAGTGAGACTAAGGTTAGCAGTGCCAGAAAGCAGCATCCCATTCCCGAGGTATGTATTCTCCATAGGCGGCAAATAACAGACAGCATATGAATTGAGTAACCCACGTATTCATCACTAGACCTATTACAACTACCTCAATTGAGAGTAGGCAAACCGAGACTTTGACCGTGGTTGACAATTAATGCCTCAGGCATCAAACACTAATCCAATTCTGCAGAAGTGGTGCCAGGAACTTGCCGCACCGCGTAAGAGGCATAGCCGCGCGCAACGCGAGACTCCAGGAAAAAGGATATCGGAGCTCAGTATCGGAAGTAGCCCAAACACCTTATCTGCAAAAAGCACTCTCAACCCACTAATCCCTCCCCTGAATCTTGTCGCCGCTTTGAGAGCAACTGATTCAACCCTTTCAATACCCACTACGCTTATTGTGACACCCTTGAGGGCTCCTCCAAAATGTGAGCTTCTTTACCTATCATCGCCGGCTACTGTGCTAATTTCTTCTTCTTTTAGGGAGAGCTTCGACAACATCTATCTCGACCTCTCGAAGCAGCATGGAAAATGCAAGCTGGCGGAATCTGGCTTAGGATGGAAGCCTTCCGGAGGAGGCGAAACGTTCACTCTTGACAGCAGCAACATCGGCGCAGCCCAATGGAGTCGAGCAGCGAAGGGTTATGAGCTGAAAATCTTGTCGCGCTCCTCGGGAGTCATCCAGCTTGATGGTTTTGACCAGGAGGTATGTCCGGGAATATGTCTGAGTGATGTCAATATGAGAGAAGAGTTTGCCTAATCTTTGCCCCCGTCGATGCTAGGACTTCGAGCGATTGAGCAAAGCATTCAAGATCTGGTATGGTATCAACATGGAAAGCCGAGAGCACGCTCTTCGAGGATGGAACTGGGGCAAGGCAGAGTTCACAAAAGCAGAACTATCATTCAACGTGCAGAACCGGCCAGCATTCGAAATCCCCTACTCCGAGATATCGAACACGAACCTTGCCGGAAAGAATGAAGTCGCTGTCGAGTTTGCTCTTGGTGGCGAGGGCAATGAGCCTGCCAAACCGGCTGGTAGCACGAAGAACCGTGGTCGCAAGGCCGCTTCGGGTCCGGACGAGCTTGTCGAGATGCGATTCTACATCCCAGGAACGGCCGTGAAGACCGAGAAGGGTATCAAGGAGGAAAACGCAGAAAACGCGGACGAAGAGAACGGAGCCGAGGAGGAAGAGGGCGAAGAGCAGAATGCGGCGAACTTGTTCTACGAGATGCTCATGGACAAGGCGGAGATTGGAGATGTGGCTGGCGACACATTCGCTACTTTCTTGGATGTTCTGCATCTTACACCCAGGTGCGTACTATCCGGAAGATATAATGGCAGTGTGTTAACGGATTTGCAGAGGTCGGTTCGATATCGACATGTACGAATCATCCTTCCGTTTACGTGGTAAAACCTACGATTACAAGATTCAATACGCTTCTATCAAGAAGTTCTTCCTGCTTCCGAAGAACGATGACACACATACATTGATCGTTCTGGGACTTGATCCCCCGCTACGACAGGGCCAGACTCGCTACCCATTCTTGGTTATGCAGTTGAAGTTGGACGAGGAGATTAGCTTGGAGCTCAACATGACGGAGTGAGTGCATACAGAGGGATCCAGTTGATCGCATACAGCTGACAATCTATCAGTGAACTTTTGGAAACTCGCTACAAAGACAAGTTGGAGCCCCGCTACGAGGAACCCATCCACCAGGTGGTCACGAAGATCTTCCGTGGCCTGTCAGGCAAGAAGGTCATCATGCCGTCGAAGGACTTTGTCAGGTCAGTGTTACGTTGTTCCATGTTAGCTTATGCTCTGATTACTGACATTCTACAGCCATCACGGTCACAGTGGAGTCAAGTGCTCCATCAAGGCGAACGAGGGTCTCCTCTACTTCTTGGATAAGAGCTTGATTTTCGTCCCCAAGCCTGCCACTTACATTCAGATTGAGAACATTGCGATCATTACCATGTCTCGGGTGGGTGGTGCCATTTCGGCCAGCAGAACGTTTGACATCACAGTCAGCTTGAAGGCTGGCCTGGGAGAGCATCAATTCAGCAACATCAACCGGTATGTGGATCTCTATAACGCTCAAATATTTTGCAGAGGCTAACATTCCCTAGCGAGGAGCAACAACCACTCGAGGAATTCTTCAAGGCGAAGAACATCCGCTTTAAGAACGAAATGTCCGACGATGTATGTGTAACCTTGCAAATTCCTCATACATTTGTGTGTTCGTCATCACTAACCTCCCATGACTAGGCTTCGGCTCTTATCGCGGCAGCTCTTGACAATGACGACATGGGCTCCAGCGACGACGAGGGCGTCCGGGCTGATCGTGGCTCCGCCGATGAAGACGAAGAATCCATTGACGAGGACTTCGAGGCCGAGTCTGATTCTGACGTCGCGGAAGAATACGACTCCGCGCACGAGAGCAGCGGCAGTGCAAGTGACGCCGAGATGGGGGATGCATCCGATGGGGAAGACGAAGATGAGGATGAGCCAATGTCAGAGGCGGAGGGAGCGCGGCCAAAGAAGAAGACGAAGGTTGGGAAATAATTTTAACGTCTCAAGCCTTTCTGCTTGAAAATTCTTCCCGACCGCGTCCCCCATTATTATGATGATATTCGCATAATGAACCGGGCTTATCATTTACCATAGTTCCTTCTGCCTCACACTGTGTACTTGGATTCTTTGAATATCTGTAAATGTACTCTAAACGATGACACACACAAAGGACCGTTGACTCAATACAGCACACAATATTCCGTAACTATTTACATAGCTAGCTAGGAAATCCCGTCCACCAACGCAGCTACTCCATCTAAAACATCACAGCAATAAGACACATCCAATCAACAAGTTCGATCCACTCCCCGCCTCCTCACCAAACTCCTGTACTTAAGTTTGCTTATTGGCAACACTATCGATTATCACCTGCATGTCATGCGCATAATATGTCATAAGCCCTCCGTCGTACCTAACCAGGACGACGATCCATGTTCGTTAGCAGTAGCCATGATCGTAGATCATAGAACGAGAACCCAAACCTTCTATTCTGTAAGTGGGGACAGATTCGACTCGTATCGTCCTCAACCATCATTATGGTGACTCAATATAGGATATGTCACATGCCATTATTGTGGTACTTACATCCCTGCTGGGAGTTCGAGTTCGAGTTCGAGTTCATTTTAGTACATAGGTAGTTCGGGGTTAAGCGAGCTGCACTAATTAAGTAAGTATAGTATTTACTTTCAAGGCAGCAAGTAGTTATGTAGATAGTCTAACTACTGCTGCATGTATGTTTGTGATTGCAGGACACGAAATATGCCCGATTGCCATGGTTATTTCAAACCTGTCTTGCATGTTGGGAGGTTACGATAGGTTCGGATAATGAAGTGCGGTGTAGGGGGGTGGGGATGTGTGAGGCAGAAGCAGGAGGTAGGTGGTAGGTAGAAGTACTAAATATCTGTGTAGCCTCATGACTTATACTCCGAGTCGGGTTTCTGGCTCCCTTGCTCTGTCTGGTTCATGGACGATGCAGGGTTGGTGGTGGTGTTTCATTGGGTTTAAGTAGGTTATTTATAGAAGGGTGGTCAGTAAGTAATTACCTACCAGGTAGGTACGGAGTAGGTGATATCTTGATTTGAGGAGGGAAGTACTTATTATACAAACCCCTTTTAGTGGAGGTAATAACATCTGGGTCCAAAATTGAAGAGATGGATGGATGGATGGATGGATGTACAATTGAATGAAATTCGGATCGACTGGGCTCAAATAGTCCTATCTCTTTCGTAGTAGTGCTAGAACCAGCCGGCAACTTCCCATGGTGTGACGCCTGCTTCCAGACCGTTGGGCGAAGCAGCAATGATTGGCTGAAGGAGGAAAAGCCTTGACTGCAACACACGGCACACCGTGTTTTTCCGATCCCGACACACAGAATCAAGTGTCCGTAATGGGTATTAGTGGTGGTATTCTTTCCCCCCCCTGACTGCTTTCCGTCCCGCCCGTTACGCGGTTACGCATGGAAATACAGCCTAGTAGGAGAGAAAGGCGTGTCCCGTGCGGTGCCAGCAACCTTTAGTTTTCCTGCCGGCTAGCTAGCTTTACCTACCAGCTGCTTCTACGCCCGATTATCTGTATGTCGTTCAAGACAGGTGGGTGGGCTTGCGTATAAATGGCCATCGGATGATACTTGCAGGTCCCAGATGATTCGCACCGGACACACAAAGCATCCTTCCACCTAATAATAGCCCACCCGCAGCGGATCTGTCTTGGAAAGCAAACCTGGGAGTGGTTGCCGTCGACCCAAGGTCCGGTAGATTGAGCACTGTGCAGGACACACGGGTCAGGAGTTCAATTTATCAGTCCTTCCTGATTGTACAGCTCCAAATCTCGCCCTCCGAAAATGGAATCTTCCCATTCTCGGATGCGCATTCTATGAGATAGATAGTCAATGGCTCCAGGGTTGGTTGGTTGGCTAGTTGGTTCCCCACGATCTTACTGACTTAGTCGTAGTATGCAGTACACCTGACTTCGGGGGGGGGGGGCTGCTGTTTCGCATCTCTTATTAAGCCTGTGGTGTCCAAAAGATCTCGAGGGACTTTAAGTTTGACTTTGGGGGATTTTCTTATTGCTTTTTTCGTTATGGACATGTCCGGTAGAAAAGAAATAAAAAAGAAAAAAACACTGGTCCTGTTCCTAAGGTAGGTAAGTACAGTAAGTAGTGACAGTTAAATACCCCAGGGTAATTAGTTCGCAATGAAGTTCCGAGTGAAATAATGATGACCATGGAGCCGTTGTAATTCGGAATGTCGCGGTCCCAGATAGTGTGGGAGGGTAAACAATACGCTGGGAAAGAACCCATAATCCGAGAGAGAGGACGAGAGTGTCGTATTCAAAAACCAAACGGTGTCTGTCTGAGAATAAATGCAATCAATCAATCATCCATTGGGGAATTAAAAGTGGGCGACAGAGAGCAGCAGGACTAAGGATTGATTAGCTTCTTCCCATACAGTACGTTAGTAGGTTAGTTTTAGCAGTAGAAACCAGAGCCCCCCCTTTCTTTCTCGGACAGGGCCACCAAACAGTCTGGCTCCAACGACTAAACACCCCATCACTCCGCAGGTCCCAATCGCTCTCCCTCTTTCCCCTGTTCCCTCAGTACGTATTCACTTCTCTCTTTCATCGTCCTTTTCATTTCTTCTCCCCGACTTTTGTTTTTTTTCCTGTTTCGTTTCGCATCATCTCCTCCACACCCTGCTTTGTTAGCTGTGTTTTTGAGGTCCTTCTTGGGTTCCAGCTATTCCATCCCCTTTGCTCCTGATTGAAACTGATCCTCACCCTTTTACCGGTGAATAATAGTATCCTGGTAGGCAGCCTGGCTCCTCCATTTTCTGGACCGCCCCCCCTCCCTTCTCTTCTGCATCCCCACGGACCATACGTGGAAAACGGTTATCCTCCACGTTGCTGCTTCGACTATTGCTGCTTCCAGACCGTCCCCTTGACTGCTTGATGCAAGGACTTTGTCGCTAACGGAGAAGGTACTACCTGTTCAGGGGAACTTCCTCATCGACGCTCGCTACCACCTGCTTCCTCTACGCTCGCTTCTCATATCACCTGCACACCCTTAACTTCCACAATGGGTAAGCTTGTCGCCCTGTACCCTTCCTTTCCTCATCAACCTGCGATTTGAAAGACAACCCCCCCCCCCCCCCCCCCCCCCCCCCCCCCCCCCCCCCCCCCCCCCCCCCCCCCCCCCCCCCCCCCCTTTCTCTACCTGCCACCAATTCTCCCTATCGTGTCCGAAACCCGGAATCCTAGCGCGTTGTGATACCACCATGGCACGTTCCAGGAACCGAAGTGCGGATGGTCGCTCTCAAGGAGATTCAGAAGCTCCTTCAAGTTTCCTCCAGAAGGGCTCGCAGAGACCGAAGCGCCATTCGTTCTCGCCTGCTCTCGATCGCTTGTCCTCCGAAAGTGAACGACAGGATGATGAACCAGTTGCTGACTCTACTTCGCACGATGTAGCTACACCACCTCCTGCACCCGTTGCCAATGGCACGCCCGTCTCGTCTTCTCCCCCCAGCAGCAAGCCCAGTTCGCCCTTCGTTGAGCGCAGTAACCCAATGGGCGCGGGAAACGCTCAGACCGTGAGCTCCAAGGACCCCAAGGCTGTTGCTCAAGCTGCTACGGATATGAAGAACGTCGTTCGCCGGAAGCTGACCGGCTACGTTGGTTTTGCCAACCTGCCCAACCAATGGCACCGTAAGAGTGTCCGCAAGGGATTCAACTTCAACGTGATGGTTGTTGGTAAGTGCTAAACATGGGCGGAACCACTCCCAATGGCAACGTGGTTAATCTAATACGCCGCTAGGTGAGTCTGGTCTCGGAAAGTCGACTCTCGTGAACACACTCTTCAACGCCTCGCTCTACCCTCCTAAGGAACGCACCGGCCCTAGCCACGACATTATTCCCAAGACCGTTTCTATCCAATCTATCAGCTCCGATATCGAAGAGAACGGTGTCCGTCTCCGTCTGACCGTGGTTGACACCCCCGGATTCGGTGATTTTGTGAACAATGACGACTCGTGGCGCCCGATTGTGGAGAACATCGAACAGAGATACGATGCCTACCTGGAGGCCGAGAACAAGGTCAACAGAACCAACATTGTCGACAACCGCATCCACGCTTGCGTTTACTTCATCCAGCCCACTGGCCACTCCTTGAAGCCCCTCGATATCGAAGTCATGCGCAGGTTGCACACCAAGGTCAACCTGATTCCTGTGATCGCCAAGGCTGACACCTTGACGGACGAGGAGATTGTGGACTTCAAGAAGAGGGTAGGTTGACCCCTGATTTCATTTCTTTTGTATAGTATGCTGATGCAATTACTCTTCAGATCTTGGCCGATATCCAGCACCACTCCATTCAGATCTTCGAAGGCCCCCGCTATGAGCTTGACGACGAGGAGACCATTGCCGAGAACCAGGAGATCATGTCCAAGGTCCCGTTCGCTGTCGTTGGAGCCAACTCCGAGGTCACGACCCCTGATGGCCGGAAAGTGCGCGGTAGAAGCTACCCCTGGGGTATCATTGAAGTCGACAACGAGGAACACTGCGACTTTGTCAAGCTGCGCCAGATGCTGATCCGCACTCACATGGAGGAGCTCAAGGAACACACCAACAACTCTCTGTACGAGAACTACCGCTCCGACAAGCTCACCCAGATGGGTGTGGCCCAGGACCCAAGCGTCTTCAAGGAGGTCAACCCTGCTGTCAAGCAAGAGGAGGAGCGTGCCCTCCACGAGCAGAAGCTTGCCAAGATGGAGGCAGAGATGAAGATGGTCTTCCAACAGAAGGTCGCAGAGAAGGAGAGCAAGCTGAAACAGAGCGAAGACGAACTATACGCCCGACATCGCGAGATGAAGGACCAACTGGAACGGCAACGTCTGGAGCTGGACGAGAAAAAGGCGCGCCTCGAAAGTGGGAGGCCAATCGAAAAGGAGACGAAGCGAAAGGGATTCTCGCTTCGTTAGACGCACGCACGCATGACTGGTACCCCGATGCCTTTGCCAAGGGAATTACATCAAGGACCACCGAGGTTACGGATGGTCGTCGGAGGCACTCAGGTGGTTTTATGTTGATTTCTCCACGACTCCCGATTGACCGCACGCTCTTTCTAACCCGCCGCCTCTTTTCTCTTGTGTTTATTTGTTCTCACCCCCACACTCCCTCAATCCTCTACTTTTCTCGTATCTGCTTCCAGTAATGACTCTATTATCGACCGGGTGGACCGCAGAAGAAAAGAATGGCTCCGTTACTTTATTTCTTTTCTCTTCTTCAGCCAAAACCAATCACCAGTTGGGGCTTGACTAGGAGACATGGCCGGAACACCGGAGCTGAATCCAGCTTGGTGATAATGTCTGGATGCTCCCGTGCTTCTGGTCCTGGAATTGCAAGACGACGCACGGGGTGACGGCCTGGAAGACCGCTTTGGGTTCGGAATTCACTGCTTCATGTCCACCATTCGCTTCTTGTTATGTACTTTTGCCTACGCTATACCTTGTTCCCGTCCGATTTCCTATTCCCCGTTGTGGCCTGGTACTCCTACTTTTATTCGTCTTCGGTACACTTATTATTTTTTTTTTGCCTCCTTTACACCATTTTAGTGAGATCACCCACCCCTGACCATCTTTTTATTTTCTGGACGTTTTTCCTTGTTCCTCTGCTGTTTCTGTGCGCTAGTTGTCAATCTGAAGTGTTATTGAAGAGCGAACGATAAGATAATGGAAGAGGGAGAGTGTACGTGAGTGTATGAGCGAAGAAAGCAAGACGAAGCTGGTGGAGCTTCGGTTGAGGTATACTTTTATGGTCGTCGGGGTGCAACAGCAGCAGAGTTCATTCGACAAGGGCGTATCTAGTAAGAAGAGTGTAGGGTGGATATGTGCCTACTGTGAAATAGTGGTATTCATTCATACAATGCACAAACGCAGCACCTACCAGCTCGACACCTAAAATGTCGGTGGGGGCAGCTTTGTGGCTCACGATTAATCTCCATTTCTACCCGTATGGAAGAGAGGAAAGGTGTTTGGAGGCGTTGTGTCCGTAATAATAATATCGTCTTTGTGGTCGCTCCTGTTTTGGCTATTGCTGGATGCTTCGGAGGAGTCGAGTTTGCTACGCACAATAGGTTCACTGACCTGTTTGGGACTCCAACGAGCAATTACTCATACTTGTGACGAAGGATGGATAGAACAATAACAGTGCACACGACACCGGGAAGAGCTCGTCTGGATCATGACATCGATAAGCTTTTCCCACAGACGGTTGTGTTGCATCATTTTGCGGGCGGGCGACGTCACGGGAGTGCGGCTGATGCTCTTAACGAACCAGTCGACCGAGCGAGACTAGGCTGAGTAGGTCTAAAAGAAGTACGTAGTAGTAATAGTAGGAGCTTTCCTCAGCTGGCAACCTCTCCAACTGCACCAGAAACCGTTCCCTTCAAGGCCAAAACCCACCGCCGTCCCCGCCCAGCCTCCCTTCCAAGTGGATATCCATCTGCTTCCACCGCTCAATTAGTTTCCCCGATATTCTTTCTTCGTTCCTTCTCCTCCTTTTCCCTTTTCCTCATCTATTGCTGTTGGCTGCTCCAGTGCCGCACCGCCGTTCCACACCCCCCCGGTATCTCGGCCCTTTCTTCTTGCCAACGACCCTCCCTACATTCCTGCTTCTTCACCCGACTTCCCGAGACAAGCGATCGCAATGGCCCCTGCTCCGCCCGCTAATCTGCCTCTGCCTGAGAGACTCAAGGCTCTGGCTCAAACACTGCAGTATGTGTCGCATGTCCCGGAACTAACAGCTGGTACTGACGAGGTCTCTTCTTCTACTTAGATTTGCTTGGTTCGCTGGGTAGGTTATAGCTCCGCCATATTTCAGCCTGCCTGTTCTGGTTTACGACGTTTCATCATACAATGAAATCACAGTCCTGGGCCTGTCCAGCAGGACTTGCCCACTGGACCATCCCTCGCCAGCTCTCGCTTTGAACGGTCGGACCGAGCATATTCGCTAACGCACCATAGGCATGTGACGCTGCTTCTTTCGGTCTTCCGCTATGTCCTGTCCTACATCACGTTCAACTACTACTCCTCGTCGGCGCAGGTAGCTTACCGCCTTGCGTTTGTTTCCGCTGCCGCGACATACGGAATTGTGGTGTACAAGGGACACATTGCCCGTGGCCGTCTCCAGGGCAGTGTTCCCAACATTGCGCTGAAGCTGGCTGGTGATGAAAATGTCCAGTACCTCGGTAAGTGATGGTGTGATCGAGTAGCGAAGACAACGATACTGATAAGCAGTAACCAGGTATGGCACTGGTCTGGCTCTACTCGCGCCAGATCCCGTTGGCCCTGCTTCCTTTCAGCGTCTACTCCATCTTCCATGTTGCGACTTACACTCGTGCCCACCTGATTCCCACCATCCAGGGCCCCGCTCCTGGTGCTGTCCCCGGCTCTCCTGCTTCTCCTAGCGGTCCCAAGCCCGCCGCCAGACCTTCTCCCTTGGCCGATACCATTGGACGGTTCGTCAAGCAGTACTATGACGCCAGCATGCACCTGGTCGCTCAGCTGGAGATGTCTCTTCTCCTCCGCTTGGCCGTGGGCATCCTCACCTTCTCCAAGGGTAGCTTTGTGCTCTTCTTCTTCTACCTGGCCTTCTTCCGCGCCAGATACTCCCAGAGCTCCTTTGTCCAGCAGGCGGTCCGCCACTTCATCGCCAGAGTTGATGCTTCGGTTTCCCACCAGAGCACCCCCCCTGCGGTTCGCCAGGGATGGGAGTCCTTCAAGGCTGCCGTGGGCCAGGCCTACGAGGCTACGGATCTCAACCGTATGAGCTCCGGTGCTGCGAAGAAGCCCCAATAGAGGGCCATCAGGAGTGGTTCAGGACGTTCAGGATATACAACGGAATTGGTGAACTGCCCCGTGATCCTACGTGCATGATTGGGTTTTTGGGAGCCGTTTTGTTCTGGACACCGATCATTGAGCCTGATGTGCAGGTAATGAATCTCCACGGCCAGCGATATCATCCTGGCTGAGGAGCACGGCCCTTTGATGAACAATGAAGGTTGTGAATAGTGGAGGGGAGACGAAGCGAGACTTGGGAGTAGCATCCGGGATGGTATTTCTAATTGCTCGTGGGGGGAGTACACGGGAGGAAAGGTTACGTGAAATGTCTCAGCAAGTTTTTTTTTTCTGTCCTTGAATACGTCTCATTGTTATATATTCCAATGCGACAGTATAATGTTAGTGGCTGTCGTACTCTGCCTTCCTACCGGATTATGAGGGACTATGGAGCCGTAGGATCGGAATTAGCCTTTGGAGAGAGTCGGCGTTCGGCGGGTCCGATTAGACTTCCGATCGAGGCGCGGAATTGTGTTGCAGTTGGCCACGGCTCAGTCAGCGCGTAAGCAGCGCAGCGATAGGCGAATTGGCCGGCGGAAGCTTTATGAGACTGGGTGCCTGAGGCTTCCATTCTAACTCGGACGGCGGAGAAAACAGGAAACCGACCGAAATTTTGGGGCCTCCCGGACGTTGGCAATGATGCCCGAAAGATCTTTTTTTATCTTCGAGAGGTGCGATGCTCACAACTCCCCTCTCCCGACCTGTGTTGGCAACGTAATTCACCCCGAACTCACCTTTTCGTCCGCCTTGCTCTACGCCCCTTTCCTCTCGACCGTCATCCCATTCTTGTCCGGGGTGGCGTCCTTCCGTTAAAAACCACAGTCGCTCGCCGCATCCCAACCCCCGTGGTCTGGTCCGCACCACGATCCGGTGGGTTGCGGTATTCTTGCAATGAGCTTGACCTCGCGCGTCTTGGGCCTGTTCACGACGACAGAGACACCGTCTACCGATCCCCCTTCTCCTGCGTCGGCCTCTCAGTTCCCCAACGTTGCTTCCGCTAGCAGCGACCATGTCTTTCATTCCGCCGGCCCGATAAGCGCAACCAGCGACCATAATGCTCAGAAGGCTGCGTCCCTTGCGGACGAGGAGGAGCCTCGGCCTCCCTATTTACATGTATGTTTGTGTTGGTCTGGTGGAGCGCGACCCCGTTCGCGCAGGTTCCGTTACTACTCGGTATAGCTTCCAGATCGTTGGTTCTGACCATTGTTGCTTCAATAGGCTATGCTGGCTGGAGGTACCGGTGGTACCTGCGGTGACATGCTTATGCATTCGTTAGATACGGTGAAGACTCGACAGCAAGGCGATCCCCACTTCCCTCCGAAATATACCTCCATGACCTCGTCGTATGCGACTATCTATCGACAAGAGGGTTTCTTCCGTGGTCTGTATGGTGGTGTTACGCCGGCGCTCTTCGGGTCCTTTCCTGGAACGGTCATCTTCTTTGGTGTTTATGAGTTCACCAAGCGGAAGATGCTGGACTCTGGGATTAACCCCAATATTGCGTATCTGTCTGGAGGTAAGGGTGTTTTTGTGGCTTCACCTTGGATGGGTGATACTAACTCGGTTGCTGCTAGGTTTCTTCGCTGATTTGGCTGCCTCCATCGTATACGTTCCCTCCGAGGTTTTGAAGACGCGACTGCAGTTGCAGGGACGCTACAACAACCCGCATTTCAACTCGGGATACAACTACCGCTCGACCACGGATGCTCTACGCACGATTGTTCGCCAGGAAGGGTTCTCCGCCCTCTTCTACGGATACCGGGCCACCATCTACCGTGACCTTCCCTTCTCGGCCCTGCAGTTCGCCTTCTACGAACAAGAACAGCGGTTGGCGAAAGAATGGGTGGGCTCGCGAGAAATCGGACTGCCCATGGAGATCTTGACGGCTGTCACGGCTGGTGGAATGGCAGGTGTTATGACCTGTCCGATGGACGTTGTCAAGACGCGGATCCAGACGCAGAAGAACCCGGAAAGCTCGAGCCCGACCAAGTCGTCGGGTGAGCCTGCGTCGACCAAGGAGAGCCCGCGCCAGCATACGTCATCGCATACGACATCCAACCTGCGCACACACTCGCGACCTATCTCGACGTCTGGAGCATCGACGTCGGTCGCGCCGCCCGGGGCTCCCCGTCTGGATACCTCGTCTTTCTTCACTGGCCTGAAGATGATCTACCAGACCGAGGGAATCGCGGGATGGTTCCGCGGAGTCGGACCCCGCGGAGTGTGGACCAGTATTCAGAGTGGAACAATGCTGGTTATGTACCAGTACCTTTTGAAGAAACTGGAAGCTTACCAGGGGGTGGAAGACCTGAGCCCGCTGTAAGGGTGAGCTTCCGCGACTTGCATTGAGGATTTGACATCTGCGACCCGATAGATTACCATCAGCGGGTGTCTGGGACACAGGGTGCTGTGTTCGCTGTAGATAAGAAAAGAGCGCACCACAACCGGAGCTTGAGCATGAGCATAGTATGGGCATGAGCATGAGCATTATAGACGGCTATGTTGGAAGGGCGACCGGACGGGAGTGGCATGATTTCTTACTTTGTTTTCTTCTTATTATCTTACTTTTCGGCCTCTTGTGTTCTAATTCTTGGATTCCCATTCCCCTCCTGTCGTTTTCCCCGCATGTTGAGAGCATGATTGCATGATTCGGGTGGTTGTGGTTTCGGGCGCGCATTTTGTGTATAGGAGGAAAGACATCATCTCATGTACGGATACTTACCATTGATAGACGTTAGACAAAGGCTGGTAATGAAGCATTGTATATTATTTATTCAAGAGAGGACAGAGTTTACTAAGACCAGAGATGATGACCAGCCAAAACAAAGCGATCGACAAAGAGAAACCCGCCAGTTGCCGAGGGGCGCGAAGAGAAAAGTAAACAAAGCCGGATGCGGTCAGAGCAGCTGCCCGCCTGGATTGGTTCCCCTCCGCCGTGACCTCACGAGATGCTCGCTGAACTGCCTCTGATTCACCTGCTCTCTTAGTTTGGCTTTGGTTACTTCTCACTGGTACTATTACTCCTCCTCCCCTGTTCGTCTCTTGTTTACCTTGTTACCCTTGTTTACCTTTCCCACTACTACCACTACTTCCTCCTCTTCCTCCCCTCCCTATCTTCCCTATCTATATACCCTTATATCTAGTATTACCCACCCACCCTATCTTTATCCCTTGCACTTGTGCCACTGGTCGCATGGTCTAACGTGGATCCCGTACCCGCGCGAATCGTCATGCCTACCGGATTGCCTTATTTGCAGAAACTGCGCAAGCCCCAACTTACAGAATGGGCGGAGCTCACTGACCTCCAGGAGTAAGCAGCTCCCCATGTCCATGATGACTGGCGTTGCGCCGTGCCGCGCGCGCACACACCCTCTCTCTCTAACAAAGCAATAGCTATGAGGACCTGACCAAACCCGACCTCGCTGCCGCTCTGGACAGCCATCTCCAAGCCAACGAGTCCATCTTCAAAACCGACGCGCGCCTGGCCGATTATTACCGGCGACTGTCGCAATCCCCGCGCGTTTACTCCCCCACCAAGAGAGCTCCCAAGGTCGAAGCCTCCCCGACGCCGGATGAAGCTCCTCGATCCGTGCGCCGAAGGCAGGTGAAGGCCAAGGTGGAGCGCGAGCCTACGTATGATGCCTACACGATAACCCCCTCATTGTCGCGACTATTTTCGCTAACTTCTCACAGAGAAGAGTCCGAGCCTCAGACCCCCGGACAGGTGGTGGGCGTGCAGCCGCCAACGATGTCATCGCTGGTGTCGGAGCTACCGCCCTCGCCGGCGGTGGTTACCGACGTGATTGATCGCCAGACAGCCGCGTGGGGCAAGTCCGTTAGCGAACTGTGGTCGGGAACGGGTGTGCACGAGCGCACCGAGTCGCTCCGCTCCAACCTTAGCAGTGTCAAGGCCTTTGGCACGTTGATATTATCGGTCGAAGCCCTGAACGTGTTGCGGGCTGTTGTGCCCAAGAATTACGTGGGCACCGTCCCCATGCCCCCATGGACGCATGTCTCGGACTTGGAGATCGCCATTCCGGACCTTTTCGTGCTGGTTGAGGGGCATTTCTGGGCTGTTGTCTCGCTGTGGGCGTTGATTAGTGCGGCGCTGCCTTTTACTGTCGCGTACTTTTTCAATCTTAGCTTGCAGGCTGCGCAGGCTGGGTCGTCCTCTACGCATACGCGTCGCAGTCGCTCGGGCGTTCATGCGAGCTTTGATCCGTTGAGCTTCTATATTGCCAAGGCGGTGATCACGTATTTGGTGTATACGGAGCAGTTTACCTTCTGGGGCACTTACCAGGGGTTGACGATTGATCGGTTGGAGGGGTCTGTTCCCGGGGGGTTGAATGGGGCGTTGGCGGGGTGTGCTATTGGAGTGATTGGGACTTTGTATGAAGCTATTCTGAGGAAGTGATGTATAGTTTGCAGGTTGGTGCAGCAGTGGGTGGACAGAGTACAGATGATCTGAGTTAGAGGCGAGTGGAGGTGTTGATTGATTATTCTTTCCTTTTGAATTCGTTTTTGTCACTTCTATCTATGTTGTCTATTGTCTTGTTTCGGGTCAGGGCGTATCAGCGGACTGGACTGCTGTTACTGCTATGTTGCTTTGATGGCGATGGGGCGCTGTAGTATTGCTTGATAAGTTCATATTAGTCTAACTGTTAGGATGAATGAATACCAACAACATCTATATACCAACCGTCCACTAACCCAGCCAACAAACACATATAACCAAAAGATGCATTTAAGAAGAAATCCGCTTAAACCTCCCCGCCAACTCCACCGTAAACAACACCGCTCCCCCAGCCGTAACCTCCACCTCCTCCGCCCGGATATGATTACTCGTACTAATCTGGCCCCCGATCTCCGTCTCCCAGGATTCCACATCCCACTGGAATCCTTTTGTCGTGATCCGCTCCATCCCGGAGAGGGGGATAATGCCCACGTTTTCTTCAAGGAGATATTCTTCTTCCCTTCCCTTGATACCACCTGAGTCCGACGAAGATGATGACGACGATGGTATATCACCCCTCTTAACCCCCGGCGTGCGAATGACGTTCTTCCCCGGATGCAGAATGAACGTGATACTTTCTTCGGAGACGAGGTATAATGCCCCTTCTCCTCTTTTCCGTCCTTCCTCAGTAGAAGAACTAGAAGAGGGGGAGGAGGGAATAGTAGAGTTAGAATACAAATGATGTATCTGCGAGAATGCCTGGTCGACGCGGCCGCCGAGGCCGCCGAGGATTAATATTGAGAGACTGTCATCTTGATTGTATTGTTGATGGGTGTTGTTTGCTTGGTCATGGTCAGGGGTGGATGATGCAGCAGATGAGGATAAGATTTCGCTGGTGTTGGCGCGAATGTACCGCAGCGCTTTGGTGAAATCGGTGCTGTAGTCATCGTGGTGGTAGATGACGTTTACTCCGTGGGACTGGTAGTGGGATTTTATGTGTGGGTGGATGGAGTCAAGGTCGCCGATTATGGTGGTGGGGTGCTGGATTTATTATTAGTTATTTCATGTATAGGAATTATTGTGGTGGGTATATGTAGTGTAGTGTAGTACTATACTTCCTATCCAGAAGGATATTTGCATGCATATCATATGAATGGATATAGTATGTAGCATATGTATAACATGGATATGGTGGGTATATACATACATCTACATCCTCTCTCCCCCGCGCTTTCATCATCTCGTAGAAGTGGTTGGCGCCGCCGTCGGCGCAGACGGTTGTTAGTGCTATCCGTTTATTCAGTATACATTCTTCTTTATGGAATATGATATAGAGTGTAAAGGATATGGTGGTAATACCATGCTTTCGTAAAACATCATATGCTCTCTCGTTGATTGGATGGTTGAGGATGAGCAGGGCGTAGGGACTCGGGGGAAGGCCTTCTTCCGTCCGGAAGAATTGGGTTGGGTCCCAGGTCATTATCCTGGGGTTGGCCATGAGCTCACTGGGTGTCGGGTTGGATGGTATAAGGTAGGGTGGGTATATGAGTAGCTTCAGTAGTAGATATATGAATAGATTTACTATGTTAGGAGTAGGTAGTAGCTAGGAAGTGGATGATAAGATAGTCTGGTGGGGTGAGGGGTGTTGCGGTCCCGCGAAAATTTGGTTGAGTTCGGTGATAACAACATAAACCCGTTCATGATGTAGTGATATAGTCCTACTTATAGTCTTAGTACTGATTAGAAGTTAGTACTAAATGTGCACGCGATCACTGCCCCTCAGTGATCCTCTAAATGGCTGACTAAATATATTTGAGAGAGGTTATTGGTGGTAGTGCATGCATATCATTCAGTCATGACAGTAACTAGTAAAGCATTATCAACTACGTACAAAGTAATATGAACAAAGCTGAAAGCTAATACTCACACTCCTCCAATCTCATCATGATCTCCAAATGTCCATACTCCGCCGCCCACACAAACGGCGTCTTCATGAACGAATCCACCGAATGCGCATTCACCTCCTCGCGATCCAACAGCAACTCCACAATCCTCTTACTCCCAGCCTCTGCCGCATAAGACAGCGGTGATCGCGCCGTCTCATCACTCCACTCCGCATCGACATCCTCATCCGCGAGCAACAACCGCACAATCGCCTCATTTCGATATTCCGCTGCGTATGACAGTGCCGTTCGCCGGAAAATGTCCACTTCATTTGGCCGAACATTCCTGTTCGCCAGCAAGATCTTCACTAACCCCTCGTCCTGCTTCTTGGCTGCCCACACCAGCGGCGTGAAGTAGAAGTAGTCCAGCATGTAACTGTTGAAATCGCCCCGCTCGAGCAGTAATTTGACGAGCCAGTGATTCCCGTATTGTGCGGCACATACCAAGGGGATCTTCCAGTTGTTGTTCTGCACGTTGACGTCCAGCTCCTTCCTGGAGAAGAGAGCCCGCGCCAGTTGTCGCGATGGACCTTGGTCTTTAGCGAGAATGTGCAGGAGAGTGTCGCCGTTTGCTTCTCGTGTCATGAGATGCTTGGAGGAAAGTCGATGGATGAGCTCGGGGGCTGAGAAGAGGAGCATGTATTGCTCGATTGGTCTGCAGAGACCGAAGAGGAGGAGCAGGATCTCCAATGGGACTTGACTGGGGATATTGACTGGTACGCATATATTAGCTGTATGCTATGTAGGGATTTACTATCTGTAAAGTAGAAGCCATACCAGGTGCCATCATCATCTTTTGTCCAGTATACATATTGTCATGTGTATTGTGTAACCGGTATATACTAGTTAAGGTCGGACTGCAGACTAGAGTTGACACTGAACTCCAACAGACTCAACAGCGACCCTCCGGGCGCACCTCTCTTATCTACATGATGCCAGCTCTACGGCATACAGATGACACCAGACGCTAAGATGAAGAAACCATCAAAACCATGCAATCCAGCACTGGAAGCACCAACAGCGTATCGCGGCGCCCTCTGATTGGCCAATTCGGGGCCGACCAGCAGACACCCCAAACAGGCAATTCTTGAATGCCTGAGGCAACGGGCGTCAAATCGAGTTGGTGGTTTGGTTTGCATCTGCATCTCCATCTCATCCCCGTCCACCTCCATCCACTCCCATCCGTCTGTTTCCCGCTCAATTCATGCCGCTCGCCTCGCGGTGATACCCCCCTCTTCCTCTCCTCTTTCTTTCACTTCCCTTAATTATCAATCCCAACTTCCCCCCCCTCTCGCCCGCCATGTTTCGCTCCGCACCTCGAGCTATCCTCCGCGCACCGGCCGTCGCAGTCCGTGGCCCGGCTACCAGACGATTGATAAGCACCAACACACCCGCCGACTCCAAGCCGAGGAGTTGGAAGAACACCGCTGCCCGCTTGGGTCTGGCCATTGGCGCCGTCTACTACTACAACACGAGCCCCTACTTCGCTCAAACCCCGTCCTGTATGTGCCTGATGCCGTTGCCGTTGCCGTTGCCGCTTGGTTTTTTCCCACCGCATGCATGGCGGTTCGCCGTCATGCCTCGGAGGAGAAGAAGAAATCATCACACACCACCTTCACCTCCCTCGCTCAGACTGGTCCAGCTAATGATGTAGTCTCTCTTCTCTCCCAATCCAAGTCCGACTCCGTCGAAGCCGAATCCTCCCTCACCATCGACTCCATCAAGCCCAAGATCCGCGAACAGAAGAAGTCCTCGGCTCCTGCTCCTGCTCCCACTCCTGCTCCTGCTGCCCCCGAAGCCCCTCAAGATGATGCGCAACAACCCTCCCCCGAAGCCGCTACGCTGAAGTCCCCCGAGGAGCTCGAGGCCGAGGCCGGCCAGGAAGGCGCCTTCAACCCCGAGACCGGCGAGATTAACTGGGACTGCCCTTGCCTGGGCGGTATGGCCCACGGACCTTGCGGTGAGGAGTTCAAGGCTGCTTTTAGCTGCTTCGTGTACTCCTCTGAGGAGCCTAAGGGTATTGACTGCATTGAGAAGTTCAAGTACGTACCCACCTTCTGACCATATAATATCGAATGCATTACTAATGCGGGGAACCACCACTTAACAGGGGCATGCAAGACTGCTTCAGACTACACCCCGACGTGTACGGCGCTGAGCTCGAAGATGACGAGGAGGCTGCTCCCGCTGCTGCCGTCCCCGAGGCCGGTGACGAGCAGCCCGTGACGGCCGCTCAGATCGACGCCGCCTCCCACCCCGAGGAGAAGCGCGTCCATGCACAGGAGATCAACGCCCAGACGAAACAGGAACTCGCCGAGAAGGGCGAGCTGGCTGAGGCGGAGACCTTGGTGCCCAAGGCGGCTCACGATGCTGTTCCCGAGACGGAGAAATAAGCAATGAATATACCATATCAGACAGGATGGAATTGGAAAGATGCAGCATTGGAATATCGAAGAACAGGAAGCACATGTGACTGAATAAATAGAGAAGATGAGGGACATCGGATGTATAAGATCGGGCAAGGCAGTGTATTACTATATGCATGCATGATTTCTTTTTCAGCTCATATTTATACCCTCGTCCAGTCTCGTCTCTTCCCATTTTCTCTTTCATTCTACTTTCAATTGTTCGTGATATTCTTCTCCGCTCTCCTTTACCTCTTCGTCTCTGTCTCTGTTCCAATCTCCAGTCTGGGCTTGACTTTGACTCATCTCATTGATCTATCAGCATCTCCGACCATCTCTATATCCACTTTTCCTTTTCTTATTTTTTTTCCTCATCCATTTTCTTTTCGAGTGATACTGTATCTAAGTAACTGCACCTGTACTTGTACCTTTTCTTTTTCATGTTTAGCATCTCGGTCAAAAAGAGAGGAGAGAGAGAGAGCGAAGTAGAATGAATAGACATAGATGATTTCATTTCCATCCGTTTTTATTCTTGATTTAAGTAATGTAGTAGCAACTGATGTACATTCTGATATAAGATGATTTCTAATTTAACTGGCTGGCTCATGTGAGTGAGTGAACGATAGGGTAAGTGTATATGCATGTTGCATTTCCAGGCAGGAACTAGAAGAGATCACATCACATCACATCATGTCTCTCTTCCTTCTGCGCTACCCAGCTGGAATCAGCCAGTTGAATGGATTAGAGAAGGGAGTAGGATGGATGGATGTAATCATGCCGTGCCCGGAGGTCTCTATCTCCCTGGTATAACCATAGTTATGTGTCGGTTGAGGACCACAGACAAAGTTAAGGAATGATCACTGTGTTGAACAGATGATCTGTTTGTTGTTATGTGTTATGTTTGGGATGCAGGCAACATACCCATACCCATTCAGTCACGTCACATCGCCGATGTATCAATACCGGACACCCGTTCTATCAATCGATCAGTCGATAGACAGGACTTGTCTGCTGATATGGGTAGCTGGATTAGAATAGTCCTGTGTCTGCGACAAGCTGACTATCAAATAAACCAAACCCCATTGACTGATGGCTGACGCTGATGTGCGAAAAGCATGAGTCACAAGGAATAGTCGGAACAGCGCACTGCTGGTCTTTTCTCTAGTTCATGTATGAATACCATGACTGTTAGCTTTCTATCGAACGCGTCATCTACCAGTTCACGTCGCTCAGTTGGAGCTTCCGGGATCGGAACGCCGCCCTGGCCGCGCTTGACTTGTCCATTCTGGTGTCGCGATGAGGGGAACGCTTCTCTGCGGCTGCAACACTGTTAGTATTATACATCCGAAATGACTGTAAAGGACGTACCGTCGGTGTTGGTCTCCGCTTCATTGGTCATTTCGTAGTTCAGGACCAGGTTTTTGATCCGCTGCTGCTCCTCGCGGTCGGCTTGCTGCTGGCTTCTCATCGCCACGGCGAAGCTGGAATCAGAGGGCAGGTCGATGGTACGGGTCTGTATGGTTTAGTAGTGCGTCTTGCCACGGCAAAGAGGAGAGCATACCTGCTGCTTGTTTCCTTTCTTGGTCATCAAAGAGAACGCCATGGTATTATTCGTGGGCTTTGGTGCCTCTGGCGGGGGCGTCTCAAGCGCTGCCTCACGTCCAGACCGCTTCATCGGCAAAGGTATGTCAAACACACCCTTGCGTTCGAATTTCCGGGATTCCATGCTCTCCGCCATCATCTTCTCGAATTCACGGTCAAATTCGGCTTCCGCCTCTGGGTCGCGTTCCTCTTCCTGCCGAGTTACGAAGATCTCTTCGTCTTCGGACTCACTGTCACCATTTTGTTCCGGGTTCGGGCCGGACGCCTAATAACTCGTTAGCATATCATCACATTCTCGACGTCGGTAAACAAACCTCAGCCTCGTCGCTCGACTCTTGGTCCTCTTCCTCGAGCATTGCATCTTCCTCCAGACCTTCGTCCGACGAGCTGCTGTCCGCATCGTCCTCGTCAGGCTCAGCAGGTCTTTCTGCATCCTGCGTCTTGAAATTCTGTGCCACAGCTTCACTGAAAATCTGCGTAGCCTCGGCCAGGTCAGCTGCTAGCTTCCATTGAGGACGAGTCATGGAGAAGGTATCCTGGACTAGGAAATCGACGTCCATCGGCAGGGGATCCTTCGTATGCATGTAGTACTGGTCGAGTTAGCATTGGATTTCTTGCGAAATACAGACAATCATACCTGGAAGAAGGTCAAGAAGAAATCAAGCTTCTTCTTGGCCGAGCCCCGATCGAAACAGTGGCCGCAGGTGTCGAGAAGAGTGCAGACCAGGCGGACACGGAAGAAATCATCGGGCAGATCAAGCGGGTTGATCCTTCCAGGCATGGGCGTGCCACCCTCTGAGAGCTGTTAGTGAAGTTCGCGGATGGTGTCGACTCACTCACCATGACCAAAGGTAATAATGCGATACAAGGTGTCAAAGATCACCGGCGAGTCAATCATCTTGTAGTTGTAGAGCTCTCCGAGATACTTGACTTCGGCAATTCGCTTCTGGTTAAACTTGAAGTCGTTCTGCTCCAGACCCAGCGTGATCTGCTCGAGGATGTTGTCCACAACGCCAATGACAAAGTCCTGGTGATACCTGTAAAGGGCACTGACAAGGATCGCGAGAAGGTGGATGTTGCCATATTTAACCTTTACCGGCTTGCTGAAGACGCGTTCCAGAATATCGACCACCTATCACGCAGTTAGTATAATGTTCGTACACCGCACCACACCATGCTGTACTCACATCTTGCTCCTCCCAATGAAGCTTGCGGATCGATTTCAGGATCTTGGTGTAGTTGCGCTTGTTCATATCCAGATAGACCAGTCTACGAATATAAGACTCCATAGGGGTGCGCTCCTTCTGCTGAATGGCAGGTCGCGGTGGCGGATCAACGTAGTAGACTGCATTCTCAATGATCATCCGTTCCTGCTGACCCAGATGCTGGACAGTCTTTTTCCTTCCAAGGGTCTCCAGGAAAGAAGCCATTCTCGGAGAGGTGTCAGGGTTCCGAAGCAGATAGCGTCCGCAATTCTCCAAGAGATGCCCGATGATCTCAATGTTCATGCGCGAAAAGTCATCCAGCGAAACCTTGAAGCAGTGGAAGATGATATGCTCCGGAACTACACCGAACTTGGTCAATTCTGCCAAATAACGGACATTGCTCATCCGAACCTGTCCCAAGAACTCCTTTGACTTGCGGCGCTGGAGGCTTCGGAACTCCTCATCCAGATAGGTGGTGAGGCCCTGGGGAATGTCAGGCATGTACTGTCCTAGGGTTGCAACCAGGCGAGAATACAAGGGAAGAAGATCGATGCGGCCCTTGGGGACATCGGAGACGGCCTTGATAAGCCTGTTCCGAGACGCTTTCGAGTTGAGGAAGCAGAAGTCTAGCGCCAGCTGGTCGACATGGTCCTTGGTCTGCAGATCGGGCAGCTTAGCCAGAAGCGCGTCTACCTGAGCTCCGACTGTCTTGCTTGCTATAGCAGTAGACTGGTCATCGGCCTCTGCAGCAGCCTTCTCCTCAGCTGACTGGGCTTGGCCAGCTTCAGTCTTCTCCGTATCTGTGCCGTCTTCCTCTTTCTTCTTTCCGGTCTCATCCTCCGCCTTCTTCTTCTTGCCGTCCTCCAACAGCACAGCCGGCACTTTACCCTTAAGGTCAACCAGGTTCTCATAGAAGCGCCGCTCCTCTTCGTCTTCCCAGATACCAGCGCCCTCTCCTTGGCCACGCAAGTACTCGCTAGCCTTCACCAGGCCGATACCACCGCCCGCTCCAGCATCAGCGGACTCTTTCTCAGCTAAAGCCGGCATTTCCACGCCCAGAACCTCACACAGAACCTGAGTATTGGTAACCAGCCTCTCCAGCGACTTCGTCTGCTTCTCAAAGTTGGCCTGGCGGTCTTCGAAGATCTCGCCACTCTTCACGTATGCTTCGGCATTGCGACGGCTCTGGGCGGCCAACGCTCTCTGATCACGAACAACATGTGCCTTGACATCCTCCAGATACCGATTGAGAATATGCTTGAACCGAAGCTGAGACTTCTCCGAAGTAAGCGGCGGGTCATCACCCTCCGGGTCCGTTGCATCCGCATCCACGCCGTCACCATTAACAGTAGTTGTAGCGCCATCAGCTTCGACAGTCTTCCTACCCTCGTCGACCATCTTCACACCCAGCACATCCCAACTGAAGCTCTTGACAAACAGCACGGCGAGTGGCAAATTCGAATGATCGCGATCATGTCCGAGAAGGTCCTTCAACACCTCCAAAGGAAACGGCTCGGGCTCCCTCTCACCATCCTTACCAGCAGACGGCGGCGCCCTGTTCCTCACCGGTCCATCCGTCGCCTTTCCACCAATACCAACGACTCCATCCTTGCCCTTCGCACCCACATCATCCGGCTTTTCGATATCGTCCAACGTCTTCAGTACCCCCACCAACCACAACTCCGTAACAACCCTCAACAACACCCGATGCCGAGATAGCCGTTCTCTCTCCTCGCGCTCGCGTAACTCCTGACTGAGCGCCTTCAGCTGTCCTCTGTCTGGGGTGCTCAGGCCTCGCCCCAGGAGCCATCCGATCTGGCGGGTGAATTCGGCAGGTCCAAAGCGCTGGTGCAGGGCGCTGGTGATTTCGACACCTGTAGCGATTTCGCCGGGGGATTTGAGCTTGCAGAGGCCTTCGTAGCAGGCGGAGATAATCTCCGAAAGGTACTTGTGCAGCGAGAGGGTGCGGATATCGGTTAGGAAGGTTTGTTGGGCAGCGGCGTTGATTCCGGTGCGGAGACGCTTGATGAAAGCGGTGTTCTTTTTCAGGGCTGAATCGAGGGATTTGCTGACCGGGAAGACATCTGTTGGTAGAGCGATCAGTTGGTTAGTATTTATGGTTATATGTTGGCTCCGATGCCGGTTCAAGGTCCTTCACGCATTGGCGTAGTGTGTTAAATTGATGAGGGGTGACTTACCACTCTCGCCGGCCCAGACTCTCTCATTTTGGAGGCGGAGATCCCCTGTATAGGGAGATAATATGTTAGCGATCCCAAACTGGCTGGATTTGGTGACATGTGTGGTGGAGTGGGATTGGACGTACGCTTCCTCTGACGATCCATTGCTTGCCGCGGTGCGGTGGTGCAGCAATCGGCGCGTGGGATGATCTCAACTGTCCGGGGAACCTTTCAAAGAGTGGGAAAGGAAAGCGCATGAGTGACTTGAACGCCACATTGGTGAAGCGGGCAGCAGACAAGTGACGCGCAAGGTGTCTCGGGCGTCAAAGGGAGGTGGAGAGGGGGAGGCAAGCCTTGAAGTGGCTGACGGAAGTTGAAGTGAAGAGCAGCTGGTGAAGAAGTGGGCCGAAGGCGGAGGGACTTCGTCACTCAATACTTTTTCTACTTCAAGAACTATGCCACTACTAAGTATGTTGAAATAATCATCTTCAATCGAGAGATACAGTACTCCTTGTTGGCACTGCCATCAATTTTATATTACTGATCCAGCTTGCTCATCTCCCACAATCTCCCTGAAAGAATTCACCCTTCCGGAATATCCCCATAAACCTTACATTCACCTGAATCAGACATCAAAACATCAAACAACCACAACCCAAACACACATTCATTCAATCTCCCATTATCTTTCAATCACATATCACCGTCAAATCCATCTCCATACTTCACAAAAGAATATCCTACTCATCCCCCATCCCACCCCCCTGCCCTCTCCTCACCTCCGAAAACCCCATCTCCCCCTCCGTCTCCAACAACCTCGCCTGCAACGCATGCTTCCGATCCTCTTCACTCCAACTATAATGCCGTACCACGGGCGGCTTGATACTCCTGCCTAGGATACTCCTGCTGGGATCTTGCTCTGTCTCGGGGCTGCTTTGTGTGTGCAATGCGTCTGCGTCTGCGTCGTCTGGTTGATGGCGATGAATGCGGGGGAGGTTGGTTTCGGTGGCGGGGATGATTCGTGGGTTTATGGACATTGTGATGGTGATGTTCTGGCTTGGTTTGATTCTGGGAAGGGAAGGGAGGTAAGATAGTTGCGTTGGAGTTTGTGGGTAGATAGGTAGGTAGGTAGGCTGTAGATTGGTATAGCTACCTGCGAGGTAGTGTCGGTCAAGCAATCTTGACTCGTATGCTCGGGAGATGCAAGTGCAAACTAGGATGGATGATGTGCTGGGGATGAAATACGGGTCTACTGGCTTAATATGCCCTTCTAACAAAATGCATATCACGCATCTTGGAGGGGATGAACTCGATTGTGGCGATACGAGATGTGGGCTGACGTCTAAACCACGGCCAAGAGCATCCAAATCCGGCATAGGAGCATGGACAATACTCAATACTGCTGCACACGACGCGGCCAGATTATTATGGTGGTGTTGTGCTTGGACCTGAAGTCATTGGGACATCATCTATGGCGCAGGCACGTGATGCCAGCTGGGGTGAAAACCAATGATCGTTCCATGTTCCTGGCTTGGGATCTACCGTGTACGATGTAAGAGGCTTGCATCTGAACATAAACTAAACGCTTTTGTTTCCCTAAGAAACTGTGATAACATACAGGTCATGAGGGTTGGGGTTGGGTTGGGTTGGTTGAGGGTCCCAAGGCTGATGGGCATCTTGCCAACAGCGCATTGGACAACATCAAAGGAAATTTTCAAATGGGGATTCGTTGACGGACGTCACACAAGACACGGGTCTGGTCTCGAGCGCCCACAGAAAAGCAAGGTCTACACCATGAGGCATGGACAGAGACCCTGACTCGTAATGGTCAATGCCGCCACAAAAGGAAACACAGTAGACATCGCACGTGGACAGAACAATACATCTGGCTTGGGGGACCGTTAACAGAACACAACAAAGGAAAGAAATCCACATCATCATACACCTTCATTCAGCAACAAAAAAATCGACAGGGTATGCCCACGCCACGCTATGCGAGTCCTTGAAGAAAGAAAGAAAGAAAAGGGTAACGTTGCAAATATGTACTCAGAATCCAAGAAGGTCGTATCAAGATATTAGCAGGGATCGAATGACTTTTTATTGTTTATTTGGGTTTGCGCCAGAAGTATTGCTGCTAAGGTCAGCTACAAGTCATTTTGTTTGAGGAGGAATGCACGTACCTTATGCTGCTTGCGGCAGTTGCGGAGGCCTGGCTTTCTGAGATCATGTACGACCGCTTCGCGTCGCATGTCGTCCTCATCAAAGTCAGGAATGTAATAGTACTCGCTTTCCAGAGGCTTTCCTGCGGCATCCTTTCCTTCCCGTGCCACCTTTCCAATGCACTTGGTCGTGTCCAGGATGGCACGGATCTCTTCTTTCGTGGGGCCCTCTTTGTGATGGCCGTCCCGCCTCCATAAGGACGGTGGGAGGTTATTCAAGATCGTCGAAAATGGAGTGGACGAGAGTCGAGAGAACGCCAATTGGTTGGCGGCATGGTTCTGAACACGTTCAAAGCTCTCGCTCAACGGCTCCAGCTTGGTTACTGTGCTCTCGGTGGACTCGACGGTCTTGGATGGTTGTCTCGGGGACTTGGTAGGCTGGACAACCTGGTTGCGGGGCCGTGCAGGACGGAGTGGAGACTCATCTGCAGTGAATGAGGCCATCCGAGGAAGCAGATTGTCACCAAATGGTCCAAAGGAATGAACAATGGGGTCATTTTCTTCATCATGATCCGAGAAGTCATCTTGCTTGCTCAGTTCGCTCAACTCGCTGGACTGCGAGCTCTGCAGAATGTCACTAGCGATGGACGATGACTTCTGATCTGCATCAGCAGTGCTGTTGCGACGGCTAGGCGAAGCGTCGTCTTCGTATACAACCACAGAATTCCGCGAGCGTGTTGGGGTATATATGGGCGACGATGGGGGCACCAGAGACTTGACCGCAGGGGACGGCGAGACGGGAGACGCCAAGCGCTGACGTTCCACATTGGGGCTTTCGTGAATACTCCGACGGGACTGTGCTTTACGTTTGGGCGTAGTCTCCTCCCATGTCTGCTCGGAATCCGTCGAGGCATAATCCTTTCGGTCACTTTGAGGCCACTGGACCAGCACGCGGGCGTCATGAACATCAATCATGATGTCAGCATCCTTGATATCCGAGGTAAACGTCTTCCCCTTGGCCAAATCATATGTTTTCCCTTGACAATGCAATTTGATTCCATTCCATCCCATGCACATGATTTCCACTCTGTCAGGGTCAAAGGGATTAGCTGCGGGCTTATATGTGGCCTTGACATGCACCCTTGATATCATACGGTTGGCCGCGAGCTGGTGATGGCACGAGGCACTGGATCTTCCCATCAGGACGGGCTCCCCGCTCTCGGGAAGCATTATGGTAGGGACAGCAGACAGAGGGGTTCGTTCGGAGCTGGACGAAGTAAATGTACGCCGTGAGGCCGTTCGCGGCAGGGCCATTCTCGGGGGGGAGGAGGACAAGATATGGGTCGACGAGGTCGGCACCGGCGTAGGGTAAGTCGAGACAATGCCATGATTGTCGCGTGCTACACGCTTCTGTGGACGAGGAAGTGAGGGAGAGGAGCTCAATGGCTCAAAGGCAGGCAACAGGGCCGCGGGACGCTTCACACCTGCCACAGGAGCAGCCAAACTGCTCCTTGGAGGCGAAGACTCCATGATGCTATTTAGTTAAAGTAAGGCCGTCTGGTCGTGAACCACGACCCGGACACGCTCGTATGCCACTCGAACAACGGCAGGAGGGGTGGACGAGGATTAAAAAAGATCAATTGAGGCTTTAGTCGCGTCGAGGAAGAAAAGGTTGGGGGAGGAATGTCTAAGTCTATGAGTGGGAGGTCAATTCACGAGACCTAGAGTCCCGAAGGAAAGAGAGCGAGAGAGAGAGCGAGGAAGACAAGATGAAGCGTGTCAAGGATGACAAAGGGAAGGAACTTTGAGGCTTCACCCCCCAAGACGAGGGCCAGGAGGTTGGGGAAGTACGAGACTGGGTACGAACAGGCAAAAAAACGAGAAACATTGAAGAAAAGGGTGAAAGGATGGTGTGTGGTGGAATGCCTGCCGGAACGGAGCGTCTCGTCCAGCGCGGAAATGCACGCTTACAACCCGAGACGCGTTCGATAGGCGCCGACGAGGGTCGAGAGCTCCACCACTAAGCTCGCGCAGCCTCGCAACTTGGACCGTCCGAAACTATGCAATGCACTGCTGACTTGGGGGGTGGTGGAGGGAGGTTTGCCAAAATATGCCAGACTTCGGTTTGCTTTTACAGGTAAGAAAGCAAAAAACCAACCCTGGCGGCTCCCTGAGTTCCAGCACTCCCCTGCATGTCGGACGGGGAAGGTGGCTGTTCTATAGTCTCGGTATACACACCGTCGACACCCCAGGCAGGAACGAGGCGCGTCTCCGCGTCTAGGAGTCATGTGCTCCGCGTTCTTTGGTTCGGGCCCCGTGATGGCGCGCCAGATCACGTGGTACTGGACGTCCAGCCTCGGCCAATGACCAGTCGAGGCCTTACCCAAAACAGTAAAGCCATGTGCCCGTTGCAGGGATTTCGTACAGATCGTGACTCGCTATCCCCATCGGGACTAGTGCGTGCGACGTGACGGTCCTCCAACGGGGTGGATGACTTCAACTGCCCCTGATGGCAATCCACCAGAATACTACCTACGCAGGCTGGAAATTAGTAGATGGTCTCATCCGTTCATGCCCACTGAGCCAGATAGAGATCCGGAAAATACACCCGGTAAGATGAAACCTGTTATGGTGTGATAGAACGTCAAAATCTGTACTCCCAATCGCCGGACCATGGCATCATCACCCCTCATTGCGGTAAGTATATACTTAGTAGCAGTAGTACCCTTACTGAGGAAGCAGTCGCAATTACGCCCCCAATCCAACCCAACATACTTGTAGTAATAACATTCGGCTTTCTGTGACTGACTTAAGATCTCACTTCACAATGTAACCATCAATGATACATCCATTAGTCAGGAAATGGAGACACGGACTACATAAGTACTAGGCGATCGAACAGCTGAACCTGCTGTAGAACATCAAAGAACCAAACATGATTATTGAATATGACGGACCTGAAATGCCAACCCCCCAGCCCACTTCTGACATGCCACACATCACCGGTGACAGAACCCTGAAGAACTCACCGACCGATCGCTGGCTCCACTTATGCACATTCCAAGGTCACCGATATCTGATAGATGGACACATCAGACCGTGCATGACGCAGGTGGATGCCGCCCTGGAATGCACCTCCACCGCCTCCCGTGCACTCTATCGAAGGGTAATCTACATGCCAGCCATGACACACCTGCTTCTACTTAAACTCAGGAGGCTGGGGTGGGACCCGCCAGGTGTCGTAGGGCCGTTTTTTAACGAAAGCTAGTTGTCGCCTTACGCGGTCATCACGAACACGGCGTTCATGCAACCGACTCCACTCCGGATGGTCTCAGATGGGGACAAAAAGTCAAAAACTATCTTTATCAACTGACATGAACAAAACTACTATACAAGGCATTGCTAGCTTATAACATGACGAGCAAATCTGGCTGCTCACGGGGGGAATAAGGTAGAAAAGTGCGGCTAGAAAGACGGGAAATCAGTGTTACTTTGCAGTAGAGAAGGTAAGGTCTAACCACAATCGTCTCCATCAAGGGAATGGCGACGCGACATATGTGACAGGTGCTATATTTTCCAAGCCACATAGGACAATATAGTAAGATACAGAGAAGAAAGCAACCGCACTGGACAGAGAATCATGAACAGAATGAACAGAGGCATGAAAGTTCTTCTATTTGCGAGCCGACGGGGTTCGATTCAAATCAGCGGACGCGAACCGAATCGGACGGCGATGGCGGGTGGGTGTCGGGCCCTCGACTACCTTAGTAGAAGACATAGGTGGCGGAACCGGAGAGAACCTCAACCTGGAGAGGAGATGATGATCAGCGAAAAGTCCCAGCCAAAAACAAACGCAAGGGCACTTACAGTGCAACCGGAGTCGTTGGAGCCAGACTCGGAGTAGAAGGTACCGTCCTCGTACTTGCAAGAACCGCTGAGGTTGTCACCCTCGATCTTCACGTTGAAGTCGAGCTTGGTGGTGGTGGTAGGGCTGTTCTGGAACAGAGAAAGCCACTTGCCATCGTTGTAACCGACACCAAGGTTGATAGGGGCCCAGTTACCGATAGGAGCGCTGCCGTTACCCCACTGGCAACCAGTCTCGGTGGAAACACCCTTGGGGTTAACATAGTACTGAGCGGAAGTGGTCTGGTTCTCCCACTTGTAGTAGGTGGCGCCGTTGGGGCAAGTCAGGGGGTGAAGTTCGCTGTTGGCAGCGACAGCGAGAGGGATGGTCTCGGATTCGGTACCTGCAGACAGAGTTAATATCTTTGTTTGGACCCACCTGTCGGAAGAGAGGTTCAATGCTTACCAGGGTAGTCGGTACGGCAAACAGCGACCTCCTCGCTCATGGTGTTCTGGACGTGGACACCTCCAACACCCTCAATGCAAAGCTTCTTGGACAGAGACTTGTTGGTAAGGTGGAGCTTGCCGTTCTTGCACTCAATACCACCAACGGACTGGCCGGTAGAACCCTGGGTGCTGGGCCACTGGGACTTCTGGTATCCGGCGGGGCAGGCATAGGAGCACATGGCTCCGGAAATGCAGGAGTCGCCGGTAACACCGGTAACGATGGTGTCGACAATCTCGTCGACGATGGTCACGTACTGGATACCGGACCAACCACCAAGGCCAAGGTAGTCGAGGGCAACGGCACCGTATTCAGAGGGGAAGGTGTCGCAGTCAAGCTCGCCATCGGGGAACTCCTTGTCCACGCCGGTGGCAGAGGAAGAGCTGCTGCTAGAGCTGCTGGCGGAGGAGCTGGAGGAGGCAGCGGCGTACGAGCTGCTGGTCTTGGTGCTGCTGGAGCTGGAGCTGGAGCTGCTCGAGTGCTTGTTGACGGCGACCTCGATGAACTCAGCAGCAGCCTGGACGGAAGCCGTGGGAGTCGGGCTGGTGGTGCTCGAAGACACAGTCGAAGAGGAGGACTGGCAAACATTCGCAGGCACGTTGCCAGAGAACTTCAAAGTACCCTTGGCGACACCATCGCAGGCCTCCTCGAAGGTAATGACCTTGCCGTCGAGAACGAAGGTGGTGACGGTAGGGCCGGGCACCGTGACGACCTCGGTGTCGGGGGAGCGCTTGTGGTGATGGCGGTGCTGGTGGTGGTGCTGAGCAGACACCATGCCGGCGGTAGCCAGGGTGAGGGCGACAGTATTGAACTTCATCGTGTTGGTTATTTATTTCGCACGGGGTTGCAAGCTGTCGAGTATTGCGTCAGAATGTGGACCTAATCTATATAAACCACGGGATCCCATATTAGCATGCGCTCAACCTCCATTGACCACAAGACGGCCTGTTCGATACTAGGCATTGGCCATGTATGTGCTTGCTAGCTTGCTTTCTTTCCATCGTAGTGCAGGAGAGAAAGAAGAGTCGCATTGAGATTGTATGTGCTGGGTGATCCCGGGTAATTCGCGAAGGTACACAGGATAGGAGACATACCAAATTCACAGCAAGCCAGTCGCGCGCTTCTTGCAAAAAGTCTGTACACGAATGAAAGTCCTCGTGAGGCAGGGGTTGCTAAGAGTCTGGCAGAGTCAAAGCAAGTTGCCTAGAATAGAGTATGAGAGTTAAAGAGTGAAAGAGAAGAAGAGAGAGAGAAGCAGGTTCCCAAAAGAGCGTACGAGAGAGAAACTAGTTCCCTCAGGTCGGATAGGAAATCTCGCGAAGGATAGCAGGCGAAGGGCCGGAGATGAAACGCTCTGGGGGGGAAAGGGAGGTAAGAAAATGTGGAGGGGGGATCTCGAGGGAGAAAAGGGAATCGGGAGGGAGATGAAGGAGTAAGTAAAGGTTTAGTTCGCGCCGTGGTCCAGGGGGGGGGAGGGCAGTGAGTGGGCAAGAGGCGATAACCAACTAACTAGTGTGGATGTGGGAAGGAGGGACAAGGAAGGCGTGCGCTGACCTTTTTTTTCCAGGGGGTGAACCAAAGGAACCAAGAGAGAGTGTGAGAGTGTGTAAGAGAGAGAGAGCGTGGCACTTGGACCAAATGAGTGGATGGTAAACCAAAAAAGAATAAAAACTCACAGGCAGGGAATAATCGGAATACTAATAAAATAACAAAAATAATCATAATAATCATCAGGGGGGCCCACAGCCCGAAGGCTCAAGACATCGGGTTGAGTTAGTGTGGGCTGTTAGCCTTTTAGCGTTGGAAATTAGCTTGTTACAGTCGTCCGTATCTGTAGTAACTGCGCTGTATTGTTCTCTTCTCCTTTTGGGGGTGGGCAATATTAAATCCCTATTTTTGTGTCAAGCTACGGAGTATAAAACCATTAGTGATTGTCGCAGGACGGTAACTCTACTCCCGAGGAGACAATCAGGGACGACGAGTATGGAATATTACTACTATGGGAGTGGACGGGAAAGGTTATGGAAAGAATCTACGGGCACAGTATTTAAAAAGGGGCGAGAATACTTTCTGTAGTGAGTAAGAGAGACAAGACAGACACAGAGAGATCACTGACAAAAGGATCTCAGACCCGTTTTTCGTTTCCCTACCGTTGTGGTGGTCAGGCGATAGACAGGGGGGGCCGCGGCACTGGAGAAGAAGGCCAAGAAACCACCGGGGTTGAAATAGAAAAAGTCAACATGGACGGCGCAACGTGAGTCGTGAGAACCGCTGAGAATTGCAGCTGTAAGTGGAGTCAAGTGGAGAGAATAGACAGGAACCGCCTGGGCTCTGGAACACTGGGCCAGCAAGCCAGCCTTGGGCTTTGCTGGGCCACGGCGGTGATTTTCCCCTTTGAAACCCTTACGTTTTTTTCATCATCTTCTCGTCTTTTCATTTTCATTTTCTTTTTTTGTGTTTGGGGCCTTCCTGTTCCTGAAAGTGAGCTTGGCGTTTACCGAAATTACCCAGAGTCTCGCTGGCCACTCACAATCAGCTCTCGGGCACCAGCCGGTGGGCCATCAAACCTTCCCCCCGGTCAGGTACACCAATCAGCAGGTGCTGCGCTGCCGAACCATTGCCACAATTTGGCCTACCAGGGAATGTCTCATGTCGGATCTCAATGTTGGCCTGCAGTAGGGAGGGAGGACTGTACAGAGTAAGTAATATTAGCACTCACCTACTCACCTACTATCTCCCAGTAGTCCTCTAGTGAGTCCTGCTCACCGTTCCAGTCTGTTCTGACGGGCGGTAAATATATTTTCAGCCCCGAAACCATGCCCCAGTCAGTCTACTTCTCTCACAAAGTGTTCCATAAGTACACCTTTGTTGGTTGAACGAACGGGGCCAACTCATCCAGCAATATGGATGACACATCTTCCCCGGCGGAGTGCGGGAATTCCCTTCATCTGATTCTGCTGTCACTGATTCCCCTCATGTTCGAGCAATCAGAGACGAAGTGGCTGCCTAATTTATGTTCATATTGTTCTCTCCGTAGCTGCGTCGTCAATGTCCTTATCATATACCCCGCCTACAACTCAACGGGATACAGCGATTACTTACATACAGAGTACAATTCTCTCGGCCTGGTGCCCACTTTTCATACTAGACAGTGCACATCATGCAGAGTAATTAAAGATGTCTCTTTTTCACTTCCCTCCCTACGATCTGGCCTGGAACAGGTGACTTCTTGTACGGCCTGGTTTCCACCGACTAGAGCCCGTTGCGGAGCATGCAGACGTTAATCTCAACATGCAGAATCATGATCTGAGACCCTGGCCACGTCTGGACCGGTTGCTCATCGTACATGTCGTCATTCCAATACAAGGACTCTTTCAGAGATATTATCATGATGCTGTTAACACCTAACTTGATGAATATGTAGTTGGTTGTTGGGATATCATTGGCTATTGGTTTGATTAGAGACGATGCCGCCTCTGAGCAAAATGAGCAAAGAGGGAAAGAGGAAGCCGAGCGCTATTCAATACACTACACGTCTCATCTACATAGCCCACCTGGAACAACTGTCTATCTACACTATACCATCAACAACAATGGGGTATCTAGCAGCCTTGTGTTCATTGGCTGTCCGACCACGGGTACATACGCAGGTACGGAGTACATCTGGTCCAAACGGATATCTTCCTGCATCGCCGTGGCAAGGTACCCCCGACAAGGCGACGCTACCTGACATGGCCAGGTGTTTATCGGTATTATATGCAACGAGGGCGGAATCTTTGATCTGAAATTCATTGGCAGCGCTCTCTGTGTATGCTACACCACTTGACACATGTTTACAATATCTTCGACGTGTTCGGCGTGGGTAGCTGTGTAGTTTGGGCTCGCCAAAGATCCCACTTATTTGCCGAGAACCTTCGGAGGATTTCGAACATCTATTCCCGCCCTACCGGGGTTCTCTTCACCACTGATTGACTGGTCGTTAGCTTGACACGCAGATCCCATGATGGATGTGTTGGCTATCTATTCAAGTGTGACACTCGTTGTTTGGTCCGATTCGGGCTCCTTTAAGATATCGAGCCCTTGCAGGCGATTGCTGAGTCGTGTCAGCCTGTACTACGGCTTTACGGAATCTAATGTCGTCAATCTTCCCAGGTCCTGAGGAATTGGCGTTGCGATAGAATAACCATCATCATTGCCGATGTCGCTCCACACTAGGTGATAGTTCTCATCGCATAGTTCTCTGATCTGAGGTTGCTTGATATCGATCGGAATCTCGCTAACAGGCTGGTCGGGTATGCTGAGGTGGTGTCGCGAGTAGCGGTGTTGCGTCCAACCTCGCGGCGTTTGTTGTTGTCGCCCAGGCTATTGTACAGGTCCTACCTGGCCAAGACCGTCATTAAACCTAGCGTCCAGCTAATTGGTTGTGAAGGGGAGAATCCCTATTTGCATGGATTCCTTCGCGTTGAGGTACCTCAGGCACCAAGCAGTAATACGAGAACAAGCAGCCTATGAGACGAGGAAGGCAGGCGAGAATCTCCTGGATTGACACCACCAGCCTCTTTTCCAAGGTCCTTTCAGGCTTTCAGCCCCTCAGCCCCCGGGCCAAGTCTTTCTTCCTGGTCATTGCGCCCGCAACCAAGGGGTTCTGGAGTCTACCTAGCAGTAACGGACCCTTTTGCGATAGATTACTATTGGACCCCTGACTGAGACTGACTGCACTGGTAGGTCAGTTGGGAAATGGTTTAGATACCATAGTGGTAATCATACCGTATAAGCGGTGACGGTGTCTACTACTCCATACTAACCGACTCCTAAGTACTCCGTACTAACTACACTAACTACTCCGTACTAAGCCAGTGATGGATCCGCCCCATCCCAGCCATGCTTATCGCCGCATAATGCAAAAAGAGACACAGCGCGAAAAAGTGAATCTCGTCCGATGGCGTCCAGCTCCAAAAGCTTGGCAACTGGAGACTCCAACCCCCAATGCGGCCAAGACCGACTCATTAGCACCGGTTAACACGGAGCTCACAACAAAAGGGAGAAGCGCGGTAGATATTCGTTGCTGGTTTGCTTGCGCGGCTTTTATCCGCCGTTTACGTACTCAGATGATGCCAAGTGCCTGCGAGGAAGCCTATCTATCGGACATGCCTATCGCTTGATTCGCTTCAGCCAATCTGATAGTCCTCGCTGCTTCTCCGCATTCTGGATGAGTGAACGGAGGAGGGGAACCGAGAGCTCAATTAATTAGGTGGAGTGGGTGGTGCGCCGCCTTTCTGCATGGTCAACTGTTCGATAAACAACCGCCAGAATTATTTGGCGGCCTATAGTGGGGACAAGAAGCTTTTGGACCTTACATGCTCGATGTTTCTTACTGAGCCAGTCCGGAGAGAGTTGGAACGTTCTTGAATGGACAAGTCCACGGGTGAAGCGCAGTCACTACGCCCAACGCGGTATCTCGACGACAGCTCACAACCTATTTCCACGCATCCGCCTCGCCCGTGTCTCCTCCCGTGGACTAATAGTCTCCTCCCACCCGCCATATTGACATTCGACTATTGAATTCTTATATCGAACTAATTCCCAACGCATCAGCTATTGACGTGTCCCTGTCCAAAATGTGGTGCCAGAGATGATGCACTTGAATGTCTGCCAATGATTCGTCGACTTGAGGGCCTTTCTCGTCGATTAGTCAATTGACGTCGGAACTGCAGACGACTGAGATGCGCGCTGAACGGAGGTACAGCAAGCAACTAACGACGCAACTGTTTCAGGCACCGATGTCTTTGTCCTATCATTGCTCAGCTGTACCTGAGCCATTCCAGGTTCCGTTACTTTCTCCGCTGTTCCACTAGATTTTATCCGTCGGAGACAGTTGGAGCATTTGTCTGGTTTCCGCCCCGTTCAGCCGATTCGAATAGTTAGATTTGAGCAGGGCACCTCGCTGTTTCCAGTCCACCGGTTCAGACGTCACGCACGGTGCGTGATTAATGAATATCGGCATATCATCTGGAGAATTATTGACTCAAGATTGGGTTCGATACTCGCAACTACTACTACCCCTTAACTGCAAATAGGGGTTTCCGAGGCTCTCCTTGACGGATGGCTCGGGCTGAGCGGTTGATACCCACAACATTAGACTAGATGCGAGGCTTGTTCGTTATCTCTTGAATGTCGCTGTGGAGTGATTGGGACTGTCGACTAGTTACTAACAATCCGCAGCTGGGCCAATAGTTGCATCCGTTGCGGGATGTGTCGGATTCAGACTACAGAGTATTATCCAATCGCATGCCTCGATAGAAGCAAATGACCGACGTCTCATGTCTTTGTTATTGATGTCTCAGAGTTAGAGCCAGCGCTGCTGTTTCTTTATCCGCTGTTTACAGAGCACGACTCGAAAGCAAACAACATGCATACATTTCTGCGATAGCCTGACTGGCTGATTGCCTTGTCGCCTTGAAATCTAGGCCTCGATTGCACTATCTTGGCTGTACAGTTGCAACACTCAAAGCAACCACAGATTAACAAAGGCGGTTATGAATACAAAGCCGTTACTATACAGCATCTGGGATTCTGGAACCCTTGGCAGTCCCAAGATGTCCGCGTCCATGGGTGCATGCAAGGGACTGTTGAACAACCCGCCTATCGCGGAACCAGTCCGGAACTTGGCCCGTGAGAAATTAGGTTTGCCATGCTGCTGGGTCTTTGGTTGTTATTCACGGGTGGCTTGGCGAATGTTCTAATGGAAGACATGAGAATAGCGGAGTGAATGAAAAATTTCTTGTTACTGACATGGACAGAAGACTATAACCATGACGACTTCAAACCATCGAGTCTAGCGGAAATTAGGAGAGCGTGAAATCAAGTTGACAACCATGGCTTGATGACTCATATCCCTCGCCTTTAATCCCGTGCAGATCCTGTGTTATGATGCAATATGCAAGTCTTTATTTCCTCCGATGCAAGAGACAACTGTGCCTTGGAACGGTTAATGTCCGGAAGCCTGCGGCCTGGAAGCGAGGCAGATGTGGTAATACCAACCAACCTCTCCATAGGCGTGGGGATTTGATCCGGAAGCGATTGCATGAGCAGCCCATGTTTGCTGTGGGACTATCGTGGTATGAAGGCAGATGCGAGGGCTGGATTGCAAAGTAAGTTTGCACCGGGGACGTATCGGAGTCAGTGGCAAGGCAAGGGAGATGATCAGTACTTTTGCCGATTACAACGCCCAGAACCTTCCCAGTCTGTTGAGAACGAGCCTATCGGCGGTTTCAAGTCCATTCCAACCGGGCCAATAGCACTGCTCAATACACTGTTCCATCATGGAGCCACTGGTAGGATTGCCATGCTATTTACAGCCCAAAGTCTACTTGTACCTGGTTAAATCGGCTCCACTATCCTACACCGTCACTCAGAATCGAGCCCATCTTTTGCTCAAACAACACAAAGTGAACTACTGTTCTAGCGGAGACGTATATTGGTGAAGCATTTCGCGCTGGTTAATAGGAAATTGACTCGCGTGAACATGATCTAGTCAAGGCATTGTCCATCCCTACATAGCCTAGCTATCCTCACTGGATTCGCTCACTCAAGAGGCAAAACTATCAATTTTGGTTCGACTTACTTTGATCATATCAGCATTTTTACTAAGCAATATACAATGCACACCGCCGATGCCACTAAACGAATCTTCCCTCTGCCCTCATCGCGAAGTCGGTGCTCTCACGGATGTGCAGTCCTTGCCAACTGTGTAGATTTGTCTGCACTTTTCAGACTTGGCGGTGTATTAAGCATTGTTGATCACCTCAAGGATTCAGAGAACGGCTACCAAATATAAAGGACAGAAACTGTCGAGCTGAATGGCAGCAAAATAATCGGAACATGCTACCGATTCAGTTGGTGCATCCAGATCTGCTCTAGTCGAGATTAACCCGTAAAGCCGATATGGTATGAAGTCAGCATTGAATGATCAAGCAGTGAGAAACTGGAACCACTAGGATATGAACATGCTGCAAAGCCAAATATCCAACTATTTAGAAGATGTATTCAGAGACATGGGGATTCTTGGAATCTTTTCTATCTCGTCGATTGCTGTGTAGCCCTTCTATATTGGATCCTCGGCGTTATTGCACGATCGCCGAATACTCCCTTTTCGTTAACTGGCGGAATTGTACGACCATCTGCTAAATGTGTGTTTTGAAGTGAGGAGTGATGAGAATAACTGACTAGCACCGGTAAGATAACCTAATAGTCTATATCACTCCCCGATTAGATTGTAGTGAGTAGAAAGGATTAGCATGTGAATCACTACTTCCCACTATAACTCGTCCCCTCCTACACTGGACTGAATACCGTCGCCGACCACCAACCACTGAATAAACCCCCAGACCCCAATCCTAACATACCATCTGAAGAATCCTCTGAAAACCTCCCATGACGTAAAAGCACATTCCAATCCAGCACTTCCATCACCAACCGAGCATATCCGCGCCTCCATCGCACCGAGGCAGACGCTAAGCCGAAGGCTCCGACGGATCGGCGACACAAGCTTGGCGGGAAATCCGACGATAACCTTAGTTCTGCTTCTTCTTCCTCTCCGCCTTCAAATGACTCCTCTCCCCTCTTGACCACCACCATCATCCCCTCAACCGAAAGAAACCCCATATAGGTACACGCACACAGGATACAATCATGCTCCTTCCACAGACAAGACTGTCCGCCTTGCGCGCCCTCCGCGCCACAACAGCACCCCGCTCCAGCATCACCACCACCTCCGCGCTCGCCCGCCTCCTCTCCACTCTCGCCGTCCTCGAACAGCGCGATGGCAAGCTTCAAGCCTCCTCCTTGTCCGCTATCGCTGCGGCTCAGAAGCTCGGTGGTCCCGTGACGGCCTTTGTGGCGGGTGCTGGCGTGAAGGGCACGTCTGCTGCCGAGGCGGCGCAGATTAAGGGTCTGGACAAGGTGTTGGCGGTGGAGAATGAGGCTTATGAGAAGGTATCTTTTATCCTTTATCTACTCATTGAACATGAAATTGGGGAGGGTAAGTGCTGACGAAACATGGTATAGGGTCTTCCCGAGAACTACGCCCCGTTGCTCGTCGAGAACATCAAGAAGGGAGAATTCACGCACGTCGTGGCTGGCCACTCGGCGTTCGGAAAGAGTTTGTTGCCTCGTGTTGCGGCTTTGTTGGATGTGCAGCAGGTTTCGGATATCACGGGCATTGAGAGTGAAGACAGTATGTTTTAATGACTTCGTCCGGCTTGGGGATGGGAATTTGCTCCGGTGTCGGAGACGCACAATTCCTATACAAGTATACTAACAAAGCAATGAACAGCCTTCGTCCGCCCCATCTACGCCGGCAACGCCATCCTGACCGTCCAATCCACCGACCCCATCAAGATCCTCACCGTCCGCGGCACCTCCTTCCAAGGCGTCGAGACCACCGGCGGCAGCGCCTCCGTCACCGAAGGCGTCGACCCCAACACCCCCGCCCAAACCGAATGGGTGTCCGAGGAGCTCGCCAAGTCCGAGCGTCCTGACCTTGGTACCGCTACCCGCGTCGTCTCCGGTGGTCGTGGTCTCAAGTCCAAGGAGGAGTTTGACCGCGTCATCGTTCCCCTGGCTGATACATTGGGCGCTGCCATCGGTGCTTCCCGTGCTGCTGTGGACAGTGGCTTCGCGGATAACAGTCTGCAGGTCGGACAGACGGGTAAGAACGTCGCACCGCAGTTGTACCTGTGTGCGGGTATCTCGGGTGCTATTCAGCACTTGGCGGGTATGAAGGATAGTAAGGTTATTGCTGCGATTAACAAGGATCCCGATGCGCCGATCTTCCAGGTTGCGGATGTTGGACTGGTTGGGGATCTGTTTGAGAAGGTGCCTGAGTTGACGGAGAAGTTGAAGCAGTGATTTATCCATCTTTATGTTTTCTTTGTATGATGTGGGTGGGGAGGTGAGGCGATAGATATACCAATGCCATTATGTATTATGTTGTACGCCTGCTCAACATCTGTCTGAGGTTTTATGATAATAACCTGATCTACAAGATGCTACGATCAATAAGCACCAGCTCGTCTATACATAACTTTTATTCGACCAAGGGTATTGATTAAGCCCCGATGTATGAACAAGAAGAAAGAAAGAAACGAACACGCGCCGCCGGAGTAAAAGCATAAAAGAGACACCCATTGCTATTCAATACAGCCCGGACATAAACCCAGCAAAAGCAGACAATCAAGAAGTCGACTTTCTCTTCTTCTTGCCAGCACCAGTCGCCGACACCGGAACCGCAACGGCACCATCCTCCAACGCCTTAGCCTTCTGCTTCTGAAGCTTCTCTTTCCTAGCAGCCAGCGACAGCGTCTCCTCATCATCCTGAGCAGCCTTCGCCTTAGGCTTCTTGCTCTTCTTCGGCGCCTCTTCAATCAACTTCTCCTCATCAGCATCGCCAATCTGCTTGCGCTTCTTACCCGCCTCAACAGCAGTCGTCTCCTCCTCCTCAACAACATCCCCATCCTCAACCCACAACTCACTCGCCAACCAAATCGGCATCGCCATCGTATTCGCGCCCTTAATGTGCAACGCCTTAATATTCCTCCACCCCTTCGTCACAAACTTATCCGTCAACCCCTTCACAACAGCCTCCACATTCTCCGCAACCTGCTGCGCCGAGAACTTGCTCGACCCAACACGAATAGCGGCCGTCGTAGCGGGCGCCAAATGCACCGGCGCACAATTCAACGCCTTCTCAATCTCCTTGGCCACAATCGCCGGCGTCGCAAACGCACTTTCCTTATCACCTTCACCCTCCACCTTCCTGGCATTCCTAACCTTCGGATCCTTCTTCACCTTCTTTCCATCCACCTTCTCAATCTCCGCAATCCGCACCGGAATTGGCCTCTTACTGCTCTTATAGAACACCTTGCCGAGCGTATTCACCAACCGCATGATAATCCGATCATCAGCCAGAAACACATCGTGTTCAGCGAGGAGCTGTCTCCGGCTCTCGAAGCTCTTGTACCGGTCCTTCAGCTTCGAGTATCCGATGACCCGCTCGATGCGGGACGACAAGTGCGCAGGGAACGACGGGTCCGTGACGATGTTCTTCACGCTGCGCTGAGGGTCCGCGGTGATCAGGCAGATGCTGAGAGACGGGGAGGCGTTCAGGCTGTGCGGAATCGGGATCTTGCCTGGCTTCAGGCGGTTCTTGTCCACGATGTGCTTCTTCGTTGTGAGAACGAGCCAGATCGCTTCGTTGTGCAGAGGGGAGCCTTCTTCCGCGTCGCTGTCGTCGTTGTCACCGATAAGGGTCTTCTTCGTGGCGGTTTTCTCTTTCTCGTCTTGTTTGGTCTTGATGTGTTTGAGGAGGGCGGTGGAGGCGCGAGAGACCTATTTATTCATTATCAGTATTTTTATATATATATGTATGAATTTTTGTGTTGGTAGTATGTAATGGGAGGTGTGATATGCGGTGCATGCATGCATGAAATTCAAAACGCTAGTGAAGGAGCATGGATTTACCTGAGTCTTCTCCAACTGGTAGGGTGACCCCGAAGTCACCTTCGTCGTTAGCGCCGTCGAAGACACCATTGTTGCGATATATCGTGGGGAGTTGGTACAAGTGCAAATGTCGCGATGGGTCTCGATCTCGGGGATATTTTTCTATCATTAAAAAAAAATTCATGGGAAGGCGGTCGCTGTTCTGCCGGCTTGGCGGGCCACGCTTAGTCACCACCCTTGTTCGTCCTCGTCATGTGACTAGGATTTATAGATAGTCATTAACTGTAACTATTTAATTCATCAAATATGAATAACGCTCTAACTCAATATAGAAATAATATCTACCATCTAAACACTAAGCTACCGGATATCAAGATATACATAATACCAAATCATAATCATTACCCACCCGGTACACAATGCACCCTACAACTCCGCCAACAACTCTCCCATCGAGATCGGTTTCCTGACCGCATTCGAAAACCCATCATGATACGTCACCCAGACGCGTCTGCCCGCCTTCAACGTCTCATTCTGCTTCGCCGCCTCGGGCGACTCATCTGACGGCGGCGGCGTCGGCTCCTTGATGACTCTGCCGAAGAAGTCCCGTTTCACGTTCGGCCCGTGCGCGGGCTTCCTCGCATCGCCGTCGTCCTTGGACTGTCCGTCGGCGGACTTGCCGGAGGACTTCTTGCCGATCTTGGATGTCGTTAGGGGTTCGGATTGCTTGCGGATGTTCTCTTTGCGGTATTCTTGGTCCAGGACCTGGCGAATCGCGTAGCGGACCGGGGCGGAGCCGCTGGCTGTGGGGGCGGATTTGGTTTTGGAGAATGTGATGAAGGTGTCGAGGGGCCTGTCGGGGTTAGTTTGGTTGTATAAGGGTTATAGGGGAGGGAAAGGGGAGCGTACGGTTCCATCCGGTAGGCCCATCCTCCGTGGGCTCCGGCGTTCTCGATGCGTACTTTCTCGAATCGGACGCCTAGACCGGCCATCACGCGGACGGCGGCTTGAATGAGGGTGCGTTCGCTCTCTTTGCGCACGCTGGCTACGCTGCGCTGCTCGCCGCTGCCGCGGACGACGACTGGTTTCACGTCCGGGGAGAGCATCCGGACGAGGTTCGGGATGAGGTCGATGACTAGAGAATCGGTGGATCGGAAGAGGCGGGATAAGGGGGCTGAGAATGCGGATTGGAATTCTGTGAGGATGGCTCGGTTCTGTTTCTGCGCTTCGTAGGCTGCAAAGTCTGCTCGGGGGCCTGAGAATGGATGTTCCTCTTCTTCATCGTTGACTTCCGGTGCTTTGGCTTTGCCTTGGGCTGTGGCGAAGAGATGGTGGAATGCTACGACAGATTGGCTGAGATAGGCGCTCAGCTCCCAGTCTTGTGCGGTGTAGACCTTGGAGGACATAGTGTCGTGAAAGTGTAGCCAGTCGTAGGCTGCGTTGGGTTTGGAGAGGAAGGTGTCGTCTTGGTAGCTCTGCAGTGGGTAGGATGCAAAGCATTCTGCCACGGCGCGGTCGTGCTCGCCGCTGGCGTCGACCATTTCGCGTAGTCGCTCAATGGCATGGCGTTTCCGGAGGTCGGCGACGCCTACTGGTACTTTGTCCTCGGAGTTGGAGAAGGGATCACGGAAGGAGTCGACGCCAACAGGTGCATCCGTGAAGCCTGCTCCTTCGGTGAAAACTCGTTCGATGAGATCGCGCACACCACCGCGGTTTAGACCCTTGAAGAAGGCACTGCCACTACTGTTGGCGCTGAGGACCTTTTGTTCCAGCCAGCTTCGGGTCAGCCGTAGGGTGGATGGGCATTCGTTCCTTAGCTTATGCGCCACCCATTCTGCTGCCACGAGAACACTGCGGATGTCGCCTTCTGCTGTTCCGCTGCTCTTGACGCCTCCTTGTTTGCGGCGAGCAAGGCCCCAGGAGGCTTCGCAGAGCCGTCGGACACCATCGTTGTCAGATGGGATGCCTTCGACGGTAAAGATCCGTTTCATGCGTGTGACGACGTTCTCTAATGGCGCTTGGCGGACATGGATGATCTCTGCAACCGAGGCCGCGCGTAGTGGTCGTAGACTAGGATGGTAGACATCGTTGCAGACCATGATCAGCGGACGCAGGAATCGGAAGTTGTCGCCCTTCTTTTTCCTGCCCTTGGTCTGCTCAGTGGAACCTGACGAATTCTTCTGGTCCAGCAAGACCAGGTCGATCAAGGCTTTCATGAAACCACCCTCACCACCGCCTCCAGATCCGCTGACGACGCCGTCTACTTCGTCGACGACAACACAAACAGGCCGTCCTGCTTTGCGTACCTTTTCCTCGCCGATCTCCACATTCATGCCCTTGACGTTTTCTGTACCCAGGGAATCCCGAATTCTGCCCTTAACCACATCCTTGCTTCGATCATCACTCGCGTTAATTTCCAGCACTTCGTAGCCAGCCTGTCGAGCACATACATGCGCCAACGTAGTTTTGCCTAGACCCGGCGGGCCACATAGCAGTAGAACCTTCCGATGTGTCCGTTCCTCATCCTCTTTGCCATACGGCTTCTTTGCCTTCGACCTAGCGATGTTTGGAAAGACTATAGGTTCCCAGGCCTTCAGCCAGCGCAGAACAGATCGATGCGTGCGCTCGTCTCCGATCAATTCAGTAAACTTCCGTGCGCGGTATTTCTCGGTCCACATGGCTGCAGCCAGCTTTGCGCTCTTCTGGTCGTGGATTGGGGCTTCGATAGACGGCTGTACCGTTGGAGCAGGTCGTGATTCGGTGGCCGGGGGGGCTTCCGGCTCATTCGCAGCTTCATCAAGAAGCCTGTGGATATCAATTCCGTAGTAGCTCTTCTGAGCCTTCCCGGGGGCAGTCACGGAGCGACCAGCAACCAGTCTTTCGTAGCTGACCCGCGGTGCGGGTTTCTTCAATGAAACATGGTGCGTCTTGCCCGAGCAGGTCTTTATTTGGATTGATCGATATGGTCTTCGTGAGGGAAGTGACGTGACTGTGCTCTGTTCCGGAATGGGAGTGGGGTCAAGGTCTGGCGCAGTAGACGCTGGCTTGGGAGTCGATTCTGTTGGCAGTTGAGAAGGCCACGGGATTTCAGGGAGTTCAACAGGTGGCTGTTGAATAATGTCCTCCTGCACCTGAAACTCGCTTCTTAGTTGCGCATCGTTGAAGGCATCCCAATCATCATCGTCGTCTGCCTCATCCAAGAATCCGCCCATGATCTTCTGCCGCTTGGGCTCTTCGGTTTGCGATTGCTCTTCATTCTTTCTTTTCTGCGACTCCGGCGACGGAGCGCTCGACGGGAAGGGAGCGGGGGATGCAATGAGCGGCATTCTGATAGCAGATGGAGGAGAAGACGGCAGCAAGGTGAGTGTTCGGATAGGAGAGTAGATGTTCTTCCGCTTGGACGTTCGTGTCGGAGTATCTGATCTCAATCAGTGGATGTTACCCAACGCTGTAGATCGTGGAGTCTACCAGGCCTTATATCCTCGTCACTGCGAAAGACATCAGACAAATTCCACGACCGGTGCTGAATAACTATTCCTTTGCGCGTATTTTCTTCCTGTTGGAAATTCAATGCCTCAAGTTCGTCGGAGAAGGTGTCGGAGGGGGGTTCGGGAGGGTCTCCCTCGGAATGAAGATGGATGGCCGGATCGAAGGAGGGAGGGATGGACGGGGGCGACGTCGTCATCAAAACAACTCCGCTGTCATTTGGGTTGATATTAATTATTATGGAGTATCTACTCCGGCGCGAATTGATGATGTCGAGTGGGCTGTTTGATGCAATGATAGATTGATGGAGTTGATCTGCGACGCGTGCGACGCGCCGCGGACGCGCTAGTCCCGATTAATTAATGGCCCTTTGTAGCACTAGTGGGTGTGCGGACCCTAGATCTATACAACAGTACAAACGATGACAGTTTAGACGAAGCAATGATAATTATTCTGATTACAAAAAGTGATGACAAGAATTAAGCGTCCGATTAGGTCTGTGAATCCACAAGCAAGTCTTCCCCAGTCATGTAGCAACAAAATCATCAAAGCAGCTTTTATCCAACTCCGACGCCATTATCATAGCACAGACCCAGCGAATGAACAAAGTCTATATAAAGCACGCGCATATCCTCGTTATAATTAAAGTCCTCTTTCCTCCTCATCCATGTTGTATGTCCAGCACCCAACTGCAGATAGGCGTTCATTTCAAAGACAAGTACGTCGCGAGAGTCGTGTAGTTGGTGGACGGGGCACGGCTCTTTTCTTTGGCAGGCTTAGGCGAGGCAGGCTTAGGCGAAGCTGACTTGGTCTCCTCCTTCTTCTCCTTGCTAGGTAGCCACTTCTTGCTCGTGGCTTTGAGGTCTTTCAATGTTGATGCGGTAGAGGAGACGCTATAGCTAGACGAGGCGTCGTCGAAGGTGGAAGTGGACTTGACTGATTCAGGCATGGTTTCGGTTGTATTTTTTCGAAATGCTTGAGGAAGGAAGTGTATGGTTTTGTTGGTAGCACTGGTTACTAGTCTGGGTGGATATATAGTTCAAATGGAGTAGTAGTAGTGGTGGTGGTGGTGGTGGTGGTTGTATAAAGAGTCAAGTAAGACAGTAAATGATGAGTATGAACAGTCACAAATAATCTAGAAGGTTCTTAATAGCTGAGATCTGAAGCACACGAAGCAAGGCTGCCAGGCGGTTTCCATGGTCCTTATATACTGATGCATGCGTCCATTCCGTGATGATGGATTTAGTCCGAAGCCCGCGGAGTAAAATCCACGACGACCCACCCTGACGTCTGAGCAAATGATCGAGGCTTAGCAATCGGACAGCACCCTACATAGTCAGATGCTTAGTTTAGACTGCAACTTATCTTGGTGAATCATCAGCGCAAGCCATTGCTTGGTGTGGCCCACCCATGATGTGGTAGGCCGCATACCAAGGAGCGAAGGGCGTGTGGTTGGGTGTCAACACGAGGCGCTAACCCAGTGCGGTGGCCGCCATTGGGAACGCCGCTCTCTGACTCGAGAAGGAATGGAGGTCAAGATCTGCCTGATATTGTTGAGAGGTGGGTGACGACGCCCTTTGAGTTTGCATTGAAGTGGGATGTGGTCCGAAATACGGCCCAGGGCAATCGGTCGGGGTACTAAAACAGCATAGTCGGACTGGTCTCGATGTGGCTTTGGAGTAATTAAGTCTTAGTCGACGTTGTTAAGGCGCGCCGAGCCTACGATGACTCAATGCCTGAGGTTGTACCGTGTGTGACGCAGCCAGACAAAGGCACTGCCTTGAGCAGGCAGAATCTGACACATGTTCTATCATAGCCAAAATCATATTAGCTATGGCTAAAGTGTAGTCTAGAATGCTGCCTGAAGTCGAGAACCGTAAGAGATGTTGCTATTCCGACTCCGATGCACGAGACTTCAACTCCGAAACTAGTTCTATTCCGAGCCAATGAGATCCCGTGCCCTAGCAATTACTGCAGAAAATTCTATATTACCCAGCATCGGACTAACCTACTTTTGGGTGACTATAATATACGAAAGTATGTTTAATTAACTGAGTGCCTTGTCGGAATTGAATCGTTCAGTTTGTCTAGAGTGTAAAGTACGATAGTTAATCCGCATTCAGGCGAGCTGTGCCACGATTCTTCAATTCCATAATTCCTTGTGCATGCCGCTCGTTCTAGTGTCAATCACTTCAAAGTCGCCTCGTATTCCGCTTAGAAATCTCTGTGGATAGTGAGTTGGTAATAATTAACCTCCTCCCCTCTTCTTTGTCTTCAACATTGTATAAGCCACCCACTAAAGCGCTTACCACCATATGATCATTTACAGTCCCTTTGAATGTCCGACTGCTCTACCCCCTCCGAGCTGGAGGTCTTGACGCAATAAGTGTGGGAAAGAACACGCTGATATTCATCCTTATCAGTATCAAATCGAGTCTGTTCCCCTAAGCTGATATCTCCTAAGAGGGCATTCAGGGGAGAATCCAGAAGCAGGGAGGTTTGCATTCTGTCACTGCTATCAATCCAGCAGCTAAGCTAGTATATAGAGATATTCATGATAAAATAGGACTGCTCTCTTAACGCGAACCTCCCTGCTTCTGGATTCTCCCCTGAATGCCCTCTTAGGAGATATCAGCTTAGGGGAACAGACTCGATTTGATACTGTTAAGGATGAATATCAGCGTGTTCTTTCCCATACTTACTGCGTCAAGACCTCCAGCTCGGAGGGACTGCACCGGCTGTCATGTTCAGGGGGGCTTTGTTTTAGCGAACCTCCTATTGATGTCCAGAAGCGGTTCTTGTAGCACTTGCGTATCTACTGAGGCCAAGAAAATGTAGCTAGGAGCTGTTCCTCAGTGGACTCAGCCGTCACAGGCTCCGTGTCTATGATCACATTGTCGAAATCTTTCGAAAGATCGTTGGCCGACTCCATTTGCTCGGACGTGACGTGTAGCCACAAGAGTACGAGAGACAGGGAAGAGCCGATATTTTCATCACGATCTAACATATCAATATATATTCAGGATATTGAAAGTTGAGATGATATTTTCTCGTTAATCCTAATGTCCACAGAAGCTGCTTTGAAAACCAGGGGCTTCTTCTTCTTCCTGCAAGGACTATCTTAGAGTAGTAAATGCTTGCTGGGCAAGGTAGAACGCTTACTAGTCTTCGTTACCTAGTCACTGACCGGGTGCGGACACTTTCCTCTATTCATTTACTATTCTAGGTATGTCAGAAAATGGCTCGCTTGTTACTAGCCAGTAAATATGAGTGCTTAGATATCAGAAAGAGCGGTTTCAAATTGCCTAGTCTCTATTTCGCCGGAATAAAGTCGAATAAGCTGCACCAGGAGAAATTGCTAACTGCCCGCAAATAAGTGGTTTCGTAAGCCTGTTGATCTTCTTCGCAATGTCTGCGATGGTTCACTATCAACTTCTCTGCGTTGGTGCGTTTTTTCATTTTCGCTATCCGTTTGGAGTAACGGCCTCTCTCCATCGACAAACATTCCAACGCAGCTTAGTATTGCTCTTCCAGTGTCGGTTCCCCCTTCTTTGGTAGGATACCTTTCTTGTCGGCTTCTTCATACCCTTTAACATCATAAGTTTTTTTGAACACATTTCGTCTTAAATGGCTTGTTATACCCTGCGATTGTTGTAGCCAGGAGTTCCTTTAGTCGCGACGAACTTGCCGTTCGTATGACGCTTTGCATCGTAGGTAGGGAGGAATCTTTGCCCGATGGCACCTTGCCTTGTCATTTTACTGGGTAATGCAAGTTATCGTACGCAGCTTGCCACTTTCGAACTAGATCGCTGATGACATGATGCGGTAGCAACAACTGGCCTGATGAAGAACCACCACGATCTTTTGGGCGTTAATAGGCCCATCCACGCAATTGCGAGTCAACAGCGTCCCCTACATATCTCCTAGTAGTAGATAGGCGACTATGTTTTGTTCAATAACGCGTCTCTTCCTTAAATGGAACGGTGTCAGCGGATCCTTCCCGACTTTGGCTGCAGACATGCGAGCGGGATGGAGGTTGGATTAAGGGGCGGCTCAAAATGAGGCTCCGGTTAGGCTGCAACGACCTCTAGATAGGGAAAGGTAGCCCTAAGAAACGTTCCTTAGAAAACGAACGCCAGATCAGGCACAGGGCAAAGTGTTAGGACTCCGACATGTGTGGGATCGGGAGTCCGACTGGTGATTATTATGGATGTGAGGCAAACTAGGAAGATGGAGGCGAAGGATCGGAGAACGAGGCTATATAGCAGACGAAGGGTCTGGTGAAGTGCCTATCTACGTGGAGATTCCCAAGAATACCCATCCGCAGTGCACAGAAGGCATAAAATGAGGTATGAAGGTAAAGAACGAGGCTCTAGTTGGTGTAGGTCTTACTGAATGATAGACTGCAAATTCACACAAAAATCCAAGTGCAGATGCAGTCTATACGTGGACTTGGCTGCTCAGAGTCAAATCGACCAGGACTAGGTCTTCCGTTCGTTCATCCTGAGTATTATCTGTCTGTGCGATAGTAATGAGCTTAAGTGTCGAATGGTAGATGGCGCTCATGGGAGCCACTAGCTGCTCGAGGCAAACAGGACATCCAATAGAGTAAGAGAACAGAAGCTCGTACTAGTCCAAGAGGGTAGGGGGGTGATGAATAACCAAGACGCATATGTCGCTCCAGATCCAGAAAGGCGAGGATGCAAAAATGAGAAATAGAAGGTATAGGAAGAGGCCACAAAGGCACAGTGTCGGGTAGTAATATGCCTTCCTGCGGTAGAACCTCAACTATCGCAGGAAATTTATAATGTGAGAAATCGCATGGCTGCTTGGCGGTGTGCTTCCTGGAGGGGTATCTGTGAGGTGTGTGCTTAACAGAGCATTAGCTGAAAGTCCTTTGAAAACTACATATTCAGTAGTAACTTAAGTGCTACAGTGATACTAGTTAGTAGAAAGATGCAGTAGAGATCGCTTAAGGGTAGGATGCTTCGCAATGCCTTGAATCAAAGAAGTAATGACGATGGGACTTCTCTAGACTGACACGAGTAGGGTAGATCACTGTGCAACGCTTGGTTATGTCAAAGAATGGTCAGGCAGTGGGTCTGTGTGGTGTGGTGAGGTGAGGCTCTGCTGATGAAGTCTGAATTCTGCCATTCTTCACCGCCATCATCAGCCTCACCTGAACCTCAACACCAAGTCTTGGCAAACCCGCATCGACATATGGATCGCAACGAAGTCTTATATCCAGCGCAATATCAAAGCAATTCGAAAAAGAAACATATCAAATGGTTCTACGAGCATTGCTGCGTCTTCCTATAAAGTTATTTTACTCGGGGGGCACCAATTTTTGGTCATTAAGCGAATTTTGATTTCATACGACCGTAACCTCTATAAAAATCGTCCAAACGAGCTACAACCTCAAATTTAGATATCCTCGTCGTCAGAAACGTCCTCTCCCCGCTTCTTGCGTGCAATTCGTTCTTTTCTCTTCTTTCTAAGCTCAGCAGAAGTGAGCTTCTTCTTCTTCTCGACGACCGTCTTGTTGCCCATAGCATCGACGACCTCCTCGGGACCATCCTTGGCCTCAAGACGGGGACCGGAACCTTGTCCCTGAACCCAGTTGTGGCCGGAAGGAGTCATCTTACCGTCGACGACGGCCCAGACTTCCTCGGTGAGGTTCTCAGTGAACTCACGGGAGTGAGTGATGATGATGACACCACCCTCGAAGCTCTTCAGAGCCTTGGACAGAGCACCCAGGGAGTCACGGTCCAGGTAGTTAGTAGGCTCATCCAGGACGATGACGTGGGGACGCTGCCAAGAGCAGGCGGCAAGGACGACCTTGACACGCTGACCACCGGACAGACCGCGCATGCGGGAGTGGGAAACCAGCTCAGCATCGAGACCGAACTGCTCGCAGTGGGCCTCAATCTCCTTACGGACGAGAGGACGGAACTGACCGCTGGCAAGGGCCTCCTTCTGGTCAACCTCGGCAACCATCTTGGCGTGGGACTGCATGATCTCGTTACGGGGAATCCAGGCGTTGTCGGTGGTCATCATGGGAGTCCAGCGCTCGCTCTTCATGCCGATGTTCTCACCCAGCGAGAACGAGCACTCGTACTCGTAGCTGTTCTTGAACTTACGACGAGCGTGGATACCAATGACACGACGGAACTGGCCCTCGATCTTGTAGATCTTGTCCATGGCCTTCTCATCCTCGTCGGTGACGATCTTGTTGGCACGGTCCATGGTCTCACGGTCCTCACCGGTCTGGAAACGCCACTGGATGTACTCGGAGGGAGTGGAGTCGAGGTGGTTATCGATGTGAGCGAAAGCGTGCTGCTTGATGTAGGCGATACGGATGTTCTCGTGCTGGTAGACATCACCAGTGGTGGGGATCAACTCACCGGTCAGGACGTTGACCAGGGTGGATTTACCAGCACCGTTGGGACCGATGACGGCAATACGAGAGCCCAGGGAGACCTGGAAGGAGATGTCGGTGAGCTGGGGCTTGGGGGTACCGGGGTACTGGAAGGACATGTTGTTGACACGGATGATGGCCTTGGCCTTGGTCTTGACACCCTCAAGGAAACCGGGCTCGGGGAACTTGAACTCGAGCTCGGAGGCACCCAGCTCGTAGTAGGAGCGAGCAGAGGGGACACGCTTGACGAACTCGCTCAGGTTACCACGGTAACGCTTGAGCTTGAAGCGCTCGTAGTGGACGACGTGCTGGATGACGTTGTCCAAGAACTTGCTGTCGTGGGAGACGATGATGGAAGTGCAGGGGGAGGTGCACAGGTAGTTCTCCAACCAGGCGACGTTCTTGACGTCCAAGTGGTTGGTAGGCTCATCGAGCAGCAGGATATCGGGGGACTCGAAGACGGCACGGGCCAGAGCCAGCTTCATCTTCCAACCACCGGAGAGGGAGGTGATGGGACCCTCGAACTGCTCACGCAGGAAACCGAACTCCTCGAGCTTGGCCTCAACGTCCGCCTGGCTGGTCTCGACACCGACCTCGCGGAGCTTCTTGATGGTCCAGCCAATGACGGTCTGCTCAGTGTCGGCAGCATCCAAGTCGTGCTCGACGTAGACGGTCTTGACCTCATCCTTCTTGGGGAAACCCTCAAGCTGCTCGTTGTTGATGGCACGCATGAGGGTGGTCTTACCGGTACCGTTGGGGCCGAGCAGACCGTAACGCTGACCACGCTTGAGGCGGAGGCTGGTCTGGTTCAGCAGAATCTTGGCACCGTAGGCCAGGGAGAAAGTGCAGTTGCACAGATCCTCACCCTCCTCCTCGTCGGAGAGAACCTCATCCTCAGCAGCGGCACCGGGGGAGGCACGCTTGCGGAGGGTCTCGACGATGGGCTTGGCCTCCTCATCACCAACGATGGCGGCGATGTAGGGGAGGGCGTTCTGGGTCCAGCTGGTGACCTCGGGGTCCTTCTCGTCAACGAGCTGACCAGCGATGGCAGCAACGTAGGTGATGACGGACTCGGCCTTCTCAACCTGGGCAGAGAACTTGGGGGAGAGGATCTCCTTGAGGATAGCGGAGACGGTGGAGATGTCACCAGCGGTGGAGATCTCGGGGATCTTGCCGTTCTTGACATCACCGACACGGCACAGGGTGTCCAGACCCTGCTTGGTCTTACCACGAGCCTCAGGGTCGGCCAGGGTCTCGTAGTTCTTCTCGAGACGGGGCATCAACTTGGGCAAGAAGGGAGCGACAATCTGGGGGTCCTCCACAAGCTTACACATGTTGTCAACGATGACAGCGGACTTACGCTTGATGGCAGTCTCACGCTCAACCAGACCACGGTCCAGCAGGGGAACCATGATGGCGAGGGTGGGTCCGGTGACATCGGAGACGAAAGTGGTAGCACCGAGCAAGTGAACGGTCTCGGGGACGTTCTCGGGCTTGGCGATACACTTGATGAGCTCGGGAATGAAACGCTCGATATCCTTGTTGACGATCAGTCCGCAGACCTTCTCCATGGTGGCGTAGGCAGCCTTCTTGATGTCGGCCTTGGTGTCCCACATGGCCTCAGAGACAACGGGGATGAGCTCGGGGACACGGAAAGAGAGCTGAGCAGGGGCAGTCTCAACGAGAGCGTTGATGCACTCGAGAGCAGCCAGCTTCTCCTGCCACTTCTGGGCGTTGGCGAGGGACTCGAGGATGGGGGGAAGGACAGCCTTGACGGCGTTGCCGTTGACACCCTTCACGATGGCGAGGGCAGCACCCTGGGCGGCGTTCTTGACGGGAACCATCTTGTCACCGACGGCGGCAAGAACGGGGCCAAGGAGGGTGACGAGGTGAGGCTCGACACCAGGAGCGATGGTGGCGTGGGAGGCAATAGCACGGATACCCTCGCAGGCACGCTCACGGACAACAGCATCCTTCTTGTTGCTGAGCTGCTTCTGGAAGGTCTCGACAGCCCTGAAAAAATTTTCATGTTAGCCATCCGCCACCGGTCACCTCGACGGCATAGCGGGGTATCTTGTAGGTTATACGTACTTGAGGGGGAGAGCCTGCTCGGGGATAGGGCCGCTGAACAGGTGGGCCAGGTTGTCGGCAGCAGCGTTCACCTCATCCTGGGAGGAAGAGATGTTGAGGTTCTTGATGAGGTCCTCAAGGACAGCGACAGACTGAGCAGTCTCCTTGCCGGAGACAGCAGGAACGGACGAAACATCAACAGCAGGCATTTTGTTCGTGAAAGACGATATCGTAACGTCGGAGAGAAGAAAAAGGAAGAAGGAAAAGGAGGAGAAAAGAAGCGAGAACGGGTGGAAAGCGTTCTATTAGGGTATCTCGATAAGAGGTGGCGGGCCCACGAAACCGCGTCTGGAAAAATTCACAGGACGCAGCAAACGCTCTAACACGGCCGCACAGGCGAAATCTATTTTTTTTGTCTGAAAGACGACAAAAAAACAAAACAAAATTTTTGAAGTTAGAGGAGCAAACCTCTTAGAAGAGAGAGATGAAGGATGGAGAGAAAGAGGGAGGGAGGAGGGGGGGGGAAGCGAAGGTGGGTGGAGGAAAGTGATATTTATCGCTTTGTGGCCTGCGTTTCGCCGCCCAACTTTTTTTCAGTCCCGCCGCCAGTCCCAGAAAATCTCTTTTAATGAAAAATTTTTCGCTGTTCCTTAGAAATTGTCCCGCACTAACTTCGTTTCCGGTGTAGCGGCGATGGGCTGTCGAAGCAACCAACCGTGGCTCGTGAATGACCCAATCTGCATCCGCTGATTGGCTGGATTCCCGTCTTTCGCTGAGTCAGCCGAGTTGAACCCTCAGCCAAGGTTGCCCTGGCTGCTGCTCAACCATCAGGTTGGCTCCATCCTCACGGCCTGCCTGCTGCCATCATGGATCATTGAAGGTTATTTCTGGCGGTCGCCTCCCTGCCGCTCGTCCCGACTCTTTTCCGTGCGGGAATCAGCGGAGATGGAGCAGTGGGAGCGGACATCTTGGAGGATCATGGATAGTTCTTCCCCGACCGATATTACCCCGTCTAAAGGGAATATGATTATTTTTGCATACTTTCTAGTTTGTATCATATGGGATGGGCTGCCAGCCAATCCCCTTTCAGATCATCAAGCCATTTGCAAGCATCAACAAGTGCCCCTTTCTTTGGCAGGGCTGAGAGGGCCTTGAACAAGCCGGTTTCTGTACAACCCTTTCCGCCCCTTATCGGTGCTTCCTAGGATACTTGGAACGTCGCAGAATCCTCCCTACCACAAAAAGTATCTAAAAAACCACCTTTCATTATAACCGTGGTGGCGCTGCATGCTGGCGCATCCCTTGAAAATGTCCTTGACACGCCATGACTCCGGGGATGCAACCATCCTGATAGATAGCGAGATAATAATCCACTGCGGCCGGCTAGTCTCCGCCCCTCCGTGTAATCATGGCTTGGTTGGCCCTGCAGATACTGCTGCTTTTCATGCCGGTCGCCACCTCTGATCATTCCGGGGGTGAAGTGGCGCAGCCCCCCTTCGAGACAGAAAGGCTTCAGAAAAGGAATAATAGAAGGGGAAAAAATTGAAATAAAAATAATCAAGAATTTTTACTTCGTTAGAGTTACCAAGAGCCATGGCCCAGAGCCAGATCGTTCTCCGTTTTCGCCCGTCAGCCTAGACTGGCTCAAGGTATGAATAACTAATGGTTATTGATGACTGGCTAGTCTTAAGAGTGAGTACTGAATTGTCCTCACAGCATTGCTACGCTGGCATCCACATGTGAAGATGTTTACTCCGCCATAAGCGAAGCAAGCCTGACAATATTTTCCCCAGACTTGGGATGGACAACGGTAAGATGCAGGCAGACCTGGGGAAATCCTGCCCGAAGCATAACCATGTTGTCAGGGAAGGGAGCATTATACTTTTGCGCCCGGAGATTGCTCCCCAGAGAGTCACGGAGGCCTTATTATTGCCAAACACAAAGGGATGCGAGACTAAACATTCTCAGGCATAATTCCGGGGTTCAAGCGTCGCAACTCACGCCTGAAACAATGGTTTATTGCAGGAGACGACGCATCACCGCCATTTGTCTGACTCAGGCTTTTCTCACCGCATTCAAAAATAAATAGCTATATTTACTTTTTTTTTTTTTTTTTTTTTTTTTTTTTTTTTTTTTGCTGATTAGCGTGTTGAAACCTTCACAGCCCACCTTCAGTGACATCCAGACCTGCCGCCTCAGCCAACAGGGGAACCGTGCCTTATGATGTGCACCATCAGAATATGGGGGCCCCTCTCTTATCGCTCTTATCGACTATTGAAATTTGAGTTCAATTTTCTCCGGATCCCCTTCCTTTCCTTATCCCCCGCGAAAATACCCAAATCTGCAGTGGCAACTGGCAACCACATTATTGCCACAATAATGGTGGAAGTAGGAACCTTCTTTGCACCTGTGAGCGCTATTCGCCCATGATGGTGGGTCGACACGTTGTTCTTCTACCGACACCTCGCAGTTTCTACGGTGCACATCCAATACTCTTCTCAACTCTCGCGAGATGGCAAAACTTCTAAAATTTTTTTTGGCAGATACAAGTCTTCCTCTACGTTCACTAAATATCTTGGTTATCTCATGATGAGTCATTCTTAACCAGACTTCCATCGACACATTATCCATTTTGGTGTTACTTCGGGTGTGAACCTTCAGCTCCCTTGGTAGGGCAGATTTACTTACTATATTCTGGACATCAAACGACACATCAGCTATTGGCTATCAAACAATCGCATCGCGTCGCTCTTACCAAATGGCTTTTACTTCATACTACTCAGTTCTGATCCGCGACATCGTGCAGTAATGAATAAAGTAATAGTTAGCTCTGGACTCAGGTCCTTCCGACTCATCTACATCCAACCATGGAAGAGTCAAGAGGCTGAGTACTTGAAGTAGCCAGCGCCACAAAGATAATCATGTTCTAGATCGCATTCATCTACTTCAATTCTAAGCTCATCTTAACATCAAAGCCGTGTTCTCCGTTCTTCATCATATTTACTTGCTTGGGACGTAGCACTGGTGCTTCGCGCTTCAGAACAGCGTCAGGAATATTGACGATGCGCAAGCACTATACTTACATACCTCTGGCCTTTGCCCGACTCATACCGTCTGATGCTGTCATAGCTTGGACACATCTACGTGATTCTCGATTAGGGCATGGCGAGGACACATGACGACGGTTATTGATATAGCGTGATCTATATACGGTAGATCCCGAGACCGACTGACGAGACTCGTGCATCGTAGGTGGTTGTTGTACTCCGGGAAGATAATTGTATGGTCTCAGTGGCACTTTAACAAGGGACAATGTCTTACATGCAAAATGATACCAAGAGATTCAGAAAATAGCTATCTGGATGCTATGGGTTGTTCGTTTCGTGTACTTGTATCAGGGGAATTGATGAGGATAGATTAGATCTGCAATAAGTTACAAGATTTGAAGGATTCTGATACGAACAGCATCATTGGTCTAGTGGTAGAATTCATCGTTGCCATCGATGAGGCCCGTGTTCGATTCACGGATGATGCACTCGAATTTCCTTTTTGGCTTTTTTGTTTTGGCTCCCGTCCACCCAAACATATCCCTGGACCTATATCCGACAATGGTATAGCCTCTTTCTTCGTTATTATAGTCCCTGCTTGAAGTTGCAGAGCTACGGGACACTACTACATACCAACCCTTCTAACACTAGTACTCAAATAACCCCTCTATGATGCCAAACAAGATATCTTCCCATTACGCACTGACTCGTCGACTGACAATCTGATTTACGAATACAGGAACATGTTCCCTACCAGTAATAACGAATAACCAAGGGAGTATTCAACACAAACAGAACATAAAGGAAAAGCATAAAGACACGGCCCGCACTCAACTAATCACTATCGCTAGAGGAACTTGAACTCGAGCTTGAGCTGGAACTGGAGCTCGAACTTGACGCTGACCGACGACCAGAACCCTTGCCATGGTGCTTCTTCTTATGCTTCTTACGTCTGGTAAAAGCACATATTAGCGCATGTATACAGCCATCATCACTGGTAGACTCACAGTTTACTTGCGATACTCATGCCTGCAGCTCCTGCCAATGCACCTCCTGCGACACCGAGCATCCCACCTCCCAGTTTGTGACCTAAAGCGCCTCCACCTACCGCGCCTGCTGCATTCGAGACAAAACCCTTTTCACCCTCGGATGGGTTTGTCGGAGGAACAGGCTCTGACTGCGTTTGATAGTAGGACGCATTCTGGCCTTGCTGATGCGAAGGCTGTGGTGGATAAGGCGAGTTCTGCTCATGCCAATATTCTCCACCTGGTTGCCTTGCGTCGCAGGGAGGTGCATAGCTTGGCTGATTTTGTGCAGGATAGCTGCCGGGGAATGGGTTCGCATACTGATTGTTGGTAGGCTAAAGGAATAATCAGCTCGTTAACTTCATGGATGCATTCTCGACACATAAAGCATGCGAATACGGAAAGGGAAATATTGAGCAGAGATGGACATACAGGAGTCGGGTTGTGTGCATACTGCGAAGGCTGTTCTTGCTGGTATTGTGGTGAGGAATAACCGCCAGGGGGATCTCCGTATCTGTATCCAGCAGCTTGCTGACCATGACCATAGTAGTCATACTGGGGATGATCGTTCTGGTTATTGTAGTAATATTGGTGGTATGGATCCGACATGATGGATAGTAGACAATGTGAATATCGATGTTGTCACCCAAAGGACTTAGAAGAGATGCAGCACGTAGTACAATATGATCTATGGAGGCACATAAAATGACGATGGTAGGAGGGAGGAGGGAGGGACTGGGTAGTCGTGTGGTTGCCTCTTTGTCCTATTTACAGTTGCACTTGCCGGTCTTACTAAGAATTGCTTCGTGGCACCATTCAAGTATCCCGCATAATGCTCGATGTCCGTGCTTCTCGACTTCGTCATTTCCTTTGCACGAAAAATATGCTTTAGTCTGCTGGCACAAGAACAACCGCCCTCTGATATCGAAAGCTCAACCCGTTGCAGCAGTTAAGATAAGAATAAAAAAAAAAAAATCTTAAAAAAAACAATAATAAGAAAAAAAAAAAAAAAAAAAAAAAAAAAAAAACAAAAAAAAAAAAAAAAAAAAAAAAAAAAAAAAAAAAAAAAAAAAAAAAAAAAAAAAAAAAAAAAAAAAAAAAAAAAAAAAAAAAAAGAACAAAGACAATGATTGGCTTAGACCAATCCTTCAAGCTCTTCAACAGCCTTTTTAATACTGATATCAACATCAGTAACAAGTTTTTTCACCGGCGCTACATCCACCGCCATCTTCTCGTCGTGTATTTTAATCATATCTACGAGAACTTTTCGTTGCATGGCCCATTTCTCCTCCTTCTCCTGGAGCACTTGCTTATGCTGCCTCTCCAGGGACTTCAAGTTGGCCAACTCCTCCCTCAGCTCCTTCTTACGAAGGCGCTGTGCGGGCGTGAGGTCCCTCGAGGGGGGGAGGACCCCCTCGGGGACGCTCACGCCCGCGTCCTCCAGGGCGTCGGCAATCTATGAACTCAATTAGTATCAGTATATATCAATAACAGAACAGTAATTTATCAAATAAATCATAATCAGACATAATCTATATCTTAAGCATGAAATATCAAGACAGAGAATTCTGTATAAGTCTTTCGAAAGCTCCACATGTGATATAGACACGTGTAGCTATTGCAGGACCCAGTACAGTACTACACAGATGCTCCAAATCTCATATTATAGAGAACTTACTCGAGACCGCTCCAGCTGGACCCGAGTGGGCCCACGAGCTTCGGTGGGGGAGGCGGGGACGGCGGGGACGGCGGGGCCAGCAGGGCCAGCGGAGCGACGGTGGTAGGGGGTGGCGGGGGCAGCAGGCTGGTGGTGGGCGGCGGAGGTCTTTGGCAATATATTAGGAATGTGTCTCTCTTTATGTTATCATTGACTTGCCCTGGTCCATCTGAAGCCTCTCCAGTAGCCCCTACGGGCGGCACGGCGGTGGGCATTCTATTGAATCAGATATTAGCCTATGTCTTCAGAATCATCAATTCACAGTGAGTGAAGTCTCTCCTCAAATGAGTTGGAAACTGTAAGAGATTCATCCACAGATGGCCATGTCAGGACAGAGCATCACCAGATACATTTGCATCACCAGAGCTGCTTAGACCCATGGTAATGCGCATGTAGTGTCAACCTGAGATGGACAGCACACACTAGACCATCCATAGTCGAGGGACTGATGCTCCTGTTGATGAAGCAAAGGAACAGAGTAAGGCGAAAGAAAGAGAAAGAGAACATGATGAGACCCCGATCGATGAAGCGAAGAAACAACCTGAAACCAAGAGGAAGAGAAAGGGAGCAGGAGATTAAACTCACATGGTGGTGGGCTGTTTAAGAGCAGATCAGAATATCAGCACTCCTCTAGCTCTAACACCAGAGTCCATCATGAGATGACTTACGAGCCATTGGTATGGGACGGGGGGGACCTTGTTTCTTGGGTTAGGGAGGCGCAGGACTGTGGTTGGGGGGAGGGGGAGAGTAGTTGTTGATGGCGAAGATGAGAAGAGAGCAGAAGAGAGGAAAAGAGAAGAAGGAGATATATAGAAGATTGTGGGCCCTATACCCTGATATCCCAAAAGGGTCTGGTCACGCCTCACGCGTAGGGAGTATACGCGGGGTCGTCACTATGAATTGCTTTACATTGATTCAGGCATCGACCATTGATATAATACTTGATACAAGCCACATACAAAGACTGGTCAATCAGACAATTGACACGAGGATAGTGATAATACGTTCTCGAAAACAAAGTGACTTCAGAGAGTTACAAACAAAAGGGTGATGGATGAGGCCAATGACTCCGTTGCATGGAAGCGTCTCCAGGTCAAAGACTCGGAAGACGAATTGGACGAGAGTCCTGGTCATAGCAAGCTGACAGATATCCAAAAGAATGATTCATCATTAGACGACGACGACGACGACGACGACGAGGAGGAGGAGGAGGAGGAGGAGGAGGAGGAGGAGGAGCTCGATCCCTAGAAGCGTGTGCGCTTGAAGTCGATGACAGTGATGTCTCCGAGGACGACGAGTACCTTCCTGGCGCTGATGATATTGAGGGCGAGGTCAAGCTCGAAGAGGTGATATTGTCTTGGTCAATTGATCAATCACTTGCTGCTAATGTTAATTGTGTCTCTCTGCAGATATTGCAAAAGTCCTTGACGAACTTCGAGGGTGGGCCATGGGATACAACGCTCGCGATAATGTTGGCATAGATTGGCTGGTGACTATGGTTTACTGAACCCTCCCTACTCTAATGACTGTGGACTCTTTCCTTCAGTTACTCATGCAAGGCATACGAGAGATAGGATGTCTATGGCTATTTTGCTACTGGTGAGTTAGATCACCTGCGCGATGCCAGCCATGAAGCCTACATAGACTCATCTGGTTGCCTGAATAACCGAGTTGAGGAGCACCTAGACATGGCTACGCGACTCTGGTAAGGGACTGTCAAAGGCAAACTCCCGAAGATTCCACTACCGGCAAATTTGACGAGATGGAGCTGAGACGCATTCCCGAAAGCTTGCGGCTTTTGATATGCCTATCGACCTAGGTTATCTTCTAATGCTCGAAGGTATTATTATATTTTTCTTCCATACGTACAAGTATTCAGTGTACTGTGTAATTATATTAACATGCGCAGTCTTGAGATGACAGAAACCATTAGAATCTCTTAAACATCCTTCAATCCCATGGAAAGGCATACATGCGGACCGGAACGGGAGGTTCTTCAACCGGATACAATAATTGGGAAGGGTGGCTTATTGATGTGGAAGGCGATGCCTGAACATAAGAACGCTTTGATGCAATTTATGGGGTCAACAATTATACAGATCGCGATGTGGCACTAGTCGAGTGGTTGAGACAGTACGTGCAACAAGGCGTGAGGAGGCCCCAACGGGACCACGCTGATACATTATCCTACTCCACGACCGTACTGAAAAGTACTGAGAGAGCTAAAGATAGATCCTAGACCATGAGGGGATTCAGGAAGCTTAGGCTACGGAATATCTGATCGGTTGAGGAACTACAGGGATGGCCTCATGGAGCAGGGGCATTCCGCGATCAACGGTCGTCAGCAACCTGGAGTTCCCCTAGTGTATGATACAATAATCTTATCAATATCGTAAATCAAGGGAGCGGTGGCAGAACGAAGCTAATATGATGTAGCATCTCTAGTTATTCAAGCACAATGAAGTACTTCTTGCGATGATACAAAGTGGAAAGCATGACCTGAATGTCAGGAAGCATCATATCAGTGAGAATCTTAAGACGTTGAATGGAAAGAAGAGCATCACCTAGATTAATGTAGTATTCCTTTTGCAGTTCTAACCCACCCGCCTGTATGGCGTTCCACCTTCAAGACTGCCTGAAGATCACGGACACTTGGAGTGAAGCTGGACCGTAGATCGGGATAGAAGGTAATAAGCCAGCACGAATACTCTAGTAGACGTCGATGCAGGTCTTAATACGCAATCTTATATGCGCGAAAATCCAATCAAGCGTGTTGGCTGTTAATCGTGACCTGATCCAGCAAATTCTCTGTGAACTAGGTCTTGTGCGGATGTGTGTAGGATAGTACTAATAGCTCACTGTGAGAAGTGGGCACTTATTGGCCGATAATTCGGATACGAATGCTTTATCTAACACTTGGAACTCAGGTTAGCGCGCTGACGCCCGGGACTCTAGTGCAACGATTCAAAATGTGGAAAGACTGACCGAGAAAGAATGGAAGCAATTGCATCTCAAACATCTTTACCATGATTATGCGGTTTCAGTAACCATTCTTCTCCTGGTTTTTGTACTCTGGCCTCGCTACTGTTCCGTTGTAAAGACTCTGGCTGGCTGGGTGCTTGATGTGGATGCTAGTGGGCCGAAAACTGATTCGGAAGCTGTTTATTACGTGGAGGTGCTTCATGCCGGCTGAGGTATATAGTTCATTTGGTTGCTTGTAGGCGACAAAAAGGTGTTCTTGACATGATCCTATTCTGCATCATTGTATCGGAGTAGGCTGGCAGGGGGACAGTGATTGCATGTGGAGGGAGTTAGGGGATGTTGGTCAGTTTCTGATTCTGGTAGCTGGAATCGCTCGTAGTAACATAAGAGATTCGGATGATGAAGTAGTACTATAATAGAACAAGAAGTCAGCAATTGGGTCCATGATAGATATGGTTCTTCGGATAGTCAACAAATTCCGGTTAAAGTGCGCGCATCTGAATGGAAGACTCCAATTTATCAACTCTGGATATATCAGGCAATTGTCCTTCGAAGGATAAACCAGGAGTTAATGAAGATAGCGAGAGTTCAGACAAAGAGGATGTGTGTAGGAGAAGATGTCTGAGAGAACAAGGAACTCGAAGACAGTGTCCATGGAAGACTGGCCAACTAAAATCCGAGACATAGTGCCATGTCACGACCGCCACCAATACTATGGAGAGCCTATTGGGCTACAGATGTATTGCGTAGAAAGGAATACTTTTTCTGGTGCAGACTTCGTCCCTCAATGATGATCCTGTAAAGGAGCCCCCGGTATGTTGCCTAATTGATGTACACCGGTACTAGATCATTTTCCTACAGCGAGTCCATACCGGCGAAGGATATTTGAAAGTGAATGCCACAAAAGGCAGGGTGTCAGGTGATTTGTTTACAGTATGAGGGCCGCGCCTTCTTGTCTTTAGATTTTTCGTCTCAGCTACCATCTCCATCATCGCCATCTCCACCACGACCATGCCTGGTAAGTACCACCTCAGAAGATCCCACATCATTCCATAATCTATCAAAACATACTTACTGTTTCCCTCTAACCAGCGAAGTGAGTAACCTCCCAAATTCTCATAACTCCCAGTCTTCTCGCTTACACCCGTCAACAACGATATTCAGTCGGATATACAGCACCTCTCACTATCAACACAATATAACATTCATCACCTCAGTATAATATACTTGACCCTGATACCAACTGAGGTTCATTAAAGGAGCAGCAACAACCGACCGGGCCGTGGTCAGCCGCAATAGTTAGTACGTGATATTATGTCTTTCATGATGATAGTGGCTAATGATAACTCACGTGGAGCCTGGAGGAGGCCTCTAGCTTCTCTCTTCTCTAGCTTCTCCCTTCTCTCCCTCCAGTATCTCTCCTTCTCCTCGAGCTCGAGAGAGTGACGTATCAGATCATCTTCCGCGCAAAAGAAACTGCTCCATCAGCTTACGCCGCTTCTTCTCCTTGGCGGCGAAGGGAGACGCTGGAGAAGACACTGGAGGCTACTGAGGCGCACCTCCGCCACATCCGGGAGCAGATTGAGGAGTTTTGGGGGGATTAAGGAGAAGAGGCGGCGGGGTGCTGCGGAACGACCCATCAACTCCTTTACATGGCAGGCTCACCGTACTTTTACTTTCCGCTCATTTCCTCCATCACCCTGAAACCTACCCAGCGGGATACCGGCTTGCACAAAAGCAACCACCAAGTCAGTCAAGAAACAATCTTTCTTACGAAAAAGACAGCCTCATAAGAAGTCATTCGATGAGAAACTTCACACATTGTCCTTTGATGATTCTGAAGACATAGGCTAATATCTGAGTCAATAGCATACCAACCGCCGCGCCCCTCGAGGGGGCTATTGGAGAACATGGAGAGAGTCACGGGCAAGTCAATGATACTATAAGCAGACATACATTCCTAACCATATGCCAAAGACCCCCGCCACCCACCATGAGCCTGCTTCTGGGCCTCCTGCTCCTGCTCCTGCGCCTCCTGCTCGTCCCGCTCACCACCGCACTCCCGCGGGAGCTCACGCCCGCGCAACGCCTTCGGAAGAAAGAGCTACGCGAGGAACTGGCCATGCGGCAAGAGGCTGAAAAGTTGAAGAGAAAAATCCTCCACGAAAAGGAGGATTTGTGGGCCGCCAGAGAGGAGTGGCACAGGGAGCAGATTAAGGCTCCGGAAGAAGCCAAGGAGGAAGACGTGGTGGCAGCTAGAAAAGACCGCGATGAAGAAAGTGCCGCTGTCCAGAAAGTTGTGAAAGAGTTGAAATCGTTGGTTTAACCAACGATCGATTCAATTCAATACAATCCAATTCAATTCATATTCTTATACCTGATCGAGCCATCTGGTTATACAGCCCTGCAAAGCATGAGTATGCTAGAAGCATGTGCTTCGGGGTCTGTGATCTCTCCCCGCAGCTGTATCAGTTACTCTCCTGCGCCTTGATTCTATATAGAAAGTGCGCTAGACCGATCCTGTGCGTGCGTATTTGTATGATTATGAATGTGTACGCCTTGGGAAGACTTCCGTAGAGTCCTACTGTTTCTTTACTGGGAGCCTGGACCAGGCGCCTGGTAGGTGCAGCCGTACGGCCAGTCTTCCACTGTTTAGCCCACCTCTCCTGGAACTTGCTGCGAACGGGTCCTCTTGGCAGCGGATGCGAGCCGGATTATCTGTTGTAACCAACGATCGCCCCGGCCTGTTTTCTTTTCTTTTTCTTTTTCATTTTTTATTACTGCTTTTCCTAATATATTTTTATTTCAAAGAAAGACTAATCTGTCTGGAAGTTCTGAGACCGTTTCCTAAAAATAATGTAGATGCCCTCGACGTAGCTAGAAAAATGTTCCTTCATATTCTTATCGAGTAATGTGCCGTCATCGTCCAATGGCAGTTGCAAGTCAAATGCCATTATTATACGGGCAACAGTTGTTCTCATGTTAATGAGTGCTAGTGGCTTGCCGATGCAGGCGTAGGGGCCTTGATATAAGTCAGTACTGTGGAATGACGCGCAGTTTGGTAGCAGAGCAGAGTGTCGTTAGTCAGGTTGGCGGAATGTTTTGCATAATTAGTGATAAAAGCTTACTCACCGACTGAAAAAGGAGCATACGCAGATTTATGCTTCATCGCCTCAGGGTATTTGTACCACCGCTCAGGGAGGAGTTGATGTGAATTTTCGTAGAAGAGATCGGCTACAAAGGTGAGCGTTTGCTTCAAGTTGTTGTACTGAAGGCATATGCAGTACACCTACATCTTCCGATTACCCATTGCGGGCAGGAGACCGTCATGTTTCCTGGTATGTAGGTGTCCCCGATAGTGATACCTTCCGGTGGTGTCTTTCTGGGGATAATGCTTCCAATTGGTGGATGTAGGCGGAGCACCTCGTTGATGAATCCATTTAGATGTCTTAGACCTGCTATTTTCTCGTGCATATACTCTCCACTAGGCTCGACAGCACATAGGCTAAGCTCTTCGCGGATTATGTCCACATGTACTGGGTGTTTGGCCAGCTCGTAAATAACGGTGATTAGGGCTGCCGCGGTAGTGTCACTGTCATTTCACATGTGAGCCTATCTTGTTATGAGAATAAGTTCGAAGCGTTGCATACCTTCCTGCTGCAATTATCAATTCAACATCTCCAAGCAACTGATAGTATTCTTTCGTTGTAGGGTCTCGTCCTTGCAACTCCTCGAGCAGTGATGAGCTGATGTCGGGCATCTCGGGCTTTTCCTGAGACTCTGTAAGCAATTCGATCGAATATGAAGCATCAGAAATAGTCAAGACTGTACCTCCATTCTCGTCTTCAGACGCCGATGACTAAATTCCTCATATCTCAACGCATCCTCATTCATCCCCGGTAGGGAGCCCAGCAGTCGAAGGGCCCATATAGGCACTGAATATTCCAACGGCTTCAGCATGTCGTTCAAGATCTGTATTGCCCAGTGGTTGGCACTAGCATCTAGCATGCCAAAAGTTCTACCAAAAGCCAAGTCGCCCATCACATCGTAACTGTACCATGTGAGATAATTGCTGATGTTGATGGGTTGATCATCACCGGCTGACGTTAAAAGATCGATCAGTTTTTGTCGGTAGACTTGAATGCGTTTCTCGTATACTCGAAGTGATTTATCGCTGAACCCTAGACTCCATACTCTCCGTCGTTGGTCATGAGCTTCCTTGTCCCGATGTGCATGTAATGATTGCACTGGTGCACCGAGATCATAGAAGGGCGCTTTAGTGCACACGGATTTAAATCCATAGATGATATTGACGGCGTCCGGGTGGGTTATGGATAGATCTGAGGGCCCTATGCGTACAAACGGTCCGTAATTCTTATGCAGATCTTCGAGAACCTGGTAGAGGGGACGGTGAAGAAGCTTTGCTGGTAGCCAGAATCCAAACAGGCGTGCACCAAGGGGGCCGGGAAATCGTCTGAGCGGATGAAGCAACGCTCTGTAGATGATGAGACTGCAGTATAGGCCCAGCAGATGTGTTGAGATTAGGCTCAGGGATACGGTGCTTGCTCGAGTAAGAGAGATATTCTGCGCATAATAGAGGATTGCAGCAATCAGTATCCCTAAGCTACCGTATGCATAGAGATATCGGATTGGATGGAGGTGGTGCTCGCCAGGGCGAAAGTAGACGCTATGAGCCAGCACGCCTAGAGCAAAAGCTCCGGCTTTTAGCTGTAGCCCATTTTCCAAATTCATGCCACAGGAATCTGAACAAATCTTGTGAAGGAGGGGAAGAACGTTTAGTGATAGTAGGGAAAGCTAAAGAGCGACATGTATTCTAACAAGGCTTTGCAATAGTGGAGTTGTATAGATGCTGCCTAAGTGTTCCTGATAAATTCAGGTAGTACAAGCATCGCCAATAATAGGTGTCACCTGTCCATATCCCTTTGCACATCTTACCCCCGCGGCCGCATGAAGCAGAGAATCTCGAGCACGACATGCTGGGGGCCATGAGACTGATACCCCTATCCGCAGTTGCCCTATCGCTTCTCGCAGTCGCAGACGCTGGTCCTACCGTGAATTAAACAGACCGGTACCCATCCTTGACATTGATTGAGCTAGTTACCAGGCTTGCGGCATGCAGCAGGTGGAGAATCTCCAATGAGCCGGTATTTAGGGTTGTACGTTGTTCCTGGCAGAGTTACGTCTGTCAATCCTTCATGCATTTTTGCACCCCAGCCCGGTCATCATAGTTCCCTTTCCAAAATAAACTATAGAAAACTATATCTAGTTGGCGCCTGCTTAAGAGTATCTTCAAGGCCTAATCGAGGTCTCTTCAAGCACCTGTTATCTCCTGGGCTACGACCTATACTCTACCCTAAAGTCGCTCATGGCTGGAGTAGGTCGTGGACATCAGGCTGTAGCACCGGAGTTCGGAGAATTTAGTTACTGCAGTGTAATGTTCAAGAGGTCTATCGGTAAATATCTTCGTGGTTACACAGGCGTTTGCTTTGTGCGTGCCTTTTCGTGCTTTGTTTAAATGCCTATATGCCTGCAGGGCACTCTTCAACCTCCTTCAGAAAGAGACTGGTGGGTTGTTGATATTGAAATATCAACCTCCTGGACCAGAAATTCTGTGAACATCATCTACCCCGAGAGACGCCTGTGAACAAAGACGGTTTCATCTTCTCCGATGGACAAAGCCACATTTCATTCGGAAAAGGTGGAGGCATCACCACTTGACGATTCACCTAAACATCAGAAGGCAAGCGTTGGATCCGACGCCCAGTCAACCCACAAGCCATGGGATATAATCGTCAACTACCCAACCTCAACTAATGCCGCCGAATCGTCCTGGTGGCGGGACATTGGCCCGCTCCTTGGCCGACTTTTGCAAGTAACCGGCTACTCTGTGCCTATGCAATTCGAGTATCTAATCTTCGCGCGGAATCACATTGTTCCCGCCCTGGGACCGTACCCGCAGCGCTGGCCAAGCGTCATGACCTATACCGACCTACCGATTGAGATGAGCGTGAATTTCCAGGATCATCATGCATCGACTGTGCGTGTGGGCATCGAGCCGATCAGTGAGTTCGCGGGAACATCCAGCGATCGATTCAACCAGACTGCTACGGAGCGGTTAGTTGGTCGGCTGTCTACGTTGGGAGGGCTGGATCGCAGGCTGTACCATCATTTCGCTAGGGATTTTGGGATCACTGAAATGGAAACAATGAAGGCGAAGCAAGGGGAATTTAAGAGGGACTCGGTACAGTCAATGTATAATATAGGGTTCACCTTTGAAAGAATGGGGGCAGCTAGTGTGGACACAAAGGGGTATGTGTTTCTCAGGTTGAAGGAGAGGGCATCTGGCGTGCCTATGCAACAATTGCTACGTGAATCATTGAACCAGCTGGATGTGACAGCAGAGAGAAGAGACAGAAAAGCAGTTCAAAAGGTGATTGAATACATGGAAGAAGGAGGGGGATTCAATGAGTACACATACCTGGCTTGGGACTTTGTCGACTCGGCCAAGTCCCGAATCAAGGTTTATGGGGTACTCGGGGATTTGAGGACGGAAAAGGTTACGGAAGTATGGACCATGGGTGGAAGGCTGAAGGATCCGGCTACGATGCAGGGCCTGGAGTTGGTCCGACGGCTATGGGACCTGCTGAACGGCAATAGTCAGCAAGGCCAACAGCCTTCTAAAGCGCCCATACTGATGTGGAACTATGAGATCCGACCGGGCCGCGATGAGCCCATCCCGAAGCTGTACCTCCCTCTTCTTGGGCGGAACGACATGTTCGTGGCCAAGACGCTGGCGCGCTTCTTTGACACCCTCGGCTGGGCGGACGAGGCTCGGAGCTATGTGGCTAACGTGCAGTATCTGTTGTGAGTTCTGACCTTCCTTGATCCCCATTATTCCGACTGACGTTGAGGATAGTCCGGATGAAGACCTTGAACAGTCAGCCCGGCTTCACTCGTGGGTGTCGCTAGCGTATACCAGCCAGGCGGGGGTCTATGTAAGCGTGTACTACCACTCTAGCCTGGCCTAGAATGAAGTCTTGCAATTTTCACCATCATTATTGCACAAGTGTTGACTATGAAATGAACTATTGCATAAAAAAGTCGTACGCGCGTAAGTGACCAGATGGCCGACATGTAGGCGTTCTGTGCGACCACCGCACCGGTGAGTCAAAGCAGGGTTATTTTCAAAACAAACCCCAGAGAGGGATATAGGCTACTTCCCAAGTAAGACGGTGGCCAATTTCTTTTCCACTCAGCGGGGATTGGTTACCATTCAGCGATTGTGTGGCACCAGCTGACCACGGCCGAAATGGGGACTGGCTCACCCCATGGCACCCCCGCGGAGCTGAGAAGCGACAGATAGGTAATAAGGAAGGGAAAGAAATGGTAATTCGGCCAACATGGGAGGGGCGCTCGGGCAAAATCCGCGCGCAAAAGGATTCTTGGGATGGAACGAACTGGGTCTCGTGTCCGGGCCGAAAACCGTTGATTCGTTGGGAGAGAAACCTGGCGAGCAAGTTGGTGGCTGACGGGATGCCAGTGGGAGATTAAAAGTTTAGTCTGGGACTAGATGAGAACTAAGGGTAAGGATAGCTCGGGGTTTTACCCCGCGATGGAGCCACGCACGGCCGGGGGGTGAGGGTTTCTCTCTCATCCTGGTGCGCTCGCTTACCCCGGCGGCCATTGGCGGTCTGGAATTCATTTAGAGTTGATAGGACCCTGTGCAGCCATTAAATTGCGGCGCAAGAAAAAAAAGCAGGTGATGGAACAGTAAACACCATCGAGAGTTTCTCATGGACGGAAGCCCAGAACTGGGGAGAAAAACAAGAAGAGGGAGAAAAGAGACAAGCCGTGACAAGGCGGGCTTGGCTGGTGGAGTTGAAAATGGAGAGCCTCTTGGCAGTAAATCTGGGGAAATCTTGGCGGGGGAAAATACACACAACAAAGAAGGAATGAAACCAGTGTTCTCAGATCACTCGATGACATCAGATGAGCAATTGGCATGGCGAACGATGTGTCAAGAAATAAATAAAGTGCTCATACAATTTAAACAACCTCAACAACAAAGGAACAACAAGCAGTGCTGGTGGAGGAGGCCCAAGCAGTGTGTGATGATGGCATCCGGCCTGACTAAGGAAATCCCCCGGTCACTCACTATTTGCTCAGAAACTTTGGTTGAGGGGCGGCGTTAAGCTTTCCAACCTCTCTCGTTGCTTTCTGTTCCTTTCTAGCTTTCCAAAGCTTCTCCAGATGACTTGACGGGACCCATCTGTTCCGGAAGATGCATCTTCCTCCTGCTCGTCATGGGAGGGATCGGCACCTGTCCGGCCATGCTCACCGTCGTCGGCTTTGTGCTCCTATTTCACGGGCTTCGTCCTTCTGCCCGATAATCGGGGCATATAAGCCTGTCCCCCGCCAGCTGGTGGCTTGTCCGTTTCTTTTTTCTCCCTCCAGCTCATCCTTCTCTCCTGCCTCCCACTTCCTCGTGTCTCCCACCCGCGCAGCGCTCGTAGACGCGCTCTCGCTGTGGTTTTCTTCCTCCCTTCTTCCATCATGTCCCACTACTACGAAGGGGACAAGCCCTCCACAGGGGCGCCCGTTCCCGTCCAGCTATCGGCTGCTGACGAGGATGAGCAGCCCACGATGAGTCCCATCAAGTATATGGCCACTCGTCTTACAACTCTGGTGCCTCCGATGAACCCAGCCCCCAATCCCTTTAAGGCGCTCATGCTCCTCAATCGGAAGCAATGGCTCTTTTTTGGGGTATGTTTCACCCCCGATGTCGAACCCCGTTTTTGCGCCATGACTAACCGCGGTTGTAGGTTGCTTTTGCCGGCTGGACATGGGATGCCTTCGATTTCTTCACCGTGTCCTTGACTGCCACCGATCTTGCTAAGACGTTCGACAAATCTGTCACTGACATCACCTGGGGAATCACCCTGGTGCTGATGCTTCGGTCCGTGGGCGCCATTACATTTGGAGTCGCTGCCGATCGCTGGGGTCGGAAGTGGCCCTTTATCGTGAATAATCTTCTGTTTGTTGTGTTGGAGCTGGGCACGGGTTTCTGTCAGACCTACAAGCAATTTTTGGCTTGTCGCGCTCTCTTTGGGATTGCCATGGGTGGGTTGTACGGCAATGCCGCGGCGACCGCGCTCGAGGACTGTCCCATGGAGGCGCGCGGTATTGTGTCCGGCTTGCTGCAGCAAGGCTATGCGTTTGGATACTTGCTGGCTACGGCATTTGCCCGCGGCCTGGTTAATACTACCTCCCATGGATGGCGACCGCTCTACTGGTTCGGTGCCTGTCCGCCCGTGCTCATCATCATTTACCGGATGTTCCTGCCTGAGACCGATACCTTCCTCCAGCGCCAGGCCACTCGCGAGCATGTTCGAGGTGGAGTGACTACGACTTTCTTGTCAGAGGGTAACACGGCCTTGAAGAGACATTGGCTGCTTCTGATCTATCTGGTCTTGCTCATGGCTGGCTTCAACTTCATGGTACGTTTGTATTTATCCTTCTACTCCATCTGTTCTATTATAAGAGCATCACTAACCAAATCCCAGTCCCACGGCTCCCAAGATCTCTACCCAACCATGCTTGAAAATCAATTCAACTTTTCCGCCGATGCCGTCACCGTCACCCAGGTCGTCGCCAACCTTGGCGCTCTGACTGGTGGTACCACCTGCGGCTGGGCCAGTCAGATCTTCGGTCGTCGCTTCTCCATCGTCTTCATTTGCATTATTGGCGGCGCACTCCTCTACCCCTACACCTTTGTCACGAACCACAACGTCATGGCCGCCGCCTTCTTTGAACAATTCTGCGTGCAAGGCGCATGGGGTGTCATCCCCATCCACTTGATGGAGCTGTCGCCGGGTGCTATTCGCACCTTCGCGGTGGGTACGGCCTACCAGCTGGGCAACCTGGTCTCGTCGGCTAGTTCGACGATCGAGTCCACGATCGGGGAACGGTTCCCCTTGCCACCCACGGAGGATGGTACCAAGCGGTACCAGTATGGCAAGGTCATTTGTATCTTCATGGGGTGTGTGTATGGATATACGATTCTGGTGACATTGATCGGCCCCGAGAGACTGGGACGTAAGTTTGATGTCGCGCATGATGGGGATATGGCGGTCGTGGCGGCACAACGGGGTACGGATGGGGAGGTGGAGGTAGAGGGTGATCCGGAGAAGGGTACATCGAGGATGGTGGAGGGTTGATTTGATCTATTGGTTAGATGTGCTGCTGATGATGTTATGATGTAATGAGAAGAGTGACATATAGTATCAACTTATATAGCCGATCGCATTGCATGAGATTGTATGGTATGTTCTGTTGTTTAGTACATTTGCATCGCAGGCAGGACCTGCACCTTTCTTTTGGGAACCGCCGACTAGCTGCACTTTTTCGCCCCATCCTATGTCTGCTGTCTGCAACTTTGATCCTTAATTAAGATCGAACAATACAATTTGGCACAATTCGACCTTATTTCTGCCTCTGTATTATTCATCTCTGCGTCAAACATAGGCCGCAGCAAACAGCAGCCCGCTGGACAAAGCAGTGGACGAATTGTTGTTTAACTCCGTCCCGAGATGTCTCACTCCACCTAGCCCAACACCCTATCGTGTTGTAGAGTCCACTACACAGAGCAGATCAGTGGGGATGTCGCAGATACCTAAAGTAATCCGATTTATATCATTAGTCTAGACATTGGTACGATGACACCCAAAATTGACAGTAGAAGGAAGAAAGACATCAGGATCTGCTTAATAATCAATGCTCATCAATCCCCTGGGGACCGATCACCGGGTTGAAGATGGAGGATCATCATTGAACTCATCTCTTCTTCTTGAGTAGCAAGGAAAGCTTTGACTTACTGGACTAAAGACACTTTGTAGAAATTTGAATGTCCATGTTGATGAAAGAAAGTAAGCAAAATGTCCGAATAGTGGCCTTTCCCCTGGGCACACGGACCCTTTTATACAGCCAGCCGGTCAGGAGAGGTCCTGAGGCAACCAACCAGCCAACCCCGCACGGATGAAACTAAACTGCATTGCAGTGAACAGGGATGCTGACAGTTCTGTAATGCACGTTGGATTTTACTTTCTACTCGTAGGAAATCATGACTAACTCTTCGTATAGAATGTCAGTAGAATGGCTAATTGTCTGAGTTTAGATCGAGATCAAAGGAAACGGATCCACTCTCGGACATTGGCATCGCAATCTCGTGGAGCGGAGATCGGCGATGCTCTTTCTCAGGGTCTGATTCATGACCTTAATTTGAGTTGGCTGATGGAGTGATGAGCTTATGGTTTATGGTTCTTACCAACATGGTTGATAGCTGTCATTCTTCAGTGGAGAGATGGAGGATACCATGGATGAATCTCACTCTATGTGGTCTCCCCTGCTGTCTCTGACATCAATCAACTAGCTTCTCCTGGTGGATGTATCCTGACGGTACTACCTCGGGGTTTCGAACATCGTCACCTCATCCTTCTTTTTTTTTTTTTGTTTTTCGCCCCTACCCACGATTTCTACTTGTAATGCAGATGTATTAGATATCCTTTATCTCAAGTTATTCACAATATTCCCCCCACGAGTCAAGAAGGAATTGAGATCGTCATCCCGACACCAAGAGCCAGAGGAGAGCGAAAGAGAGACGCCGACCAGAACCGCCAAGCCCCGGACCGGGACTGGCGCTGCTCTCACTTTCCGTTCAACTTTCATTCCACTTGCTTGCCTTCGTTTGCTTCGCTCTTCGCTCTCCTCCGCCGCTTCGGGCTTCATCTTTCCCTCCCTCTCTTTTTGACCTCCTCCTCTCCCATTCGGTCGTTTCGGGTCCCTTTTCTTCTCTTTCCTGGGATCTCTCCTTCCTCCTCATCTCCCCTCGGTCGGCCACTCCCTCGTTCGTCCCCAATCCGAACCCCCCGACTGCAAGGGTCCGATCTCAACGCCCACAGGGGGCAGAGGGAAAAGCTTAGAGAAGACGAGGAGCAGCTTCAACCTCCAACGCGACTAATATATCTCTCCTGCGTTAATCCGACCAGCATCTGCAATCCCTCATTCGCTCAATTCCTCGCGATCCGATCCGTTGGCGCATTCCAGCCTTTTCCTCAGGGTCCAACAAGCAGCCGTGATCCCCTTGCCGCCTGGCTCCTCCTCCTTCCCCCCACAGATTCCTTACGATCCTACCCTCTTCCCCCCGAAACACCACCGCCGCCGCCGCCTTCTCCTCCTCCTCTTCTGCTTACGAACCCGGCTCTTTCCCCCTCCCCCTACGCGCTGGATGAGTATCCCGATCGCCGCCTCTTCCAATGCACAGACGCTCGTCTGGCTCGCCGGCCGAGGACGACGCTGAAGAATCCCTGGCCCCCGTCTCTCGCACCCCGACAGACCCGAGTCCTGCGCCTCAAGTCCTCGACCCGCCGGAAAAATCGCGTCCGCAGGCCGCTGCCAGGACCGGCACCAGCTTCGATCTTCGTCGAGATGCCTCCAATCCGCGTTCCCGAAATTCTAGCCTTTGGCGCACTTCCTCCTCCACTGAATCCCGCTCCTCCGCCGTTATGATGCCGCTGGCTTCCCAGCGATTGCCCATGGAAGCCTCCCCGGACGGTCACCTCCGCTTTCGACCGTCGCGCCTCCGCAGTCCCTGGCCCGTTTCCATCCTGACCGCGCTCACCACCCTAGTCGCCTCGATATTCCTCTTTTTCATCCTCCGGTCCTTCTCCGAACGGCAGATTGGCGGCGATGGCTGTGGGATTCCCGTCATGAGTCCTACCTTCCTCCGCATGGTGGGTTTCGATACGGAACATACCCGGTTCGCGAGCAAGTATAATCTGTTCCTCTATCGGGAGGAGGGTGTCGACCCGTACAACCAGGAGAACTTGGGCGTAAGTACCTGGCCAATGATTGTGTCGCGTGGCTGTGGCGTTTCCTCCCCGATCTCAGGCTGACTGTGTTTTTTTGCTGCATCCAGTTAAACGGTGCCCCTGTCCTCTTCCTCCCCGGAAATGCCGGCAGCTATCGACAAGTTCGCTCTTTGGCCGCCGAAGCTTCGAGACACTATGCCGACGTCGTCCGACATGACGAGGAGCGGCTCAAATCTGGTACCCGCAGCCTGGACTTTTTCATGATCGACTTCAACGAGGACCTGGCGGCCTTCCATGGCCAGACACTACTCGATCAAGCGGAATACGTCAACGAAGCCGTGTCATACATTCTCTCGCTCTATCATGATCCGCGACGGTCACGGAGGGACCCTAGCCTTCCCGACCCCAGCGCGGTCATTTTAATTGGGCATTCCATGGGAGGCATTGTTGCACGCACGGCGTTGACAATGACGAATTACCAGGCCAACTCGGTCAACACAATTGTCACCATGTCTGCACCGCACGCAAAGCCCCCGGTCTCGTTCGAATCGGACATCGTTCATACATACAAGCAAATCAACGATTACTGGCGCGAGGCCTACTCCCAGACCTGGGCCAACAATAACCCGCTGTGGCACCTCACACTGATCTCGATCGCGGGTGGTTCGCGCGATACGGTGGTTCCGTCGGACTACGCTAGTATCTCGTCCCTGGTACCGGACACGCACGGCTTCACGGTATTTACATCGACGATCCCTGATGTCTGGATCGGTATGGACCATCTATCTATCACGTGGTGTGACCAGTTCCGCAAGGCGATCATCAAGTCGTTGTTTGATGTGGTCGATGTCCGCCGGGCCAGCCAGACAAAGCCCAGGGCCGAGCGCATGCGGATTTTCAAGAAATGGTATTTGACCGGGCTGGAGCCGACCGCTGAAAGAACGCTTCCGCAGAAAGGTATGTATGTGATAACGCTCGGCGATGCTCTTACTGACCATTACTAGAACCGTCTACGTTATTGACGCTGGAGGACAGCACCAACCTGATCCTGCCGCAAGGCCAGCGTCTGATTCTTCGCGAGCTCGGCCACAGCCCGAATACCAACGTCCACCTGCTTCCCGTCCCGCCGCAAGGTGTGTCAGGGAAGAAGTTCACCCTTCTCACAGATCAGAAATTGGACAACCCCGGAGAGCAGGGGACATTGGAGGTTCTCTTCTGTAGTGTCTTCCCATTGCACAACGGCAAGTTTGCCAGCGTTTTCTCGATGAACATGGACTTCTCTGGGAGCAGCGCGGGCTCGACGCGTCTGGCTTGCAAGAACGCTGCGGAGGATGGCATACACCTGCCAGCGTCGACGCGGACCTCTAAGCAGGCGTATGACCGGACCTCTCCCTTCTCATATCTCCAGTACGATCTGGAGGATTTGGTCGAGCATCAGTTTGTGGCTGTGGTCGACAAAGCGCGGTCTCCAACTCGCGGCTGGGTGGTGGCGGAATTCTCGGACAGCTCTGACTCGGTCATCCGGGCTCGTGTGGGTTTGGGCGGCTTGCTCAGTGCTGGACTGAAGATGAGACTTCCGGCGAACCGCCCAATGCTCACTGAGGTGAAGATTCCGGCGCTGCATTCGAGTCTGTTGAACTACAAGCTCAAGATCGTCCGTCGGGGTTACGGAGAACAGCCCGAGCTGTTTGCACCGCTATTGCGCCAGTCGATCCCTGATCCCCACGAGTCCAAGTTCTTTGTCAATGTGAAGCAGGTCAATGTCAATCTGCACGGAGTCGCTCCGTTCATGCCACCGCCTCTTCGCGAGCAAGCCAGCTTGGGTGGAGTGTCTTTCCAGATGTGGACGGATCCGAGCAGCGAGTCAACGGTTGATATCTCCTTGTCAGTGGACGTTCTGGGCAGTCTGGGTGAGCTCGTGATGCGGTATCGCACCGTTTTTGCTGCCTTCCCGATTCTGGTAATTGCTTTGGTTTTGCGCAAACAGTTTCAGGTGTATGACGAGACAGGTTATTTCATCACCTTCGCAGAAGGGTTGGATAGCACACTGCGGTCGTCTTTGCCAATTTTGCTGCTCGCCATGTCGTTGCTGGCTTCATCTCTGGCTACATCGACTACGCTGCCTCCGAGCGATGATCCATTTCATTGGCGTACTAACTCCACGGAATCGCCCATTGATTTCACGAAGAACGACCTACTGCTGGGATCGCAAGACGCATTCTTTTGGTTCTTGGTCCCTATATTCGGTCTGATCAGCGTCGGTGTCTGCGTGATGATGAATTACGTGGCGCTGTCCCTGCTCTCGGTTTTGTCGTTCTTCTATGGTCTCCTGAACAGCAAGTCGGGGTACATCAAGCGTGATGACAAGGGGTAAGTCGTCATCAGTTATTTGTGAATATTGCTAATTCCGTCAGCAACCTTCCCATCTTCTCGACACCTACACCGAGACGGCGGTTGATCAACACGGCTGTTCTGCTGCTTCTCGTCGCGACTACTATCCCATATCAGTTTGCCTATATGGTGGCATGCATCGTGCAGCTCGCTACTTGCGTGCGAGCCCAATGGCATGCGAAAGAAACGGTGTGTATACTTGCCTTGTTGACTAGCGTTTGCTAATACTTTTTTTTTTTTTTAGAAATCTACGACTCATTATAATTTCGCCAATTTTACATACTCGATCTTTCTCCTGATGCTGTGGATCCTGCCGATCAACATCCTTGTCCTGCTCGTGTGGGCGCATAACCTTGTGGTGCACTGGTTTATGCCATTCTCCTCCCACCACAATGTGCTGTCCGTCATGCCGTTTATTCTGCTCGTTGAGGCCATGACCACGGGGACGATGGTGCCTCGAGTCAGCACACGGTATGTCCAATCTGCTACATAGTATCCTACCAAACTAACTGAGCAGGCTAAAAAACATCACCTCCCTCCTTCTCTTCGCCCTTGCCATCTACTCCGCCGTCTACGGTGTCTCCTACGGCTACCTTCTCCATCACCTCACTAATCTTTTCGCCGCCTGGCTCGTGGGCATCTACCTCTTCAGCAGCGGCTTCTCTCCCCGCCGACTCTGGCGCATCCTAGAAGGCGATGACGCGAGCTCCCCGCCCGAATCAGGGAGTCACGTGAAGAAAAAACCATAATCCTACATACACCATACATATCTTATTCTTCTCTTATTATTATATGTCCCGTTGCATCTTACCGGTTGCCGGACCATGATTATATGGCGTTGTTCTGTTACCTTGGGAGCGGTGTTTGCTTTTTTGTTTTCCTCTGACCTTGGGTCATGTACAGGATTGTGCTTATGTGCTCATATGAATGATTTTATACTATATTGTGTGGAAGGTGGGATCAACGATGGCGGATGGATGTATCTTATTAGCTTTGTGTGTGTTGTTGATACTGCCAGAGTGTGAGTGTGTGTTTGTATATACCGTTGGATTTGGAAATAGACTATTGGCCGGGTAATAGTGATGAGAGATGGTGTTGGTGTTCATATTCCTACTATCACTAATGTCGATGAGGTCATGCAACTCATAATATTCGTAACCCGTGCCTCTGCACTTGAATTGCCTTGCCATTGGGCCATGCAGTCGCCACGACACAAGGCATGCTAGTAGGCACTATCACCCCGCTTAGACATGAATGATAACTACGTACTATTACTACTTAGTTGCCTGACCGTTCGACACAATCCCCAAGCCACATTAGACATGACGCAGGTCCGAAGGATCTACCTTGCTGACAGCCTCACGGGTGTCGACCACGAGACGAGGCTTATTGCAAATCCAACTGCTATATCGAGTCACTTACATTGCACTGACCTCATGATAGAGGATCATTCCTGCCAAGACAAGAATTAAGATGTTCACTTTATAGACAATAGAAAATAACACCGCTCGTGGGATTCGTATCTTGACTCCTGTGTCCATGCAGACCATGTCAGCTTCCATGTATCCTTGATTCTAAACAATCTTTGCATCAGCCCCTCTATATAAGCTCATATACGCCTCATGATTGATCTCACAGACTACAACAGTGGACAGTATTTCATTGCTCACAAGCCCCCCACCCCAAATACTCCCCAAACCACCAAAACAAAGCAAAAGAAGGAAATAAAAGTGCTCATCTTCCTCGGCAAACTAAACTACCCCCCCTACGCCATGAACGAGCTCTTCGCCGTCATATTCAGCAACAACATGCAACAAGGCGAGAAAGTAGCCGTGATCCTCCAATGGACTAGAGATGGTGCCGGTCAGCCAAAAGCCAATTCCTTTGCGCAGGGGACTGTCGATAAGGCGGTTATCACGTCGACCGGGGAGAAGGAGATTGAGTTCTTATATGGGGAGAGGGAGATGACTTATTACTGGTATTCTAATTTTTCTTCCTTTCTTCCTGGGCTAGTTGCCTTGGACTCGATGAGTGCGTTACTGATGTTTGGGGGTTGTGTTGTAGGTATAAAGGCACGCAATCGGGGAGTAATCTGACATTGTCGATGTTCAATAAACAGGGAGAGGAAGTGGTTGAGAAGATTGAGCTTTTGGCGACGTATTATTGATGATTATCTATTCTTGGTGCTCTATCCATGATTCCTCATACTTGTATGATGCTAGTTGCTTAGATAGAAATCAACGATATTGAAATTCCCGAGCAATAGGTTTGTACTTTTGTCCTTAAACACAGAACTTCTCCGCTTTCTTTCTATCTAAGAATTCACTATAATATTCAATATCATATCCAATATACATCTCAGCTAGTCTAATATGAATCATCTGAGAGGGAAAAAAAGGCAGCATGAATGAGCTGCGTCTATATGAAATAAGTCGAGCACATGCTAACAACAAGCAGCGCTATAAAGCCACCGGTTTGTTAGACAGAAAATATGAAAAGAGGCTAGGTTGATATATAGCCTATAAATCGAGCGGGTTTGAACATGGCCGCTTTCGGCCGTAGGGGTCACGGTTTGTCTTCCCCGTTAGGATTTGTCGCTTTTTGAAAGGAAGTGGGTCGAGTTGCGAATGATTAAAGTTAATAATTAACGCCCGGCGTAGCTCAGCATTCCACAGAGTATTCTCGGGCCGGAGGTTATGGCATAATACTCCTAGAGAGCGAACTTCCTTTTCAGATCTTCTGACTTCGCGTTTGAAGGACTTTCCATCGCGGCTCCTGATCCGTTCTCCTTCCCATGCCACGAGGAGCATGTGGTCGACCTCGAGGTCTCCATGTAAGTAAGCCATCTTCAGATCAATTGTCCCAAGGAAAACAGGGACTGCAGATCCCTGTGCTTGGTAAAGTATGCGATAGACGTCTGCTTCACGCGAGGAACTCTCTCTCCAGAACGCATCAGATGACGCTCCTTTGCCAACCACAGTATATCCATATTCAGAAGAGGTGATTCTGAACGGTGCAATGGTTGACCCATAGCCACGCATGGGTGTGCACCCATGGCTAGTAACATCTTCATTAAGCTGCCGGTTGATCTGCTGGACCAAGGCTTCAGCAGTAATCGGGTGCTGGTCAACATCTGCACCTTGTCGGTGCAGCGCAACATTCGGACACTGTTTGTCCAGACCTCCCCCACGCTGCAGACCAAGCAGACAACGCTGAGTACAAAAGGGTGTATCTTCATAGGACTTGCCTCCACTAAACAAAGGGCCTTTCTGGCGTTCTGATTGCTTAGCGGCGTCGCCAATCCGACGCTTCTGTCTACTGGGGCTTGTATCGATATCTTCGTCCGGGGTACGCTCGCGCCGTGTATTGGATTGAGTCGGCATCCTGTAGTCTTCTGCAGGCGATGGCGCAACAGAATGATGGGATGGTTGGTATTCCGTGGAGGAGGTGGAGTAGTTTTTGGTGGTCGCAGTGGTCGTGGTGTTAGAATATTGCGGAGCAGCGGGATTTGTGTTCGGCTCATATTGCGGAATTGTGGAAGTTTTAGTATCGAAGCCTGTTGTCCAGGTCGGTAGGCCCTCTTTTGCTATTTCTCGCCAAACTTTATCACGGACTTCCGAGCTACAACTCATCAGACAGAGACACAAGACTCGCGCCACGGATGTTAAGGGAGCTGTGAGTCTTTTGTCAACTTGTGAAGCGAGTTCACTGTTGGGCTCAGAGAGACGGTAGTACAGAGTGCCCGGATGTTCGGAGGGGACTCGCAACATGATCAATGCCAGTCCAGTGCTCACATAAGAATACTCGAGTCCATTCATTATCATAACATGATACACTTGAACAACAGCGGAACCCGTCAGAACAGCCGCATCATACATTTTTCTATCCTCCTGACCGGTGGGAATCTTTCTAGTGTTCACTATCTCCTTCCAGAATTCCATTGGGTGCAGTCCCAAGCGGATAGTCTCGACAGGTAGCTTGTGGGGGTGGTTTGTATTCGACTGTCATTATCAGGTTGTCATTGTCACCGTCGACTTGGTAGATGCAATACTGGTCTGGTCTCGGGTTCTGGCAATTTGATGGCTCCTTGTCCTTCTCCGCTGTCCAGTCTTGCTCTCTATCGGCTTCAACATCAAGACAGTTTGCATGACTGTCGAACCGAGCTCCAGTTCCCAAATGAAATTCGTCTCTTGCAGCCGGTATATTGCAGAGCTCCGTAATAATCTTAAGAACTGGGCTCTCCACGGTAAATCGCTCAAGAGCTTCCACATCTCGTTCACTGCTTATTGGCCTGCCAAAATATTCGCCCATGCTTTCCAAACCAAGACGAGATGTAAAGAGTCTTAACGCAGCACTTCCTGGCGGTTCAAGATATTCGCGAACAGTCTGATAAATTTTCTGTTGCTCGGTGTCACAGTCTTCCCAATGCTCGAACTTCAAGGGGCAGTATTTTCCTTTCGGCTGCGGGATCTTTCCCTTCGTGCAGCGAGTGAGTTCTTCGACTTTTAGGGGTGCTGAAAATATGGTATGGCAGTGCTGAAGAAGCTCTCCAAATGTCGTACGTCTCGATCGCTCCTTCTCCAGCTCCATTTCCTCTCTCAACCTTTCCCCCTCTTTCCGTGCTTTCTTCTCATTTTCCTGAGCCCGTTGGATGTTCTCCTCGGCATTTTGTTTGGCTGCATGAGCCTCTTGAATTGCTGCATTAGCTTTCTCCTCTGCTGTATTAGCGCTTTTTCTCAGCTATATAAGCTCTTTTCTCTGCTATATCAGCTCTTTTCTCTGCTGCACGAGCTCGTTGAAGGGCTGTATTAGCTGTTGTATTTGCTGCACTAGCCGCGCTATATGCTTCAGAAATCTCTTCTGGGGGGGTCTTGTACTCAGGGGTGCTGTCGCGATCCATTATGTGTGGATATCACACTGGAAATAGTAAAGAAAATGCAGCTTTTGGGGTGGCACGAGCAAAGAGAATAGAGGGATCCCGAAGAGTTGGTTTGGTGGCATCTGTTGAGAGAGAAAGCAAAGAACGCGAAATTTCTGTTAATGTGAGATATACATTTATACCACCTGGAAGATGCGTCCACCATGGGGGGCTGATGAGGGGGAGAACAGATGCAGATGTAGGTACCTGAAAGACTTCCATCGCTGAGGTCGTACCAACAACCGGAGAAATCCGTGTCGTCCCGCCTGATCAGATATTGCAGACCAGATTCATTGTTCCTGGTGTTCCATTCTCTCTTGTCATTCTCATCTTCATTCCACTATCATCGAGAAGATCGTATCAAGAACAGTTCAGAAACCATTCATATTTGTCTCTTCGCTAGATGACGATTTAGATTTTCCTCTTGTTTTCCAACCATAACCAAATCATTGTTTTCTATTACTTCTCCTTTGTCCAGAATCTCTCTGTTTGCTATTCTGCATCGTAGAGCCACTGTATCACGTCAAAACGGAAAAGCACGTACCAACCCACCTTTCAAACAGAGGTGGTTCTGACAGCTCAAAAACAAAAGAAATTTCCAGATCCCAGAGCTTCAGCATCAGGCATAGAGCGATCTTTGGACGAGCTCATAATTGTATACTGAATATGTCGGATTCTGCCTGGCAGGTCCCGCAGATCAGGAGAAGTCTCTGGTGGATCAGTCTAGAGTGACTCAAACTTTCGGACATTCGAATGCCAATAAGTCGCGTTTATCCAGCTAAAGTTAGACAAAAATTCAAACGCAGGGCTGGCGTGGGGGTAATAAGGCTGTATGGACACATGTCCTGAGCGTTTTTGTGTGATTTTAGGGATGCTTGAATGAGTAACTTTATGGTCGGTGTCTTCCGCATGTGTTAACCCGCGTGATTGCATGCTTGGCTTGCCACCATTATGAGAAGCCTAGATTAGTCCAGACTTGTACTAAACACGCTATCTTCTTACTAATGCCTACTGCGATCTATTGAATGGATACTTTGGGGGGGGGGGGGGGGGGCGGTGTTCCATGGGCCCTAGTGGAGTATCCGCAAGTAGAATCAAGCACAGCAATAATTGCAGCAAGGAATCTAATATGTATCACAAGTCTAGAGTGTATTTATAGCGAGGTATCTTTTATTCACTCTCGAACCCAGTGGCTTCTTGCACCGTACTCAGGCTATCAATGACATGTGTGTTCAATGAAAGGCAAACATTGTTATAGTGACAACAGAACGGACAAAGAGGAGTCTTGGCAACTTCCTATGACTAGTTGAAGACAATGGTACAGGTAAATGAGATTTACCAGTCTTCTCAAAGAAGTCTCTAGAAATATATGAAAGCTTCTTATATGCCAAATGTCTCAGATTTTCTGGGAGAGACGCAAGGGTTGGGTGGTATTGGATATCTGGTCCTGCCTCCTGGTAGAGTGCAATGTTGTGGAGATGGTAATTGAAGTTTTCCAAGTACGCATTTATGGGTGCAGAATGAAGGTTTGTATTCGTTGAGATTGCTGTCACTGCTCTCTGAGTCTGTATTGCAGTGAATTATAGTAGACACCGCTCTCTATTTCTCGCTTGCTAAGCTGTGTCTTCTTCCGCTTCTCTCTTTATCCTCGCTTCCTGTTCTTGTGCTTTATCGAGCTCTTGATGTCCTCGGTTTTATTTTTGCTGTTGCTCTTAGATATTTTTTTAATAAATATACTCTCCGTCTGTGCTTGTTAGAAGTCTTTTCCATGCATCAAATTCTCTTCCTCGTGTTTCATGCAATTGCTGTCGTGCTTCATGCAACTTCTCTCGAGCTTCATGCAATTCTTCTTGTGCTTCTTCTTCTCTTTCTTGTGCTTCACGAGTCATTTTCCAATACATCTCAGCGCGTTCCTGTGCTTTCTTGGTTCTTTCCCTCTCTCTGTCCAGTTCTGCCTTGGCTTCCAAGTAGAGAGCCTTGTAATCCAGTGAGCCCTCGCATTCCATCTTTAGTCGGGAAGGGTGAATATGAGATTGATCGGAAGTCTCGGTCTGGTAGGGTTGGGCGGAGGAGGAAGGCCAATGTAAATGCGACTACTGAGTAAATTGAATGGGACGGTGGTGGTATTTGTAGATGCAGTCATTGAGATTATTCTGTGAAGGAGCGATTGGTGCTCAAATAGCGGAAATCCCCGCATGGAGTTCGAGGTTTCATACATGGTAGGTTTTGGACGTAGGGGGTACAATGTCGTACAGGTGATTCGGCAGAGTGGGAGGACTTTCACAGGACCTGATTACGTTAATGTTTTAGGGATCAGTAGAATCCATAGCTTCTCCTGCCACGGATTGGAATAACAATAAGGAATAAGAATGAATATCGAGTGACATGGCTGTGTTTAGTGGCAGATTTTTTCTTACTAGGAACTTACCTTATGTAGTTATTGTTTCACTGTGAGTGAAGACCAATCCGGGAATAAGACATTTGCAATCAATCACGAGTAATAATGCATATCACTAGTTTAGCCTTACACTTCACGGTACCTTACTTCAATCGTTCAATATTGAACAACAGAAAACAAACCATTGTCATGAAGACACTGGCCATAATAATATCCACCACTGATCATGGGGTACATCTTATGTCACAAAAGAATTTTCTCTCATGTGTTTCTTACTGTTGTTCTCTGTTAGGCTAACAATTGTGAAAAAGGTTTTAGATGAGGGACCAACATCAGTCAATAGTATATTATCTTTAACCTCCAAGTTACTCCAAAAAGGGAAATTTCGGGAGAAGGCTTCACTTTATCGGCATCCGCCGCTCAGGAACTCCGCGTGGGAATGGCCTCTCAGCAACTTCCCAGAGATGATCGGAGACGACAAATTTACCACCATGACAGAGGAAACTCCGAAGGTTTCAATCCAATGCCTCAATGATAGCCAATATACTCTTCTTCTAATAGGCTCCGCGGCGGCATTCTATGCATCAAGCATGTGACTCTACACCTCCCTTAATCCCTCAACCTAACGTGAGCCCATGCAACCCAACCACTAAGTAAATTGGGGTAATATTTCTGGGGCATACATTCTAAATGCCACACAAGGAACGCTACGAAGGAGAGTATATACAAATAAGCAGCCATGATCCACACAGACCCTCTATGGAACTCTATTCCGGTACTAACTAACTGCAGCTTTACTTAACGCCATGAGAACATGTAGTGAAAGCCTTCAGTCTTAACAACAATCGCCGGGTTGGCTACTGTTTCTACTAACTCGCTCACTCGGAGTATATTTCTGAACGGAGTTGTGAGAAATGTCTCTAAGATTGGACCCGAGGCAATAAGCAAGTTGTGTTTGAACAGTAGCACAGCATATCCAGAGCTTTCTGCCATACCTACACTCTGAGTAATGGTACTGAAGAGACAAGTGCAAGATGGCGGGCAGTTTGAGAATGATGACACAGTCTGTCTATCCGCGGACAATTTAGAGGGAGGCATTCCCAGATTCCACTTTTGTGTAAAAATCACCGGAATGTAGGCACTATAGGTTTCTGGAGGAACAGGTAGTCCTTTGCCTTGCGATTTCAGCTCCTCGTGGTCGCGCCACCCATCCTTTCAATCATAAATACGCCTGCCTCTCCGACCTGGCTGCTGATTCTAGCTCCCCATCCAAATTCTATGTGCATCTCTTCTATACTGGTGACATCAAAATGAGACTTCTTGCGGCCCTATCCTTGCCCGCCTTCATGGCAAGCTTGACTGCAGCGCAGTCTACGCCTTTTGAGCACGTAAGTCAAGTCCATGAGCATCACGCGCCATTGCATCATTGCATCTTGGTCGCTTTTTCTCTGTGTGTGGTACTTACTGGCGGTCCAGACATTGCTCTTCCCATTGGCAAATTTTCATGGTAGTGATGGCACCGCTGTCACTAGTATTGGTGGCTGCATCACTCTGCCTGGGTGAGTGCCACTCTTTCCTTGTCCTAACACCTCATCCTATTATGAAGAAAGCAATTTACTGACTACTGTCTGCTGCAACATAGAGATGCCCCTATTGGATCTGTCCGCGTCGCATCGGATGAGTTCTGTATTCTGTACCCGTATGACTGCGCGTCTGTCCCGCTCCAATTGATCAATCAACTCACAAAAGTAGGAATAACTACTGTCAGGGCGACACCAGCCAGACAATTTCTGCAAACGTTGCTCAATTTCCAGACTCTCAGACGTGGATTGGTATCAGCTGTAGCTCTGGCAATCCTGATAGTTCTGATGGATTTGGTCCCTGATAAATTACTGCCTGGTTATCCTCAGTTATAGGGCCTACCGAGTCACCTCATCAGAGCTTGTTTTGGCTTGAATATTGAAACACATTAGTCCTTCGTATTTCGGGAATTCTTGAGATGCTTCTGAAAGTAAACAATAAGATTTTACTCTTTATCTAATCTACTTAAACTAGGATTCTGTATTTTCTCTCTTTGTACACCTCAATACTAATACTTCACGCAGATCTGCTGACAGCGTCATAATTGAGCAAAGGCAGAGATTCTCATGACCTCATAACACTTGTCAAACGGCGGCTTTGTCGGCATCTCCCAACTCAGAGAGTGGTGCACGGGAACGGTCTGGATTCACGGCAGTTCCCTAGGATTAGTCGGAGACGATGACAAGGGAATTGGACTTTTCCGACCGACTGACGAAGGGCAGTTTATTCATCAGAAAAAGTATAAATACCCCCAAGGTTTCAAGTTTCCCGGTGTTCTGCCGTACAGATACAAAGATTCACCTAGCAGGCACTTCAATTTGCCCATGGCCTGCTACGTGGCCCGTGATTCTTCATGTGAGTCGTCAATATTGAATTAACATTCTAGTGGTCTTAGAACACGTATATAAATGCCCCAGACCTCCTTCTCAGTCGCCTCCGTGGCCGAATACATGATTTTCCTTTCAAGACCGCCGACATATTTGAGACTAAACTCGAGCTTCCTCTCGTCAAAAGCACCATTGTCGAGTGACTTGCTCGAATAATCCCAACTGATAGCATCACCTGCTCTCCCAAAGAACATCTACCATTAGTGGCAAAAATGGCGTAATACGCAGGGCAGGGGTATTGTTCAGAAGACTCCACCGTCAATTCCGGTGGTGGTGTCTCTAGACGAATAGCCAACATTTCATGAACTTGGCTTCATCGTTGAGCTTTAAGGTTATTATTCAGACCGTATTCGGAGACAAGAAACGTCATTGTGGCTCAGTCTGAGATCGAAGGACACCAGCAGAAACCAAGCACAAATTCAGCCTTCACGCGGACATGCCAAGGGTCAGAATCATTGACCAACAAAAGGACAGTATCACGGCCCATGTCATTGCTCGAGATCCGTGCAGTGATGCTAGGTGAATAGAAGCTTCACATCCTGCTCACAGATATTCCAGTCTCATCTAGAAGGCAGACGCAACTGTGCCGAGAAATCTCTCCACAAAGAAGGGGGGTATTCTTGCGACATTGCACCAGATCTATGACCAGATCAGCTTGAATTAAGTCTCGATAAGTAAAAGTCACCTCATTTTTTTGAGTTACTTGTGGTCTCCACTTAGTGCCTGCTCTTCCTCGATTTCTTCAAGCAGTTATCACGATGTGAGGTCTTGAAAGAGGAGTGACTCTAAAATACGTCGTTGATCCGGCATATCAACATGAAAAGAATGGTATGAACGTGCTTCACATCCGGTATCGAATGGCTCCTGTGCTAGCCCCTCTACTACGTACTACTGCATTCAGCGTACAGGCTTCCCGTTTGATTTCAACAAGGCCTCCAAGGAGATGCGCTCCTTCAATCATGCCGTGTTTGACCCTGGGGGATTCATGAATACGATGCTTCCGTCATATCTGGCCATGGAAAATGTGGGATGTGACCCAGGATATAGGTGTTACAAGGCGCAAAAAGAGCAGAATGAAACTCAACAAGTTGCAATTGAAACTGAACGCATCTGGGAACTCCAAGTCCAGGAAGAGGACTTGTTACATATAAACGTTGCCTTCCCTCTGACGAAGCGTTGCTCAATCTTTGTCTTCGAAACTACGGTCATGACCGTGGATCCCACTATAATAACGAGCATAGATGCCTCTCCCTCATTTGCTGCAGCGCATGCAAACCAGGATATACTTCTGTGACGTGGCCAAGGAGCTTCGGGCGCCACCTTACAACGAGCTGTTGCTAACGCCGTTATCATGGCTGGTCGGCCGTCCCTGTATGATGGGCTTATTCTCACAAACGCTTTCACAGAGTTTGCAAGTGGAAAGCAATGCAGAACTCACGCTTGTATATAAAATTCAAGAACGTGGCACAAGAATTACAAAGAAAAAAAGTACTATATACACATATGAAGACATGTCGCAGCTGCCTAGTCAGTTACCTACGCAATCAACCTTTCTTACCATGACTTTTGGTATTTGACCTTCTCTCAAGCATAATTACCCCTGCGTTATTTACTTGGACGTGGCTGGGATCTTTACAAATTTCTTCAGCATCATTTCATCAGATGATACCATGGCCATTCGGAGTGTTCAGGGAGGCCTGAGCCCTTTCCTACGGCGCAGATTATCTTCGAGGGACGCCACATTCCTCTCACCAATAGCGACAAGTAGCAGGTATTGCCACTTGGGACATGAGGCACCATATAAATTACCATAAGTCCGAGCTTTTTCAAAGGCCCCATCTGTGCTATGGCGTGGGATGAATGCAGCCTGTCTCTTGAGCAGAAGCATAGCGATGACAAAGATGCGCTCCAGGCACTCCGCGAAATGAGAAAGTATCCGGCTAGGGGGGCCATGAGGCTCCGATCTGGGGTATTCAAATCAGGTGCGCCTCGAGCGGCCGTGGAAGTGTTTGGCATACCAAACTAGGATGACGAAACTACGAAGTCAGTATCATCGCCATGCTATAACTCAGTATGTAACAGCATGACTTGGCAATACTATGCTACCAGAGGATGCGCAAATTGCAGATCGCACTTTCTTTGTCACATTCTGTTCACCTCTTCGCTGCTATTCTAAAAGCTCGCCAGTGCCCTCAGACTCGGCGGTATGGGGGAGCTATGGGTCTGATAGCTGTTTCCCTTTCGTTGGAACCAGACATCAAACAAGACAATGTTGGAGAAGACTTATAGATTCTGCCGCTGCATGCTGTTATTATGAGCTACCCATTAGGGCCGCCTTTGCGACTTTTGCAGCAGCTACAGTATTAATTATCGCAGGCATGGCATTCCTCGAAACTACATATCTCAGTTAAGCCCGATAGGCTAGTCGAGATAATTTCTGTGACCACTGCAAGGGCATTGATTCGGCCCCTGTTTATAGCGGCAAAAAGCACTTGACCAATAAGGAGCTTTTTTAACTATATATCGGCTGAAGCCGAATTTTCCGCTCAGTGCGACTTTTACCCATTATTCGCTGATATACAATCCACCAGGGTGTCTGTCTTAACAATATAAACCAATGTGATTTATTTGTTCCCTGTTGTGCGCTTGAAACCCTGTTTCTGCTCTTATATACGACAGAGGAATGGCTGCAGGATTGCTGGCCATGGGCAAGACCTGGAAATATAATCTTCCTGTTGCTCTTCGACATGGCCATTGTTCCCTACATATTGTCATTCATCATACCCTCATCGTTACAACATCTCCATTTCCGAAGCTGTCCAGAGACCGAAGTAGTTGTCAGAGAGCTCGAACGCTTGGTCCGTGAGTCAAGTCTTGGAACGCCACTGCGACAATTATGGAAGACGTCGAACTTCAAACACAGGGGACAGAAACCTTGCACGCTGACTATTCTTCTATGTACCTCACACTAGCTGCGACTATCTACCTATTCATTTTTCCCCTTTATCATCAAGTGCTGCATAATGCCCATATCGCTCACACACGACGCGATTCACGATGTCTTTCCCGAACGCTTTCCTTGACTTTCTGCTCGAAGACCTTCCAGGCGATAGATCTTGGCAATGCTCTTCCCAAAACAAGTCTCAAATGATCTTGTTCAAAGTATGACCGACAGGACACATTTTCCTGACTTTCTGTCAGATCATCAAATGAGATATGCTGTGGATTTTGTCAATAACCGTGAGACGAAACCACCCCAGGGAAGAGAACGAGGAAGAAATTATACCATAAACATGTACGTCTGATTGAAAAGACATTGAGTTCAGGTTATGAGCCCGATGCTTGTTTCTGAGATTCCTCCACTGCACAGGATGACTTGAAACCAGAATAATAAACATGGTATTCTCGCTTCTCGTGAATGAGGGCACCATCTGGGGACCACTAGAGTTCTCAAGCAGATTAAATGCCCGGGTGCTTGCTGCTCATATACCTCAGGGATGCCGCATATCTTCGGGATGCAATGAGTATGGTCCTCTGGTTGCTTAACATGCAATACTATATTATCCGGGAACTATTGCTTCTTTTCAAGCCCCCAGCTATTTAAACTGATGGAACAACACAATTTCCTCAATTGGGAAGGTAGTATCAATGCCATTGGCCAATGTTCCAGATCATTGCGGTACCACAGGGCTTTCAGAAAGCATTGACGCCAATGTTGCAATCTCGTTGGTGCAGACTTGGGTCCCTCTGTCCTATCGTCCTCTCCATGTGCGTCTCCAGCTACTTATACGCCATCCCGCACTGGCTGGATAAGCCAGCGCATCATGCATGGAAGCTCCAGTACACACTGGGCACTATGTGTACTGTGCGGCCGAGATACATTCACCAAGGCAACGAATGCCCTCCTAGCAGACTTTCTGAGACTTGCTTACATTTTTGTGGCTACCAGATTTAGAGCCGTGAGCACATGGCGACGAATTGATTGGCATTGAGGAGCTCAGATGCCGCCTAATGAAACGTCGCATCCCATGAAGATGAAATTCGTCTCTGGGACTGCCGTTGTCTTTAATGCCAAATTGTTCGCTTCCGTTCTTCCAGTCCACCTAGGAAAACTCCAATTATGGGCTTAGTGAACCTTCCTGGGAGGTATGGCTCGTCTGACCCAATCCGTGAGCTCTCTCCTGATAAAAAATGGAATAAAAGGAAAGAAGGGAAAGAGCTGAAAACGGCAATCTTCGCAGAAAGAATTGGTCTGTATATGGAAGGGTCCTAGTTATCGGACTGGATTGAAATCTCTGAGAACGCTCGGCGATGCTCACAGGCCACCCTGAGAGCCATTTTACCGCTCTCTTCCACGAGTTAAGTTTCGAGGAAGGACATGTCCACATCAGTCTTCTGTGACTCCATGCATTGATCT